CATGTAGGCTTTGGAGAAGTATATATAGAGAAGAAGAATGTGAAGGCGGTGTAATTCGTATATGGATGAGTATTGATGTGCTTAATGGATTGGTCTAAAATTCAAAGGGCTACGAAACTTTTAAGTAAACGAAGTTCGGCTTTCAAAGAAACATACACCCCAAATTAGTTAGGCGAATATGAACTTATGAGGAAGAAGAAGAAACAAAATTAAAAGTTTGTTACTCATAGTAGATCATACTAGTTACTAGTTAGGCAGCTGCAGCTGCTTCTCAAACATGGATCCATGGTAAACCCCAAGCCCTCCTTCTGGTTCCAGGGTCCAAGAAAAACCAAACTGGTGGTCTATTTTTCGTATGGAGAAACCGTTACAGAAGCACTTAGACCCTATTTGTTGACTTTCTTCATACTTTTGGAAATCATATGATTGACCAGTATGTGTCAAAAAGTTCAAGGAGGCACGTACGCCGCATAGGTTGATTATTCATTGTATCACATGGTATCATGATATATAACTTGGCACGTACGACAATATTTACGTTAGTTTGTTAATTTTTGTCTTTACTTTCTAAAATCCTTTAATACACTTTCAGGTCATTTCGATGTAATTGAAAAGCCTATGTATATATATACTTTTCCTTATACATATAAAGAAAGAAACTAAAGTCGTAAGGGGAAGCGACTATGTTCAGTAAAGAGGCAACATCTGGTAAGTGGATACTGTGTACCTTCCCTCACCACATGAAAAATATTAAGGTGCCCAACTGCGCGCTAACCTAGAACCCACAAAGGGTGTTGGTCAATTAAGACATCAAGAAGGTGGTCATAGAAGTAAAAATCCGCTATACTATTTATTAAATAAAGAACTTTGTTTAAAATTGAAAATTCTGTATTAAAAAAAAACACGTGTATTAGACATGAAACATACGTACGTGCATGAATTGTATGTTGCTTTTTAAAAAAAAAACGTCTATTTTCTAAACTACTCTTATCAAAAGGGCTTTTTAAACAAAAGCCTTAAGCTATACTTGCGATTTTGGTGTTGGCCAAATAGGTGCTGGAGAACACCCAGATAAGTGCAGAACAGTACGAGCTTATGAAGGATCTCATAATACCCCTTGGCAGAGCACCCCAATTCTCATCTCAGAGTGGTGCCTAATGCAAAGGAACGAAATTCAAGGAAAAAAAAAGTTATTTTTATAATAAAAAAAACCCAGTATAGTCGCATGGCTATACTATTACCCCAGTATGGCCGTGCGGCTATTTAATTGTATTATATTTAAAGAGTATAGCCGCACGGCTACACTATTTATTTTTAAAAACTTCAAAAACTGCAGTATAGCCGTCCGGCTATGCTATTTGAATTATATTACATTCAATACGTATAGCCGCACGGCCATACGATTAAAAAAACTTTTAAAAAAACTGAAGTACAGCCGCGCCGCTATACGATTTATTATGTTATATTAAAGAGTATAGCCACACGGCTATACGATTTAAGCAAAAAAAAACCCTTATGTATAGCCGCCCGGCTATACTATTTAATTATAATAATATTTTATGAGTGCTGCTAAACGAAACCTACAATTAACTGAGTACACTCTATGATCTATGTATATTGTAATATTTAAAACAAAATGTAAAATTAACTAAATACACCCTATTTAACTACTAAAAAAACCTCCGGTACACCCTAATACAGACTATCTCTTCATAAAAAACCAACAACATTCATTGATCTCCCCACAATCCCTTTTTCTCTATACTTTGATTCTCAAAGTTTTTAACTGTACAATCTGGGCAATATTGTTTTTGATATATCCTAAATCTAACTAATGATACAAAAACGTTCAACATAATTCTTTGATATTGATCCTAAATCAAATAATAAGTAATACTAAGTAACGGAATCACTCTTATTAAAATACTCAATTTTGCAGCTTCGGGTTTTATGTTTTTTTTCCCATGTGAAACACAGTATTTCATGTTGTATGATTTTATTTTTCTCTTTCTAGTTTTTTAAAACTTTTTTTTTTTTCTGAATCCAATATCTAAAACCAAAAAACGACTCTGATTGCCTTCCCAGCCATGTTTTTTTAGTTTTAGTTTTCATCTGGTTGTATTTATCTAGCAGTGTATTTTATATGAAAATTCTTTGACCAACATGAAAATGTTTCTACGGCATTGCGACTTAAAATTTGCATCAAATTATATTGCCATATATTTATCAATAATTAAACAATTGAGTCGCACTTTTCAAACCACTAGCTAGATTGTAGAACAAGTATTACTATACCATTTATTACTCTTGAATAATATGACATTTGTTTAGTTGAAACGCGTGTATATTGTGACGGACATTTCCCATTTGATGGAAGATTTCTGATGGGCTGAAAACGTAGAGTTAAACTCAAAATCCAAACACAAGTGAGAAGAGGTGCTGAAAAGCGTAATTTGCATATTGATAAAGTTGAACTTAAATAGAACGTTACATCACCATATTATGCTAAATTCAAGGACATGACTCCTACTAACTTAATCCATTACTGACACAACTGACAAACTGCTCTACTATTGGGAGACTCCTAAAGACTTGGTAAACATAACAACGTGCAACATGACTTCCTACAAAATAGGATAATCAATTTATTGAATTAAAAACAACTGTTGTAACTAGATAAAATCTTAACACCTTCCCTTAAACTAAATGTTCCAACAATCAGTTTAGAGAGAAACCTTCAACATGCACTATAGCTTCTGTCTTCAAGCAATATCCTTCACAGAGCAAACTCCTAACAATCTCCTTAGCTTCGAGAACGCTGGTAATTTGAGAGGCTTGGTTAGAATATCAGCTACCTGATCTTCACTTTTGCAATAGATTAAATCAATTGTTCCATCCTTTGTGAGGTTGCGCAGGAAATGGTAGCGAACATCAATGTGTTTGTTTCTACCATGTAAAATTGGTTTCTTGGACAACTTGGTTGAGGATGATACTTGAAGAATTACGTGGTTTGCAAGACGGTCCAACTCTTGTTTATTGCGATAATAATTCAGCAATCAGATTGGAATTTTTTTTTCTGTGGGAGCCCACTAAAAGTTGATGCAGGCCATGTGCAAGCAACTATGAAAGGGGCCCACGCAGCTACTGCAAACCTCCTCGCTCCACGTGCCACGTGCCACGCGCATATGATGTAGCCGTTGGAATCCAACAACACAATTCAAACAACCCCATTTTTAAAATTTTATATTCCAATAGTAACCCAAATAAACGATCTAGATTAAATTCAAGCTACTTTAACCATAAAAAAAAAAGATTCAACGACTGAAATTTAAATCCAAAGGTCAAAATAATATTTTTAAATTAATCTAAATCAGATCCAATCCCAAAACTCACTCCAAACTCTATAAATACCCACTTATTTCTCAAATAATCTACAAAAAATTATATTTGTGGAATTTCAATTTTTTTTAAGTCAAATAAAAATATATATATATGAAGTTATTTAAAAAGGTTAAATGAAGAAAAGTTATCCATTAAAAAGAAATTTGACTTAAACGATTTTAATAAAGTTGCGGACTTAAAATTTGAGTATGAAAAGTTGAGGGATAAAACGGTTTGAGTCTGGGCAAAGCCCAAATAATTATATTTTAGAGAGGAAAAATTTGAGTTTAGCCCCAAATAAGGCCTAATTTCGATTTTTTCACCCTCAATATAGCTTATAAAAAAAAATGAAAGGATACTGCCACTTGCCAATCTTTTTAAAAACTTTTAAAAACATATTTTAATTAAAAAATAAACCAAAAGTAGAGTTTCTCTCTCATCCACTCGCTACATCCGTGCCAGCCCTTTAACTTCCCAATTATTATTATTTTTCCTGCTTTTTTGCACAATACCCTCCCATTCCCGCCTCTTTCCTCTTCTATGCAAAAACCCTTCTTCAAAGTCGTCTTTTTCTCTTCTTCGACTCCTTCATACATACAAACCAGGTATCGATTTCTCTTTTTTTTTTTACTGTAATCTACGGGTTTTCATTGTTGTCCATATTCTATTTGTGGGTAAACTACTAATTACTGATTTTTCAGTCTGGGATATTTATTTTCCTTTCCCCTGTTCTCCTTTGTTTTTTTCTCTGCTTAATCTTTAATATAACTCTTGAAATTTTATATTACCTAGAAGGATGTGATCAGTAATTTTTTTGTTGCTATTATTGTAAAAATTGCTTACTCTTCATGTGAATTTTGATTTCCTGTAAGTGAAAAGCTAATTTACATGCTATGTATATATATATATATATTTATATCTCTCCTTACCTTTTGAATTTTGTTATATGAAATACAAAAGGTTTTTGCACAAGAGACGCAAGAGCAATGGCAAAAAAAGAAAAGAATGTAAAACATTAATTGCGTTTGGGAAAGAAAAAATTAATTAATTGGGAAGTTAAAGGGCTGGCACGGATGTAGAGATTGGATGAGAGGGAAACTCTACTTTTTGGTTTATTTTTTGATTAAAATATATTTTTAAAAGTTTTTAAAGAAGATTGGCAAGTGGCAGTATTCTATTGGTTTGGGATAATGAGTTGGAAAACTGACCTGGCATACCTGTGCCAGGAAAGTTTTTCTCCCAAATAAGGCCTAATTTCGATTTTTCCACCCTCAATATAGCTTGTATAAAAAAATAAAAATGAAAACCATCATCCCCACTACACTACAAACACGAACAAACTCCCCACTCGGGACCCACACCTCTCCATGTCATGCAAAGCGTTGGATTCACCAAGAGTGGAGCTCGGTATATACATCCAACGGACCAGAACGACTTATCGCCACCTACATAAGCAAAGCCCACTTTTCCTCGCTGAAAAAACCCTAAACCCTAAACCCCCTCCAATTTCAGCTCTTCTTCCCTCTCTATACAACGCCGATACTGACTGTTTTAGAGAAACTAGGAGAGGGTTCCACGGATAAAGTTGAAGCTCTAAACGCCTGCGTTTCGACTCCTCGATGGCGCTTTACCTGCTCTATGAAGCAGCTTCAGGCTACTCTCTGTTCCTAGCCCATGGCATCGACGAAATCGGTCAGAACACTGACGCGGTTCGGAGCTCCGTTTCTGACCTAAACCGGTTCGGGAAGGTGGTCCAGCTCACAGCTTTCCACCCATTTGAGTCTGCCCTCGATGCCCTTAACCAATGCAACTCAATCTCTGAAGGTAGATAAATGAAGCTTGTTTAGATTTTGGTTTTGTTTATGCATGTAATTGATTAGGTTTTGATTTTTAATAGCCGCCCAGATCCGAGAATTCGATGCGCTTATGTTTCAAAAGTTTGGTACCTTTTAGCTTATTTTATGTGTTTCTCGTCTTGTTCTCATTCCTGACTGAGATGTCCTTGCGACTGTGCCCTCGATTTACTGTTTTCCTGTGATTGGTTACTGAGAAAATGTTGGAAAATCCTATGGATAGTTGGAATCATATTACTAAGGAAGAAAATAAGGTTCTGAAAGTGGCTTGATTTATTTCAATTATGTCTTTTCTTTGTCGGTTGACAGTTCATTTATGTCTTTCAGTTATTGCCCTTTTGCTCTCAGTACCTATAAACCAAATGGTGATTGAGATTTTAGACTTTTGATGGTTTGATCCTGGGTTTTTTGTTTGTTTTCATTTTTTTAAGCTGTAGACGGAAAGGGTGATCAATTGTCTATTCATCTCTCTTTCTCTCTCTTCCTGTTGTATTCTCTATTATGCAGTAAAATGCTGAGACATTCGTTCCCAAAGGATTTCATGCTGACGAATTCTGGCATGCCACCTATAATACATTGTATATACATGTAGCATGCCACTCATGTTGCATATGTGAATTGGAACTAGCTTAATAGATTATAATATATTAGAATTTTTATAGCTGAAGTATACTTTTGCATCTCTTGGGTTGCTTGGTGTATTTAAATGACGTTTACTCTTTTAATTTGGTTTTTGGTGAGGTTCTGTCAACTAAAAGGGTATTGCTTATTAATTTTGGTTGCATTTCAGGGGTTATGACTGATGAGTTGCGAAACTTTTTGGAAATTAATCTCCCAAAAGTGAAGGATGGTAAGAAGCCAAAGTTCAGTTTGGGATTGGCTGAACCTAAGATTGGGTCTCATATCTTTGAAGCGACAAAAATTCCTTGCCAAAGTAATGATTTTGTCCTTGAGCTGATTCGTGGAGTGCGGCTACATTTTGATAGGTTTATCAAGGACCTAAAGGTTTGAATTTTCTTATCTACACATCCTATTTTTTCACAATAAATTTCTTTCTTCTTCTTGTTTGCTTTTTTTTCTTTTTGTGGGCTTAATATTTGAAGACAATATCCAAACATTTTTCATAATTCAATTTTTTGTTTTTGTTTTTCCTTCTCTCCTCACATTAGCCTGGGGACTTAGAGAAAGCCCAGCTTGGTCTAGGGCACAGTTACAGCAGGGCCAAGGTCAAGTTCAATGTGAACCGAGTTGACAATATGGTGATTCAAGCAATCTTCCTTCTAGATACCCTTGATAAGGATGTCAATTCCTTCTCCATGAGAGTCAGGTATGATACTGGCATTTACACATATTATAAGTTCAGTAGTTGGAATTATGATTTCTTACCTTAGACCATTTCCAAAACATTCAACCTGTTATATCCTTCGGAAGAATTTGTTAATTGTATTATTTTAATAAAGCTTGGGTATGAAATTGAAAAGAAAAGAAAAGAAATAATAATTTTGTGTATTATTATTTGTCACTTCTCTGCAGAGAATGGTACTCTTGGCATTTTCCTGAATTGGTGAAGATTGTCAATGACAATTATCTCTATGCTAAAGTGTCAAAATTTATAGAAGACAAGTCAACATTGTCTGAAGACAAACTTCCAGAATTGACTGACATTGTTGGAGATGAAGATAAGGCAAAGGAGATTATAGAAGCTGCCAAAGCATCCATGGGTAGAATTTCATGATGTATTGCCTTTCATTTATGTGTTTCTCTATCAACTTATTCATCATTCTTATTGTTATTTTTGTTTTAATTTTTTTTACAGGTCAGGATTTGTCTCCGATTGACTTGATTAATGTTCAGCAATTTGCACAGAGGGTAATGGACCTATCTGAGTACAGGAAAAGGCTTTATGATTATCTGGTTACTAAAATGAATGACATTGCACCCAATTTGGCCTCCTTAATTGGTGAAGTAGTTGGAGCGCGTTTGATTTCTCATGCTGGTAGTCTTACAAATTTGGCTAAATGCCCTTCTTCTACTCTTCAGATCCTCGGCGCAGAGAAAGCTCTCTTCAGGTGCTTTTATTTTTGCCTTTCCTAAAGACGCTACATGAAAGTTCGGCCTGCTACTTCCGTATGACAAGAACTTTTTAAGTCCTTAGGTTGACTCTTTTGTTCTTCTCCTCAGGGCATTAAAAACCAGGGGAAACACACCCAAATATGGACTGATATTTCATTCATCTTTTATTGGTCGAGCATCTGCAAGGAACAAGGGCCGAATGGCTCGTTATCTTGCAAACAAGTGCTCTATTGCTTCTCGCATTGATTGCTTTGCAGGTGAGTTTGAGCCTTCCTCATACAAATATTTGGCTGGCTAACTTTTCTCTTCTTATGCGTTGCAGTTTTTTTTTAATGCATAAATAATTTTGTTGTAACCTTCCATTGTACAGATAGTAGCACTACTGTTTTTGGGGAGAAACTTCGTGAGCAAGTTGAGGAGCGACTTGACTTTTATGACAAGGGTGTTGCACCTCGCAAAAACATTGATGTCATGAAATCTGCAATCGAGAATACTCAAAGCAAAGGTGCGTAACCAAGAGAATATAGTGCTAGATTTTTTCATTTCACATCAGTACAAGCATAGGAATACAATATTTGTGGCGGCATATGAATTCTTTCAATGATATAATATGAGGACTGGGACAATACCTTGCTGTTGCTCCTAGTTATAGACCTGCCTTTTTTCATGTAATTTTGATATTATACTTTTAATGTAACTTATGCAGACACAGAGATGGAGACAGAAGACGTTCCTAGTGAAGCTTCAGGGAAGAAAAGCAAGAAGAAGAAGTCAAAGGCTGCAGCTAATGGTGATGATATGGCTGTGGATGAACCAGCTGAGACTACAAATGGAGATGCTGGTGAGGGTAAATCTGAAAAGAAGAAGAAGAAGGACAAGCGGAAGTTGGATCAGGAGGATCAACCCATGGAGGATGTGAATAATGGGCATGTTGAGGAGGATGGAGCAGCCAAACAGAAGAAAAAGAAGAAGAGTAAACATGAAAATGGAGAGGATCTACAGGCTGCCAGCGATGTCAAGAAGAAGAAGAAAAAATCAAGAAGTGAAGACACCGACTAAATTTTGACGAATGTTCTGGTGCTTGAGGGACATGTGGATATATCCTGGGTTGCTGCCATTATGCTGTTTTGTTGTTCTACAGTTTCTTGGTAGCGTTTTATGTTATCAATATGAACCATGTTGAATACACCCCTATGTAGTAACCTTTCTAGTTGCACTTTCTCTTAATTTGAATTTATTTTTAACATCTGTGTTCTGCGGATTTGGCAATGGTTGTGATCTTAGGATCATATTATAGTTGTGCAGACAATAGAAATTGTAGTACAATGTAGGCTTTCGACGATTTTCTCGTTCTATAAAGCTGTTTGTGTTCAAGATTATATGCCAAGTGTTTGTAATGTGATTCCCTTCATGCCTGAAGCAAGGCATGTAATCTCAATTCCTAGCTGCAACTGATTTCCCAGAGAACAAAACTTTAAAAAAGTGTCAAAATCAATTCTCTTTTGTTTTTGCCTCTCTTTTTACCTTTTACCTTTACCTTTGTTTGTTAATTATTCAATGGATTGAATCCGAAGCATTGGCCGGATTCGCATGATGTCGAAATGTATTGGGAAGGAAAAGAAAAATCACAATTTGACTTTTTCTCTATTTTTTTAAATTTTAAGAAAATCATATTTTGACAATGCTTTTGTCCTTTTGACTCTCTAGGGCAATGCCCCGTTTGCCCATTCAGAATTTTTTATTTCATTATCAAAATTTAATATAAAAAGAAAAAAGAAAATTGTCCATTCATTCATTCAGATTTTCATAGCAGATCCAATCATCAAAGGGACAAAATAGTCATTTCATTGACCTGGTAGGTGAAACCGCTGCTTGTGTTTGAAGCATTGGAGGGTCCGAAGTCCGAACACGTACAACGACCACCTCACCTTAAACATCTCTCTCTCTCCCTTAGCGTAATTTCCAGAGTGAAAAAAACCCCTAACCCTAAGCACAGAGAAAAAATCAGCCATGGCAAGCATTTCTGCGGCAGCCAACTTGGAAGATGTGCCTTCCGTTGATCTCATGACCGAGCTCCTTCGTCGTATGAAATGCTCCACCAAGCCTGACAAACGCCTCATTCTCATTGGTGAATCCCTACTTATCCATCCTTCATTATACTCTTTCATATGCATATATGTGTGTTGTTTGAGTTTAAAGCTTTTATTTTGTTCTCAATTTTTTGTCAAGTTTTGATTTTTAATAGCCGCCCAGATCCGAGAATTCGATGCGCTTATGTTTCAAAATTTTGGTGCCTTTCAGCTTATTTTATGTGTTTCTCGTCTTGTTCTCATTCCTGACTGAGATGTCCTTGCGACTGTGCCCTCGATTTACTGTTTTCCTGTGATTGGTTACTGAGAAAATGTTGGAAAATCCTATGGATAGTTGGAATCATATTACTAAGGAAGAAAATAAGGTTGCTGAAAGTGGCTTGATTTATTTCAATTATGTCTTTTCTTTGTCGGTTGACAGTTCATTTATGTCTTTCAGTTATTGCCCTTTTGCTCTCAGTACCTATAAACCAAATGGTGATTGAGATTTTAGACTTTTGATGGTTTGATCCTGGGTTTTTTGTTTGTTTTCATTTTTTTAAGCTGTAGACGGATAGGGTGATCAATTGTCTATTCATCTCTCTTTCTCTCTCTCTTCCTATTGTATTCTCTATTATGCAGTAAAATGCTGAGACATTCGTTCCCAAAGGATGTCATGCTGACGAATTCTGGCATGCCACCTATAATACATTGTATACACATGTAGGTATCCCTGTGTGTATCAGTGTGTTTGTTTTAATATGTGATCTTATTTCCGCCTTCCCTCCCTGAAAAGAAAATAGGGAAATCTATGAGTTTTAGACATGTCTTTCCTATGTTGCTTCCTACGGTGGTGATACATGAAGCACCAAATTTTTCCAGGCTATAAGAAATTTTTCTCAGTGTGCTGGGTTTCATGCTAGGAGTGTTTTCTTTCTTTCCTTGGCTGTTTTCATGTGTGTAATCATACAAGTTGTATGGTGCAGGCCCACCTGGGTCAGGAAAAGGTACCCAATCACCTATAATTAAGGAGGACTATTGCTTGTGCCACTTGGCTACTGGTGATATGTTGAGAGCTGCCGTTTCTGCAAAGACTCCTCTTGGGATTAAAGCTAAAGAGGCTATGGATAAGGTAGAAACTCATCTTTGTATGTTTTCATACCATAAGATTTTTCCTTTGTACTGTGTTGTTTTATCTCCCACAGAATTGCTGATATGTTATAATGTAACTGTTTTTCAGGGAGAGCTTGTTTCTGATGACTTGGTTATTGGCATCATAGATGAAGCAATGAAGAAGCCTTCATGTCAAAAAGGTTTCATTCTTGATGGATTTCCAAGGACTGTGGTCCAAGCAGAGAAGGTGTTCCATTCTCTGGCATCTGAATACATGTTGCAATCAACACTTCTTGAGTTTCTCATGTTCAAAAGTGTCTTGTGTTGGTGTGCCCTTATGCTCTAACAGTAAGTATGGTTATATTCATTTTAATGCAGCTAGATGAGATGCTGAAAAAGCAGGGAGCTAAAGTTGATAAGGTGCTCAACTTTGCAATTGATGACGCAATCTTGGAAGAGAGGATTACTGGTCGCTGGCTACACCCATCCAGTGGTAGAACCTACCACACAAAATTTGCACCACCCAAGACTCCTGGTGTTGATGATGTAAGGAGGCAAATTTCTTTTCTGTTTTTTGGTCATTTGGTTTGAAAAACATTGTTCATGCATCTAAGAATATCAAAAGAGAGACAGGCAAGAAACATTGGCTATAGAACAAAAACAGCATATTAATGGCAGGTGTAATGAGGAACTTAGATATTCAGTAGGTAAGCCAGTAGTGGATGTCAATCTGCTTGTATGCATGAGCTTCAGTTATGCTCTTAGATGAATTTGTGCCGAAAAATCATTCTTCACTTGGTTCTTGTTTTGTTCAAGGTAACTGGAGAACCTCTGATTCAACGAAAGGATGATACTGCAGCTGTTCTCAAGTCAAGGCTGGAAGCATTTCACAAGCAAACTGAACCAGTATGGCTTCTTTACATTTGTCTTGAAAAACTTGGATGAGAAAATAATTAATGAAGTTATCCCTTTTGTATAATTGTGCATGATCTACATTCTGGAATGGTGATATTATTATTAGGTGGTTTTCTTGTGCAAAATGTGTTTTATGATTCATCTTCAGGTTGCAATGATGATGATGATGATGATGATGATGATGCGTATGTGTGTGGTTTTTCTTTTTGAAGCATCTGTGTTACTTGTGGTTTTTGTTTTTGTTTTTGAGGCATCTGTTTTATTGTTTGTTCTCTTGTAGAGCTGTAGTGAGTTAAGTGATAGATAATCTGAAAACCTCAGGCAATAAGTGCCTGAAACATTGGATTTGGTAGGACATAGTTGTGCAGACATATCTCAGCCGCTGTTTCTGGGATGATATCCTTCTTTGAAATGTTGTATTCTTTGCTTCCTGTCAAAATCTTCTTTGTTTTCTGTTCAAGTGCTTTATATATTTCTCAACCTTCTTGTTTATTACTCCAATTGATGTTTTGTATGGTTTCCTTTTGTTTTTCATTATTTTCTGTAATGGGTTTCATTATTTTGACTTGCAGGTTATTGGTTATTATTCCCAGAAAGGCATTGTTGCCAATCTGCAAGCCGAGAAACCTCCCAAAGAGGTCACTGTCGAGGTTCAGAAAGTGCTCTCTTCATAGAAGGGTCCCGTCCCTTTTCAACTTGGATGATTTATCCAGAAACTGTAGTATTTTTGTCCATCTGCATCCCGATATACAATTGAATCTGCCGATTTTCTGCTTATTTTATTGAATTTCAAACTGAAAGTACCGGCTGTTGTCAACTCTTGATAGTCCAATGAGAGGAGTAACTTGTCAAATAAGATTTATGGAATCACTATTTTATAGCACGGTGTGCGACTGAACCATGGTTTAGTGCAATGTTTTTCACTATCTACCGTTACTTGTACTGCAAAATCTGCTCTGCTTATATTAGTTTAAACATAAATTAGTTGGAGCTTCTGATGCTCTTTATTAAGTGCTCTAAGCCCTGATAGCTCATGTGGGGATTTTCCTTACAGCGCATATTGCTCTCCTATGGACCATAAAAAGCTTTTCCGGTGTCAAATTTTGATGAATTAGCCTTGGAACTTAAATTTTCTGTTTGCCGGTAAGCCCCTGTTGGTCCATACCTGATTTTGCGACATGAAGGTCAACCTGGTTGGTCCATGCATGCTTTTGCGACATGAGGGTAAGCCTTAAGCCAGACTACTAGCATCATGTGCCCCCAGGAAACAAGTATGATGAGACGGCATTAGGATTTAGACAGATGAAATTTTGGAGAGAAGCCACAGATATAGCAGCAAGAACACTCGCTTATCTCCAAGTGCAAAGGCGTAGTTGTTAAAATGTAGGTGAGGCTGAACAATAAGTCAGTAAGCCTTTTTCGCTTTTTATGATTTACTTTCTGGATCCGGTGAGAATTTCAGAGACTGACATTTTAGATGTTATGCACGATTAAGCAAAATAAATTAAAAGATGCTCCAAGCATAGTACAATGCATGAACGCAAAAGTAACCACTCATAGTGCTTATTCCTAAGTCAACTACTGTGTTTTCCATCGGTGAGGGAGCAAGACCTCACAAGAGCAACTGGCAGACTCCTTTCAACTGAACTTCACAGAAGATGAAGAACGCAGGACTGCAGACCTACGCATCCACTTTAATCTTTTCATCCAGATGAGAGAACTCCTGGAAAAAGGCTTTGAAATGCTCATATGAATACCGCACATCATCAACAGCACACATTTCTCGTATGCTGTGCATTGACAGCTGCGGTGCTCCTACATCAACTGTACGTATTCCCACTCCACTTGCAAGAATGGGACCGATGGTTGAACCACATGCCATGTCATTACGAACCACAAAATCCTGCATTTGAAGCAAAGCTCTGAAATCATCAATTCTTTTATCATATCAGATCTCTCACCAGAGATTGATTCTGGACCACTAACAGAAAGCGTGCTAGGTTTCAGTTAGTTATTTAATTTTCCAAACCCTTGTACTACTATCCTTGCATTTTGCATCAAGTGCATGTACTGAATGATGTTTTACGTTATCTTAGAAATTAAGTAACTTAAAATTTTCAAAACCAGAATACCAAAAATAGGGAGAGGCTGACCTGGACTGGCAGGTTATGATTCCTTGCTATCTCCCTGAATATTAAGGAAGTGACAGCATTGGTTGCATAGCGTTGATTTGCATTGTGTTTGATCACAAGTCCCCCGTGCAACTTGGGCTGATGATTGTCTTCATGTTTGTCCTGAAATGGATCCCTATATTAATACGGAGCAAAATTAATAGCACTGGAAAATTCATTAGTACATCAAACAACATACCATGTAATTAGGATGTAAGGCATGCGCCATGTCAGCAGACACAAGAAAGCTCCTCTGGATTGCTTTCTCAAGCAGCTGGAAAGAATCAGTGCAGCGCAGAAAAAAAAAGCAAGCCAGGTTAAAACACAGTTATTAATAAACAACCATTGAGCATGTTGTAAGGCACTGGACCCTTTACTATGACACAAATGATTGGTGCATCTAAATGACCAAAGAACTACAGCAACTAACAATCCTTTTTTGTATCAAAACAAACCCAATAGGGCGAGAATACCATTCAATTAAAAGGGCATCCAAGATTCACTACCTTAGAATCTGCGGCAAAGGAGTTTGTAATTCGTGAAAGAGTATTTAACATGGCTGGAGATCCAGCCCCCTGGGAGGAATCAGATCCAACCTCCTCATGATCAAACAAAGCCACCAATCTAACACCAGTCTCATCTTCAAGGTTGCTTTCAGAAGATTCTATCAATGCCTGCAAGTAAACAATAAGGCCAGAAATAAGAATCAGCCACTCCAAATTGAAACCACATAATACAATATACTTTCTCTTCTGCTAAAGAAAAAGAAAAAGAAAAAGAAATCAATACTGGTAATGTACTGCAGAGAACACAAGTATGAACCAACAATTAAAATCTTGGCAGAGAAAGAAAGCATAAACAAGTTTTTTATTAATTTCCTACCTTTAGAGAACAAAATGACATGCAGAGATTATCAAGCCTTCCTGAGAAAATAAATTCTTTTGTGGCACCAGCTACTATGCTTGGTTGAGTATCACATGCTTGCAATTCAAAATCGCTTATATGTTCTGGTTCACATCCAAGCTGATCTGCAAGTAGCTGGAAGGAAAGAAAGAAGATAAACAATATAATCACCATAAAAGCATACCCATAGTTGAAACCATCCAAAAGAGTACTAGTTGTCTTGTTATCCAGCTAACTCGTTCATGTAATTTGAAATCAACCAAAAAATCAATTGATCCTCCAATATTGAAAAGAAAGCCTATTCCATAATAAATTAACCTGTAGTAAAAGTGAGTGATGCTTTGAGTTATTTGAGGTGGTTCTCTCATTAGATTTCTTTCCATGAGTCTGAGCATCGCTATCGGCCTGACCATTTTCAGCAACCACTTTATTGAGCTCTGCCTACAAAAGTTAGTTCATTGAGTGAAAGAAAGCAACATTGAAAAGAAAGGAAGGCATATTGATTCTATTCTAAGATTAACTTTGCCAGAAATAAAACATTAGCTACTCAACTTCAATAATTAAATACCATGCTCATTACATATCTAATGAGCGTGGGTATAACAACGTTATAAAAGTGCATAATTCCAAGACTACCTTGATTGATGTTGCCAAGACAGGAAGAAGATGACTCTGTGTATTCACCTTAAATGCATCTTTGACATCCCTGACAAAAGACAATGAAAATATAGATTTCTATATAAAAAATTTGACAAAGGTAAGAGAGCACAATTTAACCAGAAAAAATAAATAAAAAAATCACCAACGCATATTTCAGTCCCAGTCATAAATCACTCAACAATCAAACGTGTGAATAACATATTGAGCACAGCAAGATTACCTGTCTAAGTGAATTGCCAGAGTAGGGATCCGCATTATGGGCTCCTCAATTCTGACAAGTTTATGTGAATAAGAAACAGAGCCATCTTTTTCTTCTCTTACTATCACCCTTCCTGCAATCGTCAAGTCACGGTCGAACCATGTATGCCATAAGCCACCTCCATAGGTTTGGACACCCACTTCCAAGTACCCACCTTTAGCTACCTGCACAAATCCCCCATATTCCAAAACAAAGTTCAATTTTGTTTCCAAAGTGTGTCCACTTTTCATCAGCTCATTTGCCTAATACTTACATTCAAATACCAAAAACAACGAAAAAGATATTACCTTGGAGACGGGTTTCAATTTGAGACAAGGACTATCAGTATGAGCACCAACTATATGGAATCCGTTTCCAGCAACATATCTAAACATCAGCTCCACAATATGAGCAAAATTAGCTTTCTGAAAAACTGAATCTTTAAGTTTAAAACCGAGCTTAAATCAATGAAAGAAAGCAAGCAGGCCGGAACTGAACTACAAAACAAAGGAAAAAATCGATGAAAAGAAGTCGTACTTTTTACCGATTGCGAAAGCGACAATGGTGGAGTAGTTCCTGGTGAAGAAATACTTTTTACCAGCTTCCAATTTCCAATCTTCTCTTTCTGAAACTGGCTCGTACCCTGCGTTTTGCAGGCGCTTCTTCGCCTCGTCTGTCAAAAGAAATCGAAGCAGATAACAAAGTCAGGCATTTGAAAAAACCAAATTTGAAACTCAAAACCAACAAAAGCAACCAACTTTGGATTGAAAATACTAACTGATGGAAAAGAAGAGAGAGAGAGAGAGAGAGAGAGATTTGGATGATTACCGACGGCGTGGAAAGCAGTGGGAGAAGCGTTGAGGAAGTTGATGAGATCAGAGACGACTGAGCTTCCTTCACAGTTCTGTTCTTGCTTTGCCATCTCTGTTTCTGTTCTCCGTTCTCTCTTGATGGTAAAGTCTCTCTTTCTCAGCTTCTTTTGTATGTATTTGGAGATTCCAAGATTTCTGGCTTTCAAGCAGCTGTCAAGCTTTTGAGGTTTTTCAATGGGACTCCGATTCCGCGTGAGATTTACTTACTGAATCAGATTCTTTGTGGGCTGTACAGGCCCGTATCCAAACTGACCCATTTTTCAGCATCATTTTAGAAATTTGCTACTAGAAAAACTTGTATATCACCGGAATAGTAACGGGTTACGGCCCTCAGCTTGATATGTATACTCATTTAACTTGCATATCATCTCTATTTTCTTAATTATTATTATTATTTTTTGGGTGATATGGGATTGTTATGATTAATCTGATTTTGTAATTTTTTTTTTCATGATCTCCCCATCATTTTCCATTCGCAACCCACCAATATATTGGGTCTCACTAATATATGGTACACAAGTTCCATTCATGACCCACCAACACATTGAGTGTATAAATGTGATCTCCTTAGCATTTTCCATTCGTCCGTTAATATTTCTCTTTCTAATACTGGAAAAAATTATTAAGTTGTCTCTCTTATTGATTAAAAAAAATGAAGAATTTATGTAACTTAAGGATGTATGAGCACAATGCAGGTCCATTAGATTTTAGAATGAATGACTCTTTATTCTAATTTACAGCTACACTTTGATTCCATTGGCGGTGTATGTATGTAATGTAAGCTTCCAAATCCAATCTTGCCCATGACTTGTAAGCTCTCTTTTGAATCCTTCATTCTATTCCAAATGTATGAGCCATGTTGTCTTTCTCTTTCTCTTTTTCTTTTTCTTTTTTTTCCCACGTGTCAATCAAAGCAATATTCTTTAATAACATCACATAACAAATACGCACACTCTCAAATAAATAAAATAAAATAAATTGCCTTTAAATGATCTCTACAAAAGTAAAATAATTTGTGGTTGATCATGATTAATTATAAATAAATAAATAAACTAACATAACTACTATTTAGATTATAAGAAGCACTTCGAACCTTTTGTATGCCTGCAAGCGTTAACATGTGTTTTTTTTTCCCCGGGAAAACCAAAACGGAAAAACCGTCGATTTCCTAGTGTGTTGCATTATTACCAAAACACCCTTTTATGAATGTCTTAGCATAGTTCTCTTACTACGCTAATTTTGCAACAAACCAAGGGCAAACTGAACATTTCACATTAAAAACCAAGAATCGAAGAAATCGCCTTCCATAACAAGCTTCTCTTGCTTTCATCCAATTCCCATTTGTTTTCTTCACTTACAATCTTTCAAACCTCTCACTCTTCCCTCTTCTCTCTCTCTCTCCAAGAACTCAAAAACCCAACATTTGCAGAGAAGCAGAGCAATCTTCCAAATCCCAACTACACAGAAAACGCCATTGTTTGATTTAAAGCTCTGCTTTCATTTCATGGCAAAAGCAAGGAACATGAAGACCTCCACCTTCACCACAAACCCACCATCACCATTCTTTCACTTACTTCCAGTCACTCCACTCACCACCCTCCTCTTCTCCCCCAAGACGAACCGTTTAAGGCACCCCAAGCTCTGTTCCAAGCACCCATTAACTCTCTCAATCTTCTACCTTTCTCTCCTATTTTCCGTCACTTTCTTGGGAATTTCCATTCTCACCCTCATCCCCTCTTTCCACAACTCCATTCCCTGTTCAACACCATCTCCCACGTCGTCATTCTCTCCTTCATTCTTGGCCTCACTTTCTTCCACAGTTTCATTCAACAATGAAGATGATCAGCCAAGATTGTCAACCAGCGCCATGGTGCCATTCCCAGCTCATGGGGCTGTTGGGAATGTTTCAGAGGCTGAGAGGGAGTTCTGGCAACAGCCCAATGGCGAGGGCTACGAGCCTTGCTTGGATTTCAGCCTCAGATATCGAAAACTGTCTGCCAGGATTTCCAAGGAGAAAAGGAGGTTCTTGGTAGTGGTGGCATCAGGGGGTTTGAACCAGCAGAGAAATCAGATTGTTGATGCTGTTGTTCTTGCAAGAATTCTTGAGGCTGCATTGGTTGTACCAACCTTGCAGGTTAATCTCATTTGGGGAGATGAGAGGTTTGGCTTTCTGTTTTGATCAATTTTGATGTTCTTGGTCCTTTTAATCCAAATAATGAATGCCTCTACAATTTGGGTACATTGGTTTTTGAGCATGTTAGTTTTTTCTTTTGTATACTTTGGGCTTAGTTTCTTGTTTAATTTTAATTTTGTAGCGTAATTTTAACATGGTCTCATTCTACAGAAAGAATCGTTCTGCATTGATGATAATTGGTGTACATGAAATTTTAGGAATGAATTAATTTGTTTCAGTTGAAATTGCAGTGAATTCTCGGATATTTTTGACGTGGCGCATTTCAAGAAGACTTTACAAGCTGATGTACGAGTTGTGTCATCTCTTCCCTCCACACATTTGATGTCAAGACAGACAATTGAAAACAAGATTCCACATGAGGTCACTCCACAATGGATCCATACCAGATTCTTTAATCAAGTAAGGGAATCTTTGTCACGTTGATACTTGTTTTCGAAGCAATTTCTAATTCAGAACTGATTTGAACTATGAAAGAAAAATCATTTTCCTGAAATTTTGTTTGGGATGTTATGCAGCTGAAGAGAGAAGGCCTTCTTGTGTTAAAAGGGTTGGATTCTAAGCTCTCCAAGAATCTTCCGCCTGATCTGCAGAAGCTTCGATGTAAGGTACACAAGGAATTAATCAGCACCATCAGATTCACAGCAGAAGGGCATCTCTTGTATATCTATATCCTACTACTATATATTTGTATCTTCATGAGATCGTTGTTTCTGTTTCTTGTTTGTTTTTCAGGTAGCTTTTCATGCATTAAGATTTGCATCACCGGTTCAAGAACTTGGAAATCTACTTGCAAAGAGAATGTGGATTGAGGGGCCGTACATTGCACTCCATCTCCGGCTAGAGAAGGATGTGTGGGTCAGAACCGGATGTCTCACTGGTTTAGGCCCTGAATATGATGACATTATCACCAAGATTCGGGAGTCTCAACCAGAATACCTCACAGGAAGAGTAAACATGAGCTACATCCAGCGGCGACTTGCTGGACTCTGCCCTCTAAATGCATTGGAAATAGCAAGGTATAGTAGCAGAACTGCAGAGCTGTCACTTTATAGTTTTAAGTACCTTCTTTTTTCTTTTCAGTGGCATGTTCATAAGTTGTGGTGCTAATGCAGGTTTCTTAAGGCTCTAGGAGCACCAAGTGGTGCACGGATATACAGCGCAGGAGGTGAGGCATTTGGGGACAGCAGGGCTCTGCAGCCACTTGTGGCAGAGTTTCCAAATTTAGTGACAAAGGAGATGTTGGCGCGAGATGGAGAACTCTCTCCTTACATGAACAAGTCTTCAGCTCTGGCTGCCATTGACTACATTGTCTCTTTGAGCAGTGATGTCTTTGTACCTTCACATGGTGGAAACATGGGCCGAGCAATGCAGGTAAGATCTTAATCAAAAGCTTTTTCATTCTGATAATTCTGTGTGAAATTAACCCTGAATCAAGACATTATTTGATCTAATGTTTCTCATCTTTGCTTTGTATTTTCAACTTGACAGGGTCACCGTGCCTATGTGGGACACAGAAAGTTTATAAAGCCTAACAAGCGAGCGATGCTGCCTCATTTCGAAGACGCCTCCATTGGTGATGCAGAATTTGGAAGCATCATGAGAGAGTTGCATAGGAAGTCCCAGGGGCAGCCTGAGCCAAGGGGTTACAGGAGAAACCGAGATGTGATTGCATACCCTGTGCCTGAGTGCATGTGTAAACACAACGCAGGCATTTTCTAGTGCTAAATCATGAACATTTTGTATATCTGTCTGTTTTTACTATAATGAAAATTTCTGTTCATTGTAGCACTAAGTTTGGACTGCACGTTTAAGCAATAATTCACATAATCAACAGTCTGAAAATGCAGTTAAGCATAGCTGCAGACTTTGTCTGGCCGAAAGTAGAGTAAAAAAGAACCCTTATATTTCTGGATGGGAAATTGGTGAACTATCTTAACTCTTTCTAGTTTTGAACTCAGTTTGAAAACGCTGAAAGCTTGTGTGACTTTGCAGTACTAATTAAAATGCTAAACGATAATGAACCGCCTTAAATTATTTGTAACCAAAGCAGTTTGGATACAAAAGTATGAAAGGAAACATAATCTTGGTAGTTTCTTCAATCAGATCAACACAATAATACAGAGAATTAGAGAATCCAAGGAAACATAATCAGATTCTAGTACTTATCACCATCTTGAAGGCATGAAATAACTTGCTTTTGCATGCATCCATCCAAGAGGACAAAACGGTGACCAAATCAAAGACAAATAAAAGCAATGAATGTGATAGAATTTACTAGTTAGATAATAGTTGATCACATATTTTTATTGCTCTCATCATATAATCAAAATTGATCGTTAAGAAGTAAAATATAATAAAAACAATAGAATATTGAGTTATGCAATTAAGCAGATAATTTTATAATTCCTTCAGTGCCATACTGTTTCTAAATATTCGAATAGATTTATATTTAAACCCTTCAACTATTTTAATGTATTTAAATAGTACAGCCGCGCTGCTGTACTCTTTATATAGCCGTCCGGCTATACTGTTAGTATTCGAGAAGACTTTACAAGCTGATGTACGAGTTGTGTTATCTCTTCCCTCCAGGCACTTGATGTCAAGTCAAGACAGACAATTGAAAACAAGATTCCACATGATGTCTCCACAATGGATCCATATCAGATTCTTTAATAAAGAAAGGGAATCTTTGTCAAGTTGATACTTGTTTTCGAAGCAATTTCTAATTCAGAATTGATTTGAACTACAAAAGAAAAATCATTTTCCTCAAATTTTGTTTGGGATGTTATGCAGCTGAAGAGAGAAGGTCTTCTTGTGTTAAAAGGGTTGGATTCTAAGCTCTCCAAGAATCTTCCTCCTGATCTGCAGAAGCTTCGATGTAAGGTACACAAGGAAATTAATCAGCACAATCAAAATCACAGCAGAAGGCAATCTTTTATATATCTATATCCTACTACTATTTGTATGTTAATGAGATCGTTGTTTCTGTTTCCTGTTTATTTTTCAGGTAGCTTTTAATGCATTAAGATTTTGCAGCACCGTGCAAAGAGAAAGTGGATTGAAGGGCCTTACATTGCACTCCATCTCTGGCTAGAGAAGGATGTGTGGGTCAGAACCAGATGCCTCACTGGTTTAGGCCCCGAATACGATGACATTATCACCAAGATTCGGGAGTCTCAACCCGAATACCTCACTGGATGAGTAAACATGAGCTACATCCAGCGGCAACTTCCTGGACTCTGCCCTCTAAATGCATGAGTAGAATTGCAGAGTTGTCACTTTACAGTTTGAAGTACCTTTTTTTTTTCAGTGGCATGTTCACAAGTTGTGCTAATGCAGATTTCTTAAGGCTCTAGGAGCTCCAAGAGGTGCATGGATATACAGCGCAGGAGGTGAGGCATTTGGGGAGTGACAAAGGAGATGCTGGGCGAGACGAAGAACTTCAGCTCTGGCTGGCTGCCATTGACTACATTGTCTCTCTGAGCAGTGATGTTTTTGTACCTTCAAATGGTGGAAACATGGGCCGAGCAATGTAGGTAAGATATTATTCAAAAGCTTTTTCATTCTGATAATTCTGTGTGAAACTAACCCTGAATCGGTACATTTGATTAAATGTTCCTCATCTTTGCTTTGTATTTTCTACTTGACTGGGTCACCATGCCTATGTGGGATACGCACAGTTTATAAAGCCTAACAAGCGATCGATGCTGCCTCCATTGGTGATGCAGAGTTTGGAAGCATCATGAGCGAGTTGCATAGGAAGTCTATGGGGCAGCCTGAGCCAAAGGGGTGACAGTAGAAACCGAGATGTGATTGCATACCTTGTGCCTGAGTGCATGTGTAAACACAACACAGGCATTTTCTAGTGCCATTTGTGAAATATTTTGTATATGTGTCTGCTTTTACCATGTTCAAGCAAGAATTTACATAACCATTTGTCTGAAAATGCAGTTAAACATAGCTGCAGACTTAGCTAAACGATATTGGACTGTCTTGAAGTATTCAAGCAGTCCGGAAACAGAAGAATGAAAGCAAACATAAATCTCTGTAGTTTCTTCATTCAGATCAACACAATAATACAGAGAATTAGAGAATCCAAGGTAGATATTAAAAGCATGTCTTAGGTAATTCTTACTTGAGTTGAGCCAATGTGGAAATGGGGCAGGCAGCTGAGCCTGAGAGCTAGGACTCCATGTGTGCAAACCATGTTTACAGACTAGCTACTCCAACAATACTGGATGATGGAGACACAGCAGTATTTCACTGGTTAAAATCTTTACTTTGACACGTGGCATAATAACATTGGCGCTGAAATAACAGTACCATTTCATATTGTTCCCAATCACCTGCTTCTATTGACCAAAAAAATTAAAAATTTAAATTAGACTTTTAAAAAGAAAATCGCATGCTTCTGACCTTGTTAGCTTACCGGATCCCCCTCCAGAGACCCTTCTCTGTAATTCAATAGCCGATCGTCCCCAATCACTCCGGCTATTTCTTCGATAAGGTACGTCTCTCATACATACAGACATAGCTGACGTATATATCAATCATTACCATCATCACGGTAGTTGTGGGCGTTTTAAAATTAGGGTTAGGGGTGGGAGTAGGTACCGTCTGCATCTGAGTTTTCAGGCCAGTGAGAGCATTTCTTAGCTGAGTTTTCAGGAGCAAGTTTCGTTATAGGCAGATTGGTGGCAAATTCACTTCTAATCGTCATGGGCCTGTTTGGTGGGCTTGAATTGGATTCGAGCCCACACCGAGCCTTCTCCTCCAATCCAATCTTCATCATATCACCCCGATAAAACTAGGTTCTTCACCAATCACCTCCGGCGAACTTGAGCTGTTTCCAGCGAACCTCACCCATCTCCGGCTCAAACCGTGTAATCTCCGATCTCTTATTTCTTTTCTGGACTTCTTCGTCATAAGTGATTCTTCTGTGGTCGGTGTCTCCTTCGTCCCCTGTGCTTCTCCTTCATCGTCTTCGCCGATTAAGATCTTGCGTTTTGTTTCGATTGCCATGTGAGTTTTAATGATTAAATTCTCTGACAATATTTGAGATACTTTTAGGTTAGGATAACGCTTGAATTTTTCATTTGATCATACAATATTGAATTTGGTTTTGTTTCCCTTTTACATTTCACGAGTCTTTGCAATGTTTAAATGTCTGTACATGTGTGTGTGACTGAAACTGCAATTGGGTATATCGTCTGAATTCCTAGTTTGGTCTTTTAACAGCTTCAATGATTTCTGATGTTCATTTAAGCAATTAAACAGTAATTTGATGCGAAATCATTATCTTAATCATGCATTTGATGCTCTAATGCATTCGTTGTTTCAACACATGAAAGTTGAATTCTTGTTGTGAAAATGAAAATTTTCATATGGTGGTTTTGTTCTTCTCAGAGTGGATCAAAGAGTGATACGGCATTAACCCAATTGCTGGAAGAAAAAAAAAGAAGCTTGTGAAATAGGCAAACTCCTTCTCACAGTTAGTTTATGTTTTCGCATACTAGCTATATAATATTGGTTGGGGTCGTCTCTGGGAGTTAAAGAATTTGGCATAGCTAGTATGGTCAGTTGAAAAGTTTGTTTGTTAGCCAGTGTTCAATTTTTATGTCTGAAATAGCAATTTTTAGCATTATGCAGCTTCTTTATCCCATGTATCACCAATCATAAGATAGGATTAAAGATGTTAAATATGATCCCGTGTAATATAGTACTATGTAATAATCCTATCCAATCCTGCATGCCAAACGAGGCTTATGTTCAGATTTTACCCATATGTGCCCCTGGCACTGTATCTTGTCATTGTTGAATTGTATTTTTCTTCTTCCGACTTTACAGAGATTCTAAGCGGCATTCTTCAAATATGGCATCGTTCCGAGCATTCTTGAACAGTCCAGTTGGTCCAAAAACAACTCACTTTTGGGGACCTGTTGCGAACTGGGGCTTCGTTGCTGCTGTATGCTTCACTTCCATAATTTCTAGAATGTATTTAATTTCAAATGAGGTTTCTTGCTTTTTGACTAATTCTGATTATAATGGGTTGATTAACAGGGATTGGCAGATATGAACAAACCTCCAGAAATGATTTCTGGCAACATGACAGCAGGTCCAAAATAACTGGTTTTCAAGTATGTAAGTTATTTCCAGTATATATTATGTGGCAGGAGTATAATTTACTTTGGATTTGGTTCTGCAGCAATGTGCGTTTATTCTGCATTGTTTATGAGATTCGCATGGATGGTACAGCCTCGCAACTATCTACTTTTGGCATGCCATGTCTCAAATGAGACTGTCCAACTCTATCAACTCTCTCGCTGGGCAAGGGGTCAGGGGTAAGTGACTAGCTGATTTTATCATCAATTTTATTGTAAATATATGATAAAATGACAAATTGCTTTCTTTAGTTGAGTTGTCAATTGCCTAAAACACAATATCCGGAGATTTATTGTTATTTGCTTGCTTTATTATAGGTACTTTACCCAGAAGAAGGATGAACCGGCGTCCGAGTAGCTTGCTGCTTCTTTCATTCCCTTCCTGGTTCATTGCCGAAAACAGACGATACTGCCACCACCACCTACACTCCATGTTCTTGAAGAACCAGGAAGCAACTTCGGCGGCTGGTTTATTCACTTCGAAGGATCTCATGCTTGCATTTCCTTTTGTTGTACACGTAAGCAAAGTGCAAGACCCAATAATTGAAAAAAGATCCATAACTGTATGCACTGAGGGAACAATACCCATGATTTTAAATAAATAAAAACTTCTGGAAGAAATCAGTGACTGTGACATAAGAATATAGCAAAATTGGAGACATCTCTCAAAACGTTAAACTACTAATTTATTTATTTTAATAATAATGTTTCTTCAACCACTCAGTTTTAACATCAATGTGTTTTCGTAGATCATACTTGCCATTATTTCCGAGTTGTAATTACTGTGAGTTTCTTGCTATTAGTTGTGTGCGGTTTTTTTTTCTTCTTCTAATCTTTCAATCTTCATGACTAATTTATTTATATATAAAATAATAAAAAATTATCAAATTGTAATTCTTTTTTATTGTGTGTTTACAGTTTCCCGAGTTATAATAATTGCATCAACTCTTTATGGGTTGGGTGTTTGTTACTTGTGAGAGTTCAACAATTGTATTTGTATTGTTAATTTAGGCACTAATACTATAGTTAATCTCTGACGTGTTCAGGCTTAGTAAATACCCTATTGTTGGTTTAGGGCTAAGCATAATCCATCACAGATTTATATTGCTTTCAAATATATAATCAAAACTGATCACTAAGATGTAAAATAAACACACAATTGTGTTGATAAAATTTGTCGAAGCCTCCCATTTATTTAGTTTGAAGATATAAGAATGTGGGGAGATTTTGGTAAAGATGGATGAGAAATAGTCATACCGAGTCATAAAGCCAAGTACTACAAAATGCCCACTGTGATGTGATGTACTAATATTCAAAGCCTTCGTTTTGTTTAACGTTGGGAGGAGGTGTCTCCCAATACTTGGTCTGAATAAGTATTCACCAACTATTGACATAGTTTCTGAATTTTTGTAGGGACCACACTGGATTCACTTGGATTGGCCAACTTGTCCTATCTTATGGTGCAGTGTTGGTCTAAGAAGTTGAATAATTTTGCGTCCAAAAACAGGTTGAATAATTTAAATATTACGATTTTTGTATTTGGTCTGTTCGTTTGGATTGGACTCTGATTGTTCTAATTTTTAAATATTAATGTATACTTTGATTATCAAACAGCTCTTACATGATTTCAAGGCCATATAATTTAAATTAACGTAGCCACAATTGAAAATATTATATTTTTATATAAAGAAACTGGTCACAGAGATTAAAAATTAGCAAATTTAAAAAAGATAAACTCACATAATTAATATAGCAAGAAGCTAAAAAGTACAGTAGTATTCTCAATTCAAAAATAAAATAAAAATTGAGTTTAGCATCCGCAATGAGCTCCCTCTAATTTAATGTTGAGCCTGTTTGGTTTTATTCATATTTTAGACTTGTTAACTCTGTGAAGTGTTAAAGAATATAAGTCTCACATTTGAAACTTGGCCAAATAAAATACAAAATATAATGAATGGTTCTATTACTAATAATACCGAGATCTTTTGCGATAAAACCCCACACCTATTGGGCTTTGTAGGTAGTCAAGTTGGGAATAATATCGGTGTTGTTAGTAGTGGGTCACTGGCCCGTCTCTCTGAATTTAACATGAAGTTCAGCTTTTAGCTCTATTAAATTCTTGCCAATGGGGTCTAGTCCCGTAAAAAAGGGTTTTGACTTGCACACAAGGGTCTAATCCAAAAAAAAAGGGTCTTAACTTCCAGTGAAAAAGGTTCGACAACGTTTATCCAAATGCTATACAATTTTGGTGTTGATGATTGTGACAATATATACCGCAAAAGAATATCCGATTACTGTGGAAGGAAACGAATTACGTAACAATATGGTGCATGCATATGGTAAGGATGTATTCGTGTACGTACATTGTTGAGTAGAGCTTTCAGAGATGGGTGAAGCATGCCACCAAGACTTGGTCAATGCAGCTCTTCTTGCACGATCTCCTCCAAAAGTAGACAAATCAAATGCTTTGCGTTTGGCTCAATCCATACATCTATGACTATACTTGTGATTATTATATATCTGATGATCTCATCCTTATCAAAATCTCCACGCCTTATTATTTTCCTTCTTTATAATATCATATATCTACTTATAATTCCATATAACTCACTTCCAACCACAGTATGAAAAATCAATATTATCGGCGAAAATATCGTTTTATTGTGGCAGCGATATTTTGGCACTTTTCCACATATATATCGTCAATTTATCGATAATTTCGACTACAATATTTTCGTTCAATTGGCAGTGCAAATGGTCAATATATCGCAATATTATCGATATATAATATCGCGATATAAACTTTCAAAAATTAATTTACTAAAACCCACTCATGCTCGCGTGCAACCTCCAGAACCAAAGCCTCACAATAACGTCCATAGATGAAAGCAGTAAAAGTACCTTGCTGGGATTATTTCCCATCACTGGGTCACTGTGGTTGCCATTGGAGGAGTCCTGGTTGCCGTAGTCCTCGTACGAGCAGAGAATGTCGTCCGACACGAAATCGAAGCCCTGTGTGCTTGGGTTGGCCCGACCCGATGATCCAGACGCCATGTTGGGAGTGATCGGAATTTGGAAGTGTAGAGAGAAAGTTAGGGTTTTCCAGAGAGAGAAAATCGAGGTGAAGAAGATAGAGAGATGCAGAGAATTATAAAGAGAGAGAAAGAGAGAGACTTTGATTTTTGGTTTTGGGTTTGCCTGCAAAAGCAAGTTTCGTAATAATAAAATGGGAACAGGAATTTTTTAATTTATTCTGCATAAAAATAAGAAACACGAGGAAGATAGTGCTGGAGTTTGCGGTAAGATAAGGATGAGGCTCACCAACCATGCTTTTTGATTTTGCAGATAGGCTTGTATAAAAGTCCACTTTTCAACTTCTCTAATTTCTCCCCATGTTTCCTTTTATTTCCATAAAATACCCAAATCTCAAAGTGTTACATCACAATACATTGACTTTGTTTTTGTTCTTCTCTTTTCTCTTTTTTAATGAATTAATTACACTTTTGGTTACTAGAGTTTGGCTCAAAATCATATTTGGTCACAATGATTTAATTTCTCAATTTCGTCACCGTAATTGCAGTAGTTAATAAATTCAGTATAATGCCTCAATTTCGTCAATTTATTTAATTAAAAAATATTTGATATTAAGTTAAAAATAATTAACCTCCATATAAAATTAACAAACTATTATGGCTCAATCTATAACAAAGTCAAAGATGATAGCTCTAGTAATGGCTAGTGAAAGCAAGTTGGTTGAAAAACTTACGATATCGATAAATTACTATGGGGTGTTTAATTCTCTTCATTAATTACTCCATATTTTCTAAGTCACAGAGTTTGTCGGCTCGCAATATAATCAACTTAAATCACTCAAACCCACTATGCAATGCATTTCCTTCCAATTTTTTTGTGTCAAAATAATAGATAATTGACTAAAGAAACTTCTTCTAAAGTTTCATTAAAAATTTCCATGTATTTATCACAATTTCCATAGTTTTTATCCAATTTTTATTGATATCGATATTTTCCCGATATTTCCATCGATATTTCCGTATTTTTGAACCACCGATATTTCCGAAACTATCAATATTTAAGACCTTGCTTCCAACTGCATATATAGTGATGATGAAGCCCTTGCTGAAGCTCCTCCACAAGTAAACAAATCGAAGGCTTGGAGTATCATAGGCATGGCCGCTTGGGCGCGCATGGACGATTAAATCCTTGTTACAAACCCTGCATAATTATGTCAATGATTAAGTGGCGCCCACTTCCATGCGTATGCAACTGTTCCAAGCACAACTCAAATATTAAATAAAGTATTCTCAAGATCCTCCTACCTACCATGATACTGGCTGGCTGTGGCTGAGCTCCATTTCTAATCAATCATGGCGGAGGAAACAAATCCCAGCCATAGGATCGATCCAAAGAGCGGCTACTGTCCACAAACCAAGACTTTCCACACTCTCCGACCTCCAGTCCCACTCCCGCCTCTCTCCCAACCCCTCTCCATCATCCATTTCTCTCTCTCCCTCCTCCAATCCTCTGCGGCCGCGCCCACCACAACCGTCTTCATCGACTCTGCGTCCGGCCAACATGTGTCGTACGAGAACTTCATCGGTCAAGTCCACTCCCTCACTCTCTCCCTCCAGTCCCTTGCCCCCGCTCTCTCCAAAGGCCACGTGGCGTTCATTCTCTCGCCTACTTCCCTCCACGTCCCCGTGCTCTATTTCTCCCTCCTCGCCTTGGGCGTCGTCATTTCGCCCGCCAATCCAATCGGGTCCGAGTCCGAGATTGCCCACCAGGTCCGACTTAGCAGACCCGCCATCGCTTTCGCCACGTCAGCAACCGCTCACAAGCTCCCCAGGGATGAGCTCATCACGATAATCCTCCTGGACTCACCCGAGTTCCTGTCCATGCTCAATCGGGTCGGATCATCCGACACCCGACCTGACTTCGGAATCGAGGTCAGCCAAACCGACTCGATGGCGATTCTCTTCTCATCCGGCACCACCGGACGAGTCAAAGGCGTTCTCTTGACTCACCGCAACTTCATCGCCCAACTAGCCGGCGTCCACGCGCTGCGAAGCGAACCCGACCCGACCCTACCCGATGAGCAAACCGTCTCGTTTTTCACGCTGCCTCTGTTCCACGTGTACGGGTTCTTCATGCTGGTTCTGGCCGTGACGATGGCCGAGACCTTGATTTTAAGGGAGAGGTTCGATTTCGAAGCGATGCTGAGGGCCGTGGAGAGGTACAAGGTCAGCTACATGCCGGTGTCGCCGCCGCTGATCGTGGCTCTGGCGAAGTCCGAGCGGGCTCAGAAATACGATCTCAGCTCGCTTCGGCGTATCGGCTGTGGCGGCGCGCCTCTGGGGAACGAGGTTGTTGAGAGATTCACTGAGAAATTTCCCAATGTGGAAATTGTGCAGGTCAGCAAATCAAATTATCCGTTGTCGGAATTACGTACGGCAGTTTAAATTTAGGCGGTTGATTTTATTTTAATACATATTATTCAAGAGAGGTGGGGATAAGGGTAATTATATTTTTTGGGTCGGAAGGGATAAGGGTAATTAAGGGCAAAGAGACAGTGACAAATGCTTCTGTGACAAATGCTTGAATAATATTATGGTTTGTTTGTTCAGGGATACGGTCTGACCGAAGGGGGAGGGGTTACGAGGATGATAGGCCCGGAAGAGTCAAAACGGTACGCTTCTGTGGGCCGCTTAGCCGAAAATATGGAAGCTAAGATTGTTGACCCCGAAACCAGAGAGGCCTTTCCTCCTGGCCGGAGGGGCGAGCTGTGGCTGCGAGGTCCAACAGTCATGAAAGGTAAGTGTCCAACATTGCAGAAATAGTTTATCTTAAGATAATCGGCGCCTTTTCTTACAAGTCGGTTAATATAGGAGCAAGTTCTAGCCATGAGCCGTGACACCATTGCCTTTTTGTTAGTGTGTGTGTGTGAGTGAGAGACAATGTAGTTTCAAATCTAATTGATCTGTGTAAAACCATTTACAGGTTATATAGGAGATGACAAGGCAACTGCAGAGACCTTGCACTCAGACGGGTGGTTGAAGACGGGTGATCTTTGTTTCTTTGATGACGAGGGGTTCCTTTACATTGTTGACAGGTTAAAGGAGTTGATCAAGTACAAGGCCTATCAGGTGATTGCAAGTGAGATCCTTTGAGAGTTAAACTCATAAGAGAGATCGTTGTATAAGTATTTGATCAGTCCATTGTTGTTTGGTCTCTCTATGTCCGGAACAAATTGCAGGTACCCCCAGCTGAGTTGGAGCTTATACTTCAATCCCATCCTGACATTGCTGACGCTGCTGTGATTCCGTATGTATCTAGTACTATGACATTCTTTGCTTGTGAAAAAGCTAGTTTCTTTTCATGCTCTATGGCATCAATCTAGCAATTGATGACTGTAATCTCTTATTTGCCACTTTCGAAAGTCATTTCTTAGACGTTTAGAAGTATTTACTTGAGAAAAGAAACTGGTACATAGAAAAGAAAATACTCAAGAACATATGAAACACTGAAGCAGAAAAAAAAATTGTATGGAGGTGAAGAAAATGTTCATGGATACTTTGCTGATAATATTGCCTCCACTGTCTTGCATAGTTAAGTAGCATGGTCTCGTGGTAGAAGATTCTGAAAGAATTTGCAGTATATCTCATGTATCTGTTTACCTCCTCAAGGTATACTAGTTATTTCTGCTCGTTTGCGTTTCTGAAGCAGGTATCCCGATGAAGAAGCGGGGCAGATTCCCATGGCCTACGTAGTTATAAAGCCTGGAAGCAATATCAATGAGGCTGCAGTTATGGATTTTGTTGCAAAACAAGTATGCTCCTGAATACTTGTAAAAAAATCCAAATGATTCTTTTCATAATTAACATCCATACTTCCAGTCTCTTGAAGTTGTATGTTACAGGCCATCCATCACATTGAAGTTGGTTTCTTATTGCAGGTTGCACCCTACAAGAAGATTCGACGTGTATCGTTTATCAACTCGATTCCGAAATCTCCGGCAGGAAAGATCTTGAGGAGGGAGCTCATTAGTCATGCTCTATCTAGCCGTTCATCTAACACATGATTTACTAATTCAAACAAAGGAAGAAAGCTTGCCGAGCATTGCATTCCAATTCAACATATCAACTTGTTCCTGTTCTTTAAATATGCAATCTTGGAAGTCACAGTTGGATATTTTTCTGATCAGAGCCTTATGTTTCGTTTCTTTTTCCCCTGTGCACGTTATTTGGGTTACTTTTATATCTAGAACATTTTTCTGTGAGATAGTTTGAAATTCATCATGAGACCCTTTTATGCTTGATGCATTGTACCTTCAAAAACATAGAACAAACAAACCCATTTCTCTTTCCTCTGTTCTTCATAGAATCAATGCCCATATGAAGGCACACATGGAACCACTGATTTGAACAAAACCCATCCCAGACGTTCAAATTTGTTTCTTGCTCACTTTTCCTTCACTTTATGGCAATCCCAAACTCAGAAACACCTCAAACTCCAAACCCTAATGATGTTGCCACAGCTTGGAGACCTTTCTCAGGCTCTTTGGCTTCTGCCAGTACTCTTTTCTGAGCTTCAGCCTCTCATGGCTTGCTTTCCTTCTCGTGGTTGCACTTCCAGTGGTATCATTGAAATCTCTTATAGTTCCAGTGGTGAAAAGTATCAGATCAAAAAGTTTGAGCTTCAGATTCTGATTTCTGAGTCTCTCGTGGCCGCCATTTATCTTGCATGTATTTCTTACAACCTCCGAAAGTATGGCGTACGGAGGTTCTTGTTCGTGGATAGGTATCATGGTCATAAACTTCAGTACCGTGATGAATATATACTAAAGATCAATCTGAGTTTGGCAGTACCCATAGCTCCTTTATTAATTTATTTCCTTTCTCAAGCAGCTGGAAAGATATCATAATTAGTTGGTGATTTGCGGTTGTGTATTTTAGAGCATCTCCCTTGGAGATGATATATTGACGGCTGATGTGTCATTTGAAATATCCTATTCCAACCAATATGTCAAATTTATTCATTATTTTATTGTAATTGGACCCCACACATGAATGTGAAAGAGTAAAACATTTAATTGAAGACACAGAATAGCTCGTGTTTCATAGTGAGATGAAACCCTGAAGTAAAAAAATTATTAAAATAAGAAACGATGCCTCACTTTGGTCGCTGTCAAAAATAAAGTTGAGATGACAGCTTTCAAATCCTTGTCACCATTAACTCTTCGGTTGGAGCATTATATGATGTCAAATTTTACCAACAAAATTCCACCTGGCATTTTAGTATATTGATTAGAAATGCTCTTTGTATTAAGACACCATATGAAAAAAAGAAAGTTAGGATACTAAACTCCGGATGCATAAGTGAGTGACTTTCAACCGTTGATAAATTGCGAACCCTACATACATGCATTAAAGCTTCGGAGGTGCCCAAGTGTGCATGGATGCTTGTCTCGAGCACATATCAAACATAAAATATCTATGTACACCTACGAGTAACAGACTTCAAATCGTTGATCAAACATAGAAAAGGAGAGAATCAGAATGTGGTATGTGATATTCTAATAGTGTATTGTGGTTGTTTCAAATGTGAAGGATGAGTGACATTTTATAGGCATCCAATAACATGTAACCTTCACCAACCAGAAATAAAACATGAATATTAAATATTTGTAACCCCACAATAAATAAAATAAAACAACTAAAATAATTAAATAAATAAAACGGTTAAATTTTTAAAACCTTTTAAAATTCCAACATTACAAACCCTGCATATGTCAATGGTTGGTTAGGTTGCGTACCACTCACATGCGTATACGACTCTCCTAAGCACATCTCAAACATAAAAAAAATCTATATCCACCTTCCGTGTTACTTACCACTATATACAGCATGGTGATTATAGTAAAAACCTCCCAATACCAAATGCTTGGGGCCCAGTTTGGCAGATGCAAAGAAAGGCAAAATATCCCCCGCTTCTAACGTCCGCATTAAACTCATGTTTCCTCCATTCTACATCTATCCACAATGATATATTTCCTTTCCTTCTCCAAGCTAGAAAAAGCCAAGTCAAACACGTGTAAAGTAATAATAAATTACTCTCTCCTCTTTTGGGGGTGTATTCAATTGATATTTTAATATATTGTAATTACATTATTTTAATGTAATGCATTTCAGCCGGATTTGTAATTTAGGGTTTTACTCATGATTTTAATAGATTGCAATTACATGATTTTACTTATGATTTTAATTCACTTAGGATTTTACTTATGATTTTAACAGATTGCAATTACACGATTTTACTTATATTTCTATACAAGCTTGAACTCAATCACCCATCATCATTCACCTAAATACATAACCTCAAGGAATATACCCAATTTTTAGGGTTAATACAAAGATGAAGGCATAGTAACCATCAAAGATTAGTCCAAGGAGAGTATACTAACATCAACAATGTAACTCTCAACATAACCACACATGGCCAGAATGAATACTTTAAAGAAACACAACACAACCGAGAAACCAAAGAAATACAAAAGCATAAGCAAAGGCTAAAAGCTACATCCAAAACCACCAACACCTAATGCAAAACAGATAACACTAGAAATACAAAATAAAGAAACATACTGAAAACTCCTAGCCCAACCCCACAATTGCTCCTAGTTTTTCTCGAAGCTTGAACCAAAACTACAGAGTGAAAAAACACACATTAACACCTTATCAACGTTTCTTCTAGATGTGTAGGGTTTTTTTTTTTTCTTTTTTTTTTTTTTTTTTTTTTTTTTTTTTTTTTTTTTTTTGGTCCCAAACATTTTGGGACAGGGAATTAGAAAAAATATTTAGCCATGTGCGATGTAGGCACACCGACATAGTTGTGGAGGGATGCAACTCCTTGCGAGGAAATGTCTACAATGAGCAGGAGATTCTAAAAAAAAACAGTATCGAAAATATAATTTTGCTCCAAATAAGCTTGTCTACAAGGAAAGAAGAGCTATTGGAAAATGCCAATTAGTTCCAAAAGAGGCAATATCGTCTTTCTTGTTAATGTTTCTTTATTCTCTCTTATGAAAAGTTTTTTTTTAGTTTTTTTTTTAGGAAGATGAGATTTGTTATGTGATTTAGTATTTATATCACACTCAAAAGTCTTACACAATACATCATTTAATGAAATACACCCCTCTTAGTTCTTGTTTGTCTGCATCTTATAATCAATGACAATGAGTAGGTCTTGGCCACACACGTCTTGGCCACCCTCACAGAGTGACATTTATATTAGATATATATTTAGGGGGTGTATTCAATTGTGATTTTAATAGATTCTTTTGAAGCTTAAAAGTACAGTGGTATTCAATTAGGATTTTTAAGTAATCAATAAAAATATGGTGGTATTCAATTAGGATTTTTAAATCATCAATACAAGTCCGGTGGTATTCAATTAGGACTTTTAAAATATAAGAAAATGTATTGTGGTATTCAAAAACTTATTGATTTTGAAGTATTTCATTAAATGATGTATTATGTAAGACTTTTGAGTGTGTGATATAAATACTAAATCACATAACAAATCTCATCTTCCTATGCATGATTCTCATACCTTTTTTTTTCCCACTATTCAACTGTACCAAAAAAAAAATTCATAAGAGAGAATAAAGAAACATTAACAAGAAAGACAATATTATCTCTTTTGGAACTAATGGGCATTTTCCAATAGCTCTTCTTTCCTTGTAGACAAGCTTATTTGGAGCAAAATTATATTTTCGATACTTTTTTTTTTTAGAATCTCCTGCTCATTGTAGACATTTCCTCGCAAGGAGTTGCAGCCCTCCACAACTATGTCGGTGTGCCTACAGGGCACATGGCTAAATATTTTTTCTAATTCCTTGTCCCAAAATATTTGGGACCAGGACAAAAAAAAGAGATAAAAAAGAAAGAAGAAGCCTTACCCACAATCTAGAAGAAATGTTGATAAGGTGTAATGTGTTTTTTTCAGTCCACAATTTTGGTCCAAGCTTTGAGAAAAACTAGGAGCAATTGTGGGGTTGGGCTAGGAGTTTTCAGTATGTTTCTTTATTTTGTATTTCTAGTGCTATCTGTTTTGCATTAGGTGTTGATGGTTTTGGATGTAGCTTCTAGCCTTTGCTTATGCTTTTGTATTTCTTTGGTTTCTCAGTTGTGTTGTGTTTCTTTAAAGTATTCATTCTGGTCATGTGTGGCTATGTTGGGAGTTACATTGTTGATGTCAGTATACTATTCCTGGCAGTGGCGGAGCTAGGATTCTGAGTATGGAGGGGCCAAAATTTCAAAATCACTTATACTAGGTTTTTAATCTTCAACTGGGAGGGCCATCACTAATCTAATTGCAGTTTTTGTATTACTATATCATATATTTTATAATATATTACAAAAGATTAATAATTAAGTGGGGGGGCCAGGGCCATGGCAGGCCTGGCTGTAGCTCCGCCACTGATTCCTGGACTAACCTTTAATGGTTACTGTGCCTTCATCTTTGTATTAACTCTAAAAATTGGGTATATTCCTTTAGGTTATGTATTTAGGTGAATGATGATGGGTGATTAACTTCAAGCTTGTATAGAATTATAAGTAAAATCATGTAATTGCAATCTATTAAAATTATGAGTAAAATCATATAATTACAAATCCGACTGAAATCTAATACATTAAAATCATATAATTACAATATATTAAAATCTCAATTGAATACACCCCTTTTATATATAAAGCTTATGAGGAGCTAGCTTAGCTCCAATTCTAATCAACCATGGCGGAGGAAACAAATCCCAGCCGTCGGATCGATCCCAAGAGCGGCTACTGTCCACAAACCAAGACCTTCCACACTCTCCGACCTCCGGTCCCACTCCCGCCTCTCTCCCAACCCCTCTCCATCACCCATTTCGCTCTCTCCCTCTTCCAATCCTCTGCGGTCGCGCCCATCACAGCCGTCCTCATCGATGCCGCTTCCGGCCGCCATGTCTCGTACGAGAACTTCATCGGCCAGGTCCACTCCCTCACTCTCTCCCTCCAGTCCCTTGCCCCCGCTCTCTCCAAAGGCCACGTGGCGTTCATTCTCTCGCCTACTTCCTTCCACATCCCCGTGCTCTATTTCTCCCTCCTCGCCTTAGGCGTCGTCTTTTCGCCCGCTAATCCAATCGGGTCCGAGTCCGAGATCGCCTACCAGGTCCGACTCACCCGACCCGCCATCGCTTTCGCCACATCAGCAACCGCTCACAAGCTCCCTAAGGATGAGCTCCGCACCATAATCCTCCTGGACTCACCCGAGTTCCTGTCCATGCTCAATCGGGTCGGATCATCCGACACCCGACCCGACTTCGGAGTCGAGGTCAGCCAAACCGACTCGGCGGCGATTCTCTTCTCGTCTGGCACCACCGGACGAGTCAAAGGTGTTCTCTTGACTCACCGCAACTTCATCGGCCTACTAGCCGGGCTCCACGTGCTGCGGCGCGAACCCGACCCTACCCTACCCGAAGAGCAAGTCGTCTCGTTGTTCACGCTGCCTCTGTTCCACATCTTCGGGTTCGTCATGCTGGTTCGGGGGGTGGTGATGGGTGAGACCTTGGTTTTGATGGAGAGGTTCGATTTGGAAGCGATGCTGAGGGCCGTGGAGAGGTACAAGGTCAGCTACATACCGGCGTCTCCGCCGTTGATCGTGGCTCTGGCGAAGTCCGAGCTGGCTCAGAAATACGATCTCAGCTCTCTTCGGCTTCTCGGATGTGGCGGCGCGCCTCTGGGGAAGGAGGTTGCTGAGAGATTCACTGAGAGATTTCCCAATGTGGAAATTGCACAGGTCAGAAAATTAAATTATCCGTTGTCGTAATTACATAATGCAGTTTAATTTTAGGCAGTTGATTTTATAGTTAGTTACTAATTAATATGGTTAAAACGTTGGGTTTGGATATTTTGGTCCCACAATTTATTTATTTTTCCAACTTATATTACTGGTAAGTGAATAATACGTTTATAATTAATAATACACATAAAATATTTTGGTCCCATAAAATATACGTTTATAATTATTTTTCCAAACTCTACTCTTGCTAATTGTCAAATGCTTGATTAATATTATGGTTTGTTCAGGGATACGGTTTGACCGAAAGTGGGGCAGCGGGTACGAGGATGATAGACTCTGAAGAGTCAAAACGGCATGCTTCTGTGGGCCGCCTATCCGAAAATATGGAAGCCCAGATTGTTGACCCCGAAACCGGAGAGGCCTTACCTCCTGGCCAGAGGGGCGAGCTGTGGCTGCGAGGTCCAACAGTCATGAAAGGTAATGAGACTTTGTCATGTCACAAGTGTACTATATTGCAGAAATAGTTTATCTTAAGATAATTTATAAGTTTTCGGCGCCTTTTCTTACAAATCAGTTAATATAGGAGCAAGTTCTAGCCATGAGTCGTGACACCAATACCTAATCTAATTGATCTTTGTAAAACCATTGACTTACAGGTTATGTAGGAGATGACAAGGCAACTGCTGAGACCTTGGAGTCAGCCGGGTGGTTGAAGACGGGTGATCTTTGTTTCTTTGATGATGAGGGGTTCATCTACATCGTTGACAGGTTAAAGGAATTGATCAAGTACAAGGCCTATCAGGTGATTGCAAGAGAGATCCTTTGAGAGTTAAACTCATAACAAAGATGGTTGCATAAGTATTTGATCAGTCCATTTGAGTAATGTGTTGTTTGGTCTCTCTATGTCTGGAACAAATTGCAGGTACCCCCAGCTGAGTTGGAACCTATACTTCAATCCCATCCCGACATTGCCGATGCCGCTGTGATTCCGTATGTATCTAGTACTATGACATTCTTTGCTTGTGAAAAGCTAGTTTCTTTCCATGCTCATATGGCATCAATCTATCAATTGACGACTTTAATCTCTTATTTGTCACTTTTGAAATTTTTTAGAAGTATTTAGCTGGGAAGAGAAACTGATCCATAGAAAAAAAAACAAAAGAAATTCAAGAACTTATGAGATCATTGAAGAAAATTTTGACAGATATTTTGCCGATAAGTTTGCCTTTATGAGAAATTTGGTCTTTTGCCTCCACTTTCTTGCATAGTTAGTGTCATGGTTACATGGTAGAAGATCATAGTTTCTGAAAGAATGTTGCAGTATATTTCATGTATCTGTTTACCTCCTCAAGGTATACTAGTTCTGATTTCTGCCTGTTGGCGTTTCTGAAGCAGGTATCCTGATGAAGAAGCAGGGCAGATTCCCATGGCCTATTTAGTTAGAAAGCCTGGAAGCAATATCACTGAGGCCGCAGTTATGGATTTTGTTGCAAAACAAGTATGCTCCTGAATACTTGTAAAAATATCCAATTGATTCTTTTCATAATTAACATCCATACTTCCAGTTCTCTTGAAGTTGTATGTTACAGGCCATAATATTGAAGTTGGTTTGTTATTGCAGGTTGCACCCTACAAGAAGATTCGACGCGTATCGTTTATCAACTCCATTCCAAAATCTCCAGCAGGAAAGATCTTGAGGAGGGAGCTCGTTAGTCATGCTCTATCTAGCCATTCATCTAAATTATGATTTACTTCTTCAAACAAATGTAAGCTTGCTGAACATTGCATTCCAATTCAACATATCAACTTGTTTTAGCACGTATATAAATGCAATCGATCTTGGAAGTCACAGTGGTTATGTTTCTAATCAGAATTCGACTGTGTAAAGCCTTTTGTAAGATAAACCTACGTTTGAGCCTAATTGAAATCTGGCCGGCTGAAGCACAACCTTTCCACACATTATTTGTTTTTGTTTTGTGTCCACATTATTTATGTTTACTGTATATCTATTTGTGAGAGAGTTTGAAATTCATCATTCAATCAAGACCCTTTTGTGCTTGATCCTTGATGCACTGTACCTCCACAACACATACGAATTTTCTTGTTCGGGCCATATCCGTTTATAAATTGGCTGAACACTTGAGTCACTTGTTTCCCTAGTAAGTGTTTTTGCTCATGTTGTATTCTCAATGTAATATACGTACTACCAGAGACTTGTTACCATTGTGGTTCTCATGATAAATAATAGTTTAGCTTGTTATAGAATACAGATTTGTTTCTGGAAAATGGTTAATAATTGTCCTACAACTGAACTTCAACTTAATGGAAGAAGCAATGAAATACCACATTACATTCCATTTGGACATTCTTCTATTGCACTAATCTGTCACAACCACACATCACGCCTGCTTTCTAATTTAAATAGTATGGTCGCTCGGCTATACTGCTAAAATATTAATATACTTGTAAGAGTATAGCCGGGCGGCTATACTATAAAAATTTTCTCTACTGTTACAATATTCGGCTATACTGTTAACATATTCTATTTATATAGTATAGCCGTACGGCTATACTGTAAAATTTATTAAAGTATATAGCCGACCGGCTATACGGTTAAAATATTCTATTTATATAGTACAGCCGTGCGGCTATACCATAAAATTTTCAACTTAAAGCCGTGTGGCTAGACTATTAAAATATTCTATTTATAGGGTATAGCCGTTCGGCCATACGTTTAAAATATTCTATTTATAGGGTAGAGCCGTGCGGCTATACCGTTTAAATATTCTATTTAAACGGTATACCTGCAAGGTGTTGATCAATAGTAAGAACTTAGAATTGACCTGGCATTCTGGCAATGCAGATGTCTGATCTTAATGGTAGATATTGGAACTTCATAAGGAGAATGAGAGGCCAAAGCTTGAGCCAGTTCTTTAATACTAGTAATGTTCAGGCTTGAAAAGCACTGTCTGAAATCTTCAAGGATTGATATATCTTCTTTGGAGGAGTGATCCTTTTCAAAGAAGATATATGTAGTTGAGAATGAAGTAATTCCCAAGGTATGATCTAATAATACTCACCTTTTTGGGGTTTTTATTTTTATTTTTAATGTGAACAGGTTATGGATAGGCTTCTAAAACTACCTCAACATCCTCAAGCACTTCAGACAGGTAATGTATTTTTAGTACTTATAGTTCATCTGTCATGGATGGTTCAGCTGAGGACTCGTTACATCTAGTTGAAGCCTTAAGGTAAACTATATCTTCTGCATCTTCTGCCGTTGCGTGATCAATCTAGTACCATGCTGTTGATGATCTGAACATCTACTGAACTCTCTTCTGCAGCAAGGTCATTACTGAACTTCCACCTGACCATGCTAAGAGGGCTTTGGAGGCCTTGTGCTTGCCCCTCATTACTCCTTTACAGGTGTGCAATTCATTTCCAGAAGAAAGTGTACATATAAATTCTTCTGTGGGTGATGATACTGACTTAATGCTGTCAACAACCAGGAAGTTGTCAGCCAAGGCCCAGACACATTAAATAGCAAGCCTGCTCGTGATTTAACAGTTCACATTGATCGATTTGGGTATATCTTTAGGTATGTATGATCAATATCTTGTTTATGCCTCTTATTCATTTTATTTTAGTCAGATGTGCTAAACATGCAAGTAAATATCAATTCCAGATATGTGATTCAACTGTGATACCTGTCTTTTTGCCCGCAACATCTTGTTTGGTCTTCAAAACTTTTCCTATTGCCTTATTTGATAAGAGGAAGAATTTGTATCAATAGTGTTCTGTTTCCTTGTCGTTGGAGGTTCGGTGTGAGCCATATGAATGTTTTGCTCTGGCAATGCTGTTTTATTCAAAACTTTCTCATCTTATCATTGTCCTTCTGGAAATGACGAAGTTAAAAGAATCTGTCACTAGGCTTATTGCCACAACTACAAGGAGCTGTCTGATATAAGAAAGATGTGTGAGGCATGCCTGCTTTCTATTCAAAGCGTATAGCCGGGCGGCTATACTGTTAAAATATTCTAATCAAAGCGTATAGCCGCGCGGCTATACTTGTAAAATATTGTATTTAAGTATAGCAGTTCGACTGTACTTTTAAAATATTCTATTTAAATTGTATAGCCGCACGGCTATACGTTTAAAATATTCTATTTAAGGGTATCGCCGGGCGGCTATGCTTTTAAAATATTCTATTTAACGGTATAGCCGGGCGGCTATTCTTTTAAAATAGGGAGTTTCACTAAAACACCCAAAATGGGGGCTGAAATTATAAAAAAACACAACACCCAAAACCCATCATTACACACACTCAAAACTCATTTATAAACACACCCAAAAAATATACAATTGTTTACTTTGGGGTTGATTTTGGGTGTGTTTCTATGTTTAAATAGTGCTTGGGTTTTTTTATAAATACATGTATAGGATTGGGTTTATTTATAAATTTGTATTTAAGATATTCTATTTAGAGGATATAGCCGAGCGGCTATGCTTTTAAAATATTGTATTTATAGAGTATAGCCTGTTAAAGGGTGTTTCTATTCAAAGAGTATAGCCGGGCGGCTATACTGTTAAAGTGTTCTATTTATTTATACTGTTAAAATATTTTCTTTACAGAGTATAGCCACATTGCACCAACAATAAAACAGAGTAACCTACCAAGACCAACACACCAAGGTAAATCTATCAATCCTTCAAAGCTAACTGCCAAGCCAACAATGGTTGCGTTCAAACTGTAGAAGATCTCAGAACCTGCAAGGAATTGATCAACAGTCAGAACTTAGAACTGACCTGGCATTCTGGCAATGCAGATGTCTAACCTTAATGGTAGATATTGGAACTTCAGAAGGAGGATAAGAGGCCAATGCATGAGCCAGTTCTTTCAATAAGCACTCCTATTGAAAGAGTCCTGACGAGCTGAATTGATCTCTATTAGATTTAGCATCCCATATATCACGATCCTCATCTAACCAGAATGCCCCGCATGGTAGATTCTTACTCACGGCAGATATGTTTATTTTAACAACATGGGTACTAAGTAGGTAGGTGCCATATACTTCAACATATCCACCGATATATCATGTGTATGAATGCAATCTTTGAAGTCACAGTTGTGATGTCTCTGATCAGAATTCAAAGATCCTTTTCGTGCTTGATGCACTGTCTGTACCTCCACAAGAAGAGGTGGGTCCCACGCGACATACGCATTTTCCTGTTTGGATCATATCCATTCCTAAATTGGATGAAGACTTGATGTCGGATACGTCCCAGACCGTTAGGTAACTTAGGTAGGTAGGTTGGTGATGCTTCGGTCCAACTTGTCAACTACGCAAATTTACATAATAAACCACTGAATGATGTAAATGGCATTAACCACTGACTACCAAATTATATATGAGACTGTACTTTTTGGTAATCTAAATTGTTCCAAAGGCTAACTTTGACTGACAGGTATGTTTATTATTCATCTTTTATGTCTTCGGATGATGCAATCCACATTTGAATTTTTGTGGTGTTTAGTATTATTATTTAATTAGTTCACTTATTAATTTTCCAATCCCCTTTGGACTAAAAAGAGTCTAATCTATCAAATATTAGTAAAATAAACCTTGGGTTGGGGAGAGAATGTGAATTTCGTGAAACTCCTTGACCCTTGCAGGTTCCCATACGTGTATGTAGACTGCATAATGTGAAAACCATGCTCATTAGCTGACAAAACTAAAAGGCAAAAGTAGCAAATCCAGTATCAGATCTCCATTAAAATACGATATTGCAGTTACAGAAAGCAATCTCAACATTCCCCAAACCTTGTTCATATGCTTAACTCGAAACTATAGAACAGAAAAAGCCATTTCTCAGATTTCATTTCTCTTTCCGCTGTTCTTCATAGAATCAGTGCCCATATGAAGGCACACTTGGAAACACTGATTTGAATAAAACCAATCTCAGACCAACCATTCAAATTTGTTTTTCACTTACTTTTCCTTCACTTTATGGCCAACCCAAACTCACAAACAACTCAAACTCCATTGATAGATGCATCACAAACACAAACAAACCCTAGTGATGATGATGATGCCAAACTTGATCACTCTCTCCACAGCTTGGAGACCTTTCTCAGGCTCTTTGGGTTTTGCCAGTACTCTTTTCTGAGCTTCAGCCTCTCATGGCTTGCTTTCCTTCTTGTGGGTGTTGCACTTCCAGTGGTACTCATTGAAATCTCTTATAGTTCCAGAAGTGAGAAGTATCAGATCAAAAATTTTGAGCTTCAGATTCTGGTTTCTGAGTCTCTTGTGGCTGCCATTTCTCTTGTTTGTATTTCTTACAACCTCAGAAAGTATGGCATACGGAGGTTCTTGTTCGTGGATAGGTATCATGGTCATAAGCTTCAGTACCGTGATGAATATATACAGAAGATCAATGTGAGTTTGGCAGTACCCATAGCTCCCTTATTTAATTTTTTTCCTTTTCATTTTATGTTTGTGACCTTTATGTTCTACCTGAGTAATTCTACTATTGGGGGATAAAATTAAATTTGATGCAGATAGCTGGTTGAAGTAATTGTATGCATTGGCTAGTTGAGTTGATGTAAAAATCAATTTTAGTTGAAAACAGAACCTGAAACTTAAATTAACAAATACTTTTACTACAAATTACTGTCAGTTTCTCCCTTTGACTCACTCTGTATCTTGCACTTGGCTGAAGTTTTGGCTCTCAAACCTTCTTCAAGATTCTGAAGTTTGGCACAAATTTTCCATCTTGCTTGATGTGCTAATTGCTATGAACTACTTCGGGAACATCTTGTTTCCATTATGTATTATAGCTAATACAGCAGTGAGATCATAATTTTGTATATCCCACTTCTTCAGAACTTCTTCCGCTTGCTGGCAGTATGCGTATTGCCTTGCCTCCTTCTGAAGACTGCTCGTGAAGTCACTCGCTTAATTTATGTTCACTACGATTCATGGTGGAAATCTGTTCTTGCATTGCTTGCTTTGCTTGTGTCATGGACGTTTTCAACTATAATTTTCCTATCAGGCAGTGCTTTGTTCAACTTGGTGTGCAGTTTGCAAGTGATACACTTTGAGAACTATGGGAAGCTTTTGGAAAGGGACATGGATGTTTCTGCGTATATCGAAGAACACACTCGTCTAACGCAGTATCTATCCAAGATCAGCCACAGATTCCGAATCTATCTTATTTTTCAAATTATAGTTGTGACAGCCAGCCAATTTGTGGCTCTACTGCAGACCACAGGAAATCACGGAATCGTCAATATCATCAACGGAGGCGATTTTGCAGTAAGTTCAGAACAATATGCTTCATGTTTCACATGGATCTCAAAGAGATTGAACTATTTTTTTGGCCATACAAGCATATTCAACTTAGCTAGATCAAACTTTTGCTATCCCCTTCCCCACTCAGAAATTTGATCTCATAATGTGGTTGTGACTGGTTTTGATGAATAAAGTGCTCAACTGAATCACTTGACATGTATGCCTTTCTTCTTGTTTTCTTGTCTTCTAATACTGTCAGAGGGATAGGCTTTGGATATACTTAGTATCACTTGATTATCACTATTGCAGGTCGCCTGTATTGTTGAGCTTGTTGGGTTAATTATATGCCTGCATGGGGCTGCAAAGATTTCACACAGAGCTCAAGGTCTTGCATCAGTTACTAGCAGATGGCATGCTGTGGTCACCTGCGGCCCCAAAGATGCATCTCAATCGAGATTCGACAACAGTACGGGAAACTTGGAGATTGCTTATTCTGCTGGTTCATTACCCATAGCCTACTCAGAAAGCGATCTAGAGTCAGTTGATTATGTGCCAGTGCCGACAAGTACACAAATAGCTTCAGACAAGTCCCTCTTTCAGAAAAGACAAGCTTTTGGTATGTCCACAAGATCAACAGAAATCTTGTAACTTGATGGAATGCTTTGATGCATTGCTGATCTTGGCTTTTTGTTTTTCTTTCAAGTTTAACAAGTTTTTCCTGCTTCCAGTTACATACATGCAATCAAATCTGGGTGGGCTTACCCTCTACGGCTTTACGGTGGATCGGGCGCTCATTGGCACCATCTTCTTTGTTGAGCTCACACTGGCTCTCTTTGTGCTGGGGAAGACAATTACCTTCACCACCCAATGATTTATTAGCACTCTCTTTCGGCAGCTGACTACTCTTGCGATGTGTTTAAGAGGCAGACTGGCTGCAACAGACTCTCTGCTGTATTTTACAGGCAGAAATTTCACTGGGCGCTATAGCATTTACTTTTTAACAAGGACTTCATTTACTTTGATTAAATCGATCGACGAAACATATATTCAAAGCCATATTGTATATTGTGTGATGGCCCGATGTGGGACTAGTTTCTTTTTCTGGGCAAACAAAGGCTCAAAGATGTGAGATTATTTTTCTGATGAACAAATGTGAGATTTTGATTGGACGATTTCGTTGTTTTTATCTTTTCAGAGGCTTGGTCACTTGATAGCTGCACATTTTTCTTTGATCCCTATACTTTACGCACAAGCCGTTTTGATACCTATTCAAAAATTTACCAACGCCATTCAGCCCCAAACCTTTGTCGAAGCTTGACCCAAAAAAGAAATAACCTTTGTCGAAGAGGACTTAAACAGACCCCAAAAAAATTAATGTGACAAAGCACAAAATATACGACAACTAGTTAAAATACCCCAAAAAATAATCTAAATTCAGTCAGAAACATCTGCACTGCTCGAATCGGAAAAGAAAATGGGTAGTATAATGAGATGTCGAAGGACGATGAAGTAGCACAAGAAAATTTACTGCTGCTTCAGTATTATTACTCAATATGAAATACAGATGTTGCAAACTTGGAAGTTACAGCTGCTTTTAGGTATGAAACACAAATAAAGCACACTGCCAAGCTCAGATTTTCGCAATTTATCTGTAATCCAAAAGAAATTGCAGGATAAAAGTTTAGTTAAAGAGAAAAAATTGCACGCAAAATCAAACTGGATCTCCAGTGCTCTGAAGATATTAGGGGGAAAAAGGCAACTTAAGAACAGAAACCTTTGCCATTACAATCTTCTACCATTTGATGGTATTTCCCTCATGGTTGATCACTCTGCGAATTCACCCTGGCTTGCAAATTTTAACATTGATCTTATGTGGCCAAGACAAAAATTGAAACATGTCAATGGACATCGACTATAGCAATTCAACATGTACATCTTTAACCTAGAGTGGTTTCAGAAAAGAAAGGCATGAACTTCTTTTTTTTCCATCAATTTTCAACTTCCATTATGATTTCACAACTAGATTTTTGATTTAAAAGTGCCACCTTGTTGCAGGATCACAAAATACATGGGAGGTTGGACAAAAGGGCAAACCCTTACTCTTCATCATCATAATTTTCTACTGATATAGCATAATAGATTGAAGTACAATACAAAAACTAGTGATACCTATGTTCGCTCCCCGTGGCGAAAAATATAATAGCAGCCATTAGATTCACAAATCAGTACAAAATAAATAAAAACCAACAACCTTACCAGCCAAACGGTCTAGCTGAAGGCAAGCAAAACTCTCCATTTGTAATAGCAAGCTAATTCCTAACCGAAGAATGCACATGGGAAGATCCAAGTCAAAAGTAAAAATTAACCAAATGAAGGAAACGAAGAGTAAGAAAAACAAAATTTACAACAAGACACAGAAGCATAATATAAGTTTACAACCACATTGTCCTGGCAAGCAACACTACTTAGACAATGAAACTGAACTGCACTATCAACTTACAGTGCACACGTATGCACATGAGAAGGAATACAAACATGGAACTTCTAATTGGGAGAATTCCATCGATGCAAGAATGAAACCTCCTAGCAGCAGTCATTGCATATTCCAAAATTGTATTCTTTTATTCATGTATTTGAAGTGGTCTAGATATAACTTGCATTTCGCTAATAAACTAAAGTAATTCTTTTACTCTGAACTTGAAGATAAAGAAAAAAAAATCCAGCATTTTAATTATATATTTGCTGAATGGAGTATGAACAGACAATGGCCTAACACAGTATAACCATAACCTATGCATTGGAGGCAGAGCATCACGATCTAAGAAAACACGGAAAATTGGATACACCACAATACAAGCAACCAGCAATACATGTGAAAGACTGGATACACCTCAAAAGCCATTGTGTGCAGTAAAACAACTTACGTTTGGGAAAATTCCTGTCCTTCAAGTGCGAAATGCCAATAACACCCTCCCATTCTTTTAAGGCCCAGAATCTCTTGCAAATAAAAGTATAAGCATGAATAAAGAGAAAACAAAAGGTTTTACATAAAAATAATGAAGAAATTGGAACAGAAACAATATGATTCAATTATGTACAAAGACTGCACCACTATGCTGCTCTTAAAAGGACAAACCATTACTGCCCACCAACTCTCCAGGCAACTCCTTTGCCGTAGCGATCCTAAAGGGCCCTACAGTCATGTGTTGTGCTTTGCAGCTGCCTAATGGTCAGGTTAGCAAAATTTGAAGAACTGCCAAAAAAAGGCTAAAATTATTGCTTAAATTTTTCTCACACTGCCTGCTGCTTAGGTACCGGTCTTGAATGCAGATCAGGAGTAATTGGCTTGAAATCATATCTCGGTTCGGGAGACTCACGAAACCAGTTATGGTTGAGAGCATCCTTTGCTGTTATTCGCTCCGCAGGGTTATATGATAAGAGCCGCTTCAACAGATCAAACCCCGATTCAGAGAGCACTGGGGATGAGCCAGTGAAAGATGCAGCAGGAAATTTCTTGCGCAGATGATTGTAGCACCTGAAAAGAAACAGAACTATTAGAATGATAGCTGAACGGTGAAAACGAGTAATAAAATGATCTGCAGGTAAGAATAAACTCATTAAAATTAAAATAGAAGAAAGAAACTTACTGTTGTTTAACAGAATTAACTTTGAAGGCTGGCAATTTGGATAATCCACTTTTCTCATCTGGTGTACCAAGCATTCTGAAGATCTGCAAACATTTTAGTGAAACACATCATGAAACGATCAAGGAAAAATTAGAAATAAAATAGCTTAAGTAACATGGAACAAAACAAACCTTATCAATCTGATCAACTTCAGTTTTCCCTTTGAACAATGCGTCTTTTGCCAACAATTCAGCCATTATGCAACCAACCGACCACATATCAATTGCTGTAGAGTACTGTTTTGTACCTAATAGAATTTCAGGTGCCCTGCACAGTAGAACAATACACAATCACTTCAAGTTGCCCAATTAATGTGTAGTTCTAGTCTAAAGATACTAACAGAAAAAATAGAAAAAGTTGACCACTTCAATACTGAGTAGAGTGAAGCTCACCTGTACCAGAGAGTGACAACCAAAGGAGTATATGGCTTCAGTGGACTCCCATACTGGCGTGACAACCCCAAGTCACATATTTTCAACTCACCCTCCTTGTTCACAAGGAGATTTGATGATTTCAGATCTCTGTGAAGGACCCAATTGTCATGAAGATACTCTACACCGTTCAAAAGCTGTAGCATCAAGTACTTTACTTCACCTATACTAAATGGCTGTTTCATAGAATCCATTAGCCCCTTGAGGTCATATTCCATATACTCCATGACCATATAAACACCATCAAAGTCGTCCATAACAACTTCCTTAACACCTACAACCGAAGGGTGATTAAAAGACAAAAGAATGTTTATTTCTCTCAATGCTGACATTGGGAAACCATCACATCCCTTATCAACATCCATCTTCACCTTCTTTAATGCTACAATTTCTCCACTCTTTTTATCTCTGGCTCTATAGACAACACCATAAGTGCCTTCATTTATTTTGTTGAGTTTTTCATACTCAAACACACTTCTGCAACCCTGAAGCATGTTTATACTTCCTTGCATAGGCACCGCAGGCTCTTCAATCTTCGGAAGATCAACATCATCTTCTGAATCAGACTCTGACTCAGAGTACAACTGATTAATGCCAACGCCAGCATTCCCATCATGTTTATCAAAATTCATGTTTTTGTCACAAAACTCTTCTCCATAATATTTTTCTCCAGGCGTCTCAAAGCTGCTTTCTTCGTCAGAGCTAGAAACTCTGGTCCGGCTCCCCCCCGAGCCTTCCCTTTGGATCTCCCCGCTTTCAGGAGAACTGCACGGGTCGTCAGCAATATCCCTTGGAGCCCTTGGAGCCCTTGGAGCCCTTGGAGCCCTTGGAGAATCACTATCAGATGCCCATCTTGACAAAGAGATGTTGGGTGGATGGACCATGTTTTTTTTAGCCTGCTCATCTTGCCCGGACTGCTCAGAATGCAGCTGTGTAGACAAATCAGCAGGAGCCTCCAATTGACAACTACCCTCCAAACAATCTGCCACAGAGGGTTCAGAGACCTCCACTTCCTGAGACTTAAACACCGTAACTGGAGACTTTGAAACAACCCCATCAAAAAGAACGTTCTGAACTGAGGTTGGATGAGCAGGGGACGGAGGAATAACTGGAACAACTCTATTCTTTGATGAGACTCTCACTTGCTTCTCTTCTCTGTCCCATATAATAGGAGAAAACTTCCTCTTCTTCTCAGGAGGCAATTGAACCAAACATTCACTCTTTCGGGTTTTGCTATTCTTAGAACACGGTTCTGAGGAATTTGACGACCGTTCAGACCCTCCTGAATTGCGCACATTGGAAGGTAAATGGAATCCATTCTTATGTTTGACGTCATCACCTCGACAAACCCCATTCCTATAAGATTCAAATTCTCTTTTGGAATAATTATAAGAATCCCTTCTCCTCAAAACATCGACTCGCCCTGTCGCCATATGATTAACAATCTCTTCTAAATCAGTGATCAGACTCAACAATCAAAATCAAAACAGAAAACCCCCAATCAATTTTCAAAACCCTAAACCCCCAAAAGTCAATAATTTAGTTTGTTCAAACCCTAGTCAATCCAAACCCAAAATAACAAATTGAATCTTTTTTTTTCCGAGCAAACCCAAGATCAAGCAGCACAGAAACACAGAACACAGAACACAAAATATTCAATTACAAAATCACAAACAGATAGGCAAATCGGCGAATAACAAACGAAGATCGTGAGCAAATACCCTAGACCTCGATTTCTGTGAGACCCTTGAGAAATTCACAGGTATCGGAAGGCCTTACCGGCAAGAGATCGCTAACAGAGAGAAACGAAAGCACAACGGCGATGAGAAGACCAACAACACCGATCTGCCTCCAAGGTTCTTCGCTTTTACGCGTTTAGATATTCTGCCCTCTGACTTTGCGTGCTAGCTTATATATTTATATCCTCTGGCGTCGGTTTGGAAACCTCGTGGTACTTGTATTTTTGTGCCCTTTTCCTTTTCGTTATGGGAAATATTTATTTTCCTTTTTGGCGGTGTTTATGTTTCTGGGCCTACAAATTATTTCACATGGTTTTTGTCCATTGAGCCTGCCCATCTTATGGATACAAATTTAAGGCTCTTTGGGCCTTTTTATTTAACAAAACTAATGACACTCCGTAGACACCCATAAGCTATTCGGCCCTTTGGGCCAATTTGTAATTCTACCCGAAAAGAACAGATCGTGTTGATGAATTACAAGAATTATATAGTGAGGGGATCTCTTAATCGTTAGATCAAATTAGTTAGCCGTTTTATTAAATTGATTAGCTTGATTCAACGATTAAGAAATAGACTCTCATTTAAGGGTTATATATAACGCCCTCACTATAGAATAATTATAATGAACTAATACGATTCGATTCTGACTTGGCTGCTTGATATATATGCTGCGTTCTGCTTTATCATTGCTTGCTTGACATAAATACGAATATGTCGAGTTTTACTAACACAAATAATTAACGAGTCAGTCTATTGCCAACCACGAATAACCCACACGTCAACAAATTAAATAAAGAAATTGAACCAATACGAACACGAAATGACACAACACGAACGAAGAGCCGATAACACAAATTGCTAACACCTATGAGTTATACGACGTGAAGGTCCAATGACTCTAGAGCCCGTTGGCATAGTCCCACCAATCCTCTCATCAATTTCCCACCCCAAGGCAGGCACAGAATTCAAAGAAACCGCCCCTCCTTATCCTCCTAATCTTCATGAATAAGTTTGCATCACAAACTGCTCACCTTACGCACATAATGCCATGCACCGCCTACATCAAGATCAAGCCCATAAAGATAATGCTCTACGCACCTATCTTTTTGGTCACGCCTCTATATAATATATCTATCACCACACCTCCTCTTACAAGCATATAGCATATAGTTTTGTTATAGACAAAGGAAAAAGAAGAAAAAAGACACGAAAATGATGGGAGTTGGCACATATGGATACACTGCACCAGCCACCAGTAAGAGTGGTGGTGGTGCTGCAGGCTATGATGTTCCTGAAGGGGTCGAAATCCGGGGACGGTTCGATGAAGAATTTGCCAAGATTCTGACCAAGGAGGCTTTGGAATTTGTGGTGGAGTTGCAGAGGGAGTTTAGGAACCGGATTAAGTATGCATTGGAGTGTAGGAAGGAAGCTAAGAGGAGGTACAATGAGGGGGCTGTGCCAGGGTTTGATCCAGCTACCAAGTTCATTAGGGAAACAAATTGGGTTTGTGCACCTGTCCCACCAGCTGTGGCTGATCGGAGGGTGGAGATTACAGGACCTGTGGAGAGGAAGATGATCATCAACGCTCTCAATTCTGGAGCCAAAGTTTTCATGGTCAGTATTATTAATCAATTTTAATTTTCCTTTTTTGCTAGCACGTCTTGCACTCCTGTCACCCTGGAGTCCTGAGAGAAATTTTTGAGTGTCACTGTACCAACACGTAGCATGCTTCATCTAAATTCTAAATTATAACATAGATCATCTCTCTAACATATACGGGCCTAATTTTATGAATCTCATCTTTAATGTGATATGCGACCGATAAATGTGGTACAAATAATTTTATAGGCACAAATGAAAATGGTTCTTGTCTATGTAGGCTGACTTTGAAGATGCACTGTCACCAACTTGGGAGAACCTAATGAGAGGCCAAGTGAATCTGAAGGATGCTGTTGATGGGAGCATAACCTTTCATGACAAGGCCAGAAACAGAGTTTACAAGCTGAATGACAAAAACACAGCCAAGCTTTTTGTGCGTCCAAGAGGATGGCACTTGCCTGAGGCTCATATTTTAATTGATGGAGAGCCTGCAACTGGTTGCCTTGTGGACTTTGGCCTTTATTTCTTCCACAACTATGCAGCCTTCCGCCAAACCCAAGGTGCAGGGTTTGGCCCTTTCTTCTATCTCCCTAAAATGGAGAATTCAAGGTAACCAATGACTTATCCCTAAAAAATTTATCTCTCTGCTTATCTGTCTAATTTGGAAGATGCATGAAAATTAGACTTATTTTCGATGCTGCTCCTGTCACGATTTTGGCAGGGAAGCTAAAATATGGAACTGTGTGTTTGAGAGGGCAGAGAAGAAGGCAGGGATAGAGAGAGGAAGCATCAGGGCAACTGTTCTGATTGAAACACTTCCAGCTGTGTTTCAAATGGATGAAATTCTGCATGAGCTAAGGGATCACTCTGTTGGGCTGAACTGTGGAAGATGGGATTACATTTTCAGCTATGTCAAAACCTTCCAGGGTCACCCTGACCGACTGTTACCGGACCGGTTTCTGGTGGGCATGACTCAGAATTTCATGAGGAATTACTCTGATCTCCTCATCAGGACATGCCATAGGCGGGGTGTGCACGCCATGGGTGGGATGGTAAGCATTTCTGTCACATATATAGCATGAGTCTGCAGCCATAAACAAGCTTTGTGCATGTATTTTTTATGGACAAGCTTTGTGCATTTGATACATGCATATGGGAACTAAATTCTTGGTTAGCTAATTAAGTGATAACAGTCGCACAATGACTTGCAGATTCATATGAATTTATGAAAATTAATTAGAAATTATAAAAAACCAAATTCATTAATTGTTGTTGGTAATTTGTGATTGAGCAGGCAGCTCAAATTCCAATCAGAGATGACCCTGCTGCAAATGAAGCAGCACTGGATTTAGTGAGGAAGGACAAGTTAAGAGAGGTGAAAGCAGGACATGATGGGACTTGGGCAGCTCATCCAGGGCTAATCCCAGCCTGCATGGAAGTCTTCACCAACAACATGGGCAGCAACACCCCTAACCAAATCCAATCCATGAGGAGAGAAGATGCATCAAGCATTACCGAAGAAGACCTCTTGGAGAGGCCCCGAGGCGTTCGAACGCTGGAAGGCCTCCGCCTGAACACCCGAGTCGGGATCCAGTACTTGGCAGCATGGCTGACTGGGACAGGCTCCGTGCCTCTCTACAACCTCATGGAAGATGCTGCAACAGCTGAGATAAGCAGGGTGCAGAACTGGCAGTGGATCAAGTATGGAGTGGAGCTGGATGGAGATGGGCTTGGAGTGAGAGTTGGGAACGAGCTGTTTGGGAGAGTGGTGGAGGAAGAAATGCAGAGGATTGAGAGAGAGGTTGGGAAAGAAAAGTTCAAGAAGGGAATGTATAAGGAAGCTTGCAAGCTCTTCACCAGGCAATGCACTGCTCAAACACTTGATGATTTTCTCACCCTAGATGCTTATAATCACATTGTCATGCATCATCCAAGGGGATCATCCAGGCTCTAAATCAGATTATCTTAATTAATCACCTGGTTTTTCAATGTTTAGTTTAAGGATCAGTTCCTCTAGCAGTCTTTGCCAAATCAATAATAATGTACTCTCTCTCTCTCTCTCTCTGATCCAATGTATTGATGGTGGTTTCATGCAATCCAACTGTACTTATCTGTAAACATATTTTCCATCATGATATGTATGTCTTCTGTAATGAAATCGTCCATTAGTTGTAACTTACATTGGAATTGAACAATCACTTATATCCTAATCTAACCCATTAGTGCACCCATTAATCATAAGTTATAACTTGATTGTATATATAAAATGTGTGATTTCAAATAATGGTTCAGCTTTCTCCTTTTTTTTTCTTTGAATTCTTTTTCTTTGAATTCTTTTTCTTCGAATTCTTTTTCTTCAGACAAAAATGAAAAACAAAATTTGGAAAGTATAAATAATGAACATTTTTACAACATAAATTATAACATTCGAATAAGTACTCGTTAAGCATAAGTGGCAAGTTTGGACACAAAACAGTGGAGCTCATATATGTATATATAATATAGCTTTCTTTTTATTTGGCCATATATAATATATATCTTATGAAATTGAAGAAGATAAAAAAACACTCGTTGTGTGGAATGGCAATTTTGGACACAAACATTTAGAGTCCGTTTGGTATCCTACTAAAAAAAGTGAACTAAAAAATCATAATCTTTTTAAAAATACGAGTTTTCAAATATTGATTTTAAGATCTAAAAACTTGTTTAGTATTTCCAAAACTATTTTAAAGATCTATAAAAATGTTTCAGAAACCCATTCCCTTTTTCACAGTGGTCCACCACCGATTGGTACAGGTCACAAGCGTTGTCCATCTTTTACAATGGCACCATCCTTCACCCTATGATCTTCATCATCACATTGCGCTTGTAAAATTGAAAATAGTAGGGCAATGGGTTCCCTTTTTTCATATGGAAAATACTTCTCTCATTCCTCTGTAAGTAAAAACTCATATATTTCTGTCAATAGCAAGCTAACATTTGTGCATAAGCTTTTCTTTTTTTGATTTTTATGAATTATTTTTGCACATATGTCAAACAATAATTTGCATGAAATAAGGAGTATCTCCTTCCAATTGTGATTCGTAAGGAAAGAGGAGTATCTCTTTCTATGAAGGAGGCAAGCAGTATTTACTTCATATGGCCATTTCAGAAACACCTTATTTCAAATAGTGACGTGTCCCAATCGATGGTGGACCAGAGAGAGCGAGAAGAGATGGAGGAGACATAGAGACCATAAGGGAAATGCTAGTAATCTTCTCTCTAACCTTCTCTTTTGGACATTCTCCATTTCCCTTATAACATGTATAATTTTATTTACACTTAAAACAATGTCATTAATACATCAAACAACCTAACTTTTGTTTTCCAATATTTACCCTTATTTGATGTATTGACTTCAATACTTTAATTTATAAAATAAAAAAAATTACAGCTTTCTTAATGCTTTATAAAAAATTATTGTATTAATTTATTAAATATTAAAAAATTCAAAATAAAAAACCTATCTCAAGTCGTCCCCACCTTTTCCCCAAAGCCCAGCACCTCCATCTTCCACAGCATCTCCTTAGCGCCACCTATCCCCAACCCACGCTCTCCTTACCACCTTCCCATACTCTCTCCCTCTTTTTCTCTCTTCCACCAATCTCGCTTCAAACAAAACCAAGCCCCTGCAAGTTTTGGCTACGGTAAGAACACCCTCAAGGCCATGGCAAGCATTGGCCGTTATACTAAATTTGGGTTTGAGGACCACCACCAAGCACCACCAACAACAACAACCCAGCCCAATAAGGGTAAATAAACAAAATGATTTTGATGGATTTTTATTTATTTATTGGTTGGAGTTGTCATGTTGTTTCGGGTGTGAAGGTCTGGCTCTCTCAAAATGATGAGAGGGAGGGTTCGATTTGGGGCTACAAGTTTGTGATTATTGAATGAATTGAAAGTAAACATCAATACATCAAATAAGGGTAAATATGAAAAACAAAAAGTAGATTGTATGATCTATTAACAATATCGTTTTAAATGTAAAGAAAACGACACATGTCATAAAAGAAAAGGAGAAGATTAAAAAAAATATATTACAGAGAACGTTGCTAACTTTCCCCGAAAGAGAAGAGGGGAAGCAGAACTAGTTTGAAACCTCACTTTTTATAATTTAAAAAATGAGCCTTCTAATTTGTTTTTAAGTTGAATTTTTTAAAAATGAGCAACATAAATATTTTATTTAAACAAGTACTAGAAGAAGTACGAAGGAATAGTAGACTTCCTGTCCGAAAATTGGGTCGGTCGCCCATAGATACATAGACAGCTATAGGAATCGTGTACCATTAGAAAGGACCAATGACTGCACTATGCGAAACACGACACGCCTACTGGTGTGGCCTGCATGCAGAGAGAATGATGCCGATAGGGTTACGTGGTGCAATGAAGTGAGAGAAAAGAGGATGAACAGATCGACTTTCATCCCATCCCAACAACAGCAGATCGTAAAATATAGATAAGCTCAAAACCATTCAAATTAAACGCACACATATCCAACTCACCCCCTCCACCTGTCCCCCCATCCAGCCACATGCCCAGTGCTCTCTCTCTCTCTCTGTGTCCCTCTCTCTCTCTCTCTCTCCAACCTCAACAAAAAGTAACCATATAACACCACATGACATGACACACACCATCTCTCTCGTCAGATGCCCTTACCTTTGACAAATGCTTCCCCTCGTCGTTTCACTGCTATTCTTTTTTCTCTCTGATATGAGAGAAAAAAATAGAACCAGGGAACAATGAAACGGAGATGAGTACAATTTGTGTTCTGTGCATAAACAGGGCTCAATATCACATCACATGTGAACCATTGAAAGAAAAAAATGTTCTTGACTGCACCCAAAATAAAAGTACATGACATTTGAACGTATTCATTCAAATTTGCTTTTCACCAGATCACAGAGAGAGCTAGCTATAAAAGGAAATTAAACAGAGTATTAAACAGTGCCCAAAAATAATTCACACTTGTTAATTACGGTCATTAATTTAAGCTTACTGCTAATAAAACGCAAAGCAACTCCGCATCAGTTGTTTGTTATCAACTTGTCAACTGTTTACCGTGTCGGTTTACCGACCCAAGCAAAGAGCAGCCTTCACGTCCAGCCTCCACGCGAACCCACCACTCTCCATCCTCCACACGTCACACGGCAGCGTCAAAGAGCTCCAATCCCCTGCCGACGACCCACCGCACCCGCTGTACTGCACCCTCACCCTGCACGAGAATGCCGCCGTGTCGTAATTACTCATCACACCCACCGCCTTCGCCGCCCTCTCCTTCGTCACCAGCCACACCATCGTCTCCCTTTCCCCCTGCTCCCCCACCATACTCCTGTAGGCCCCATTCGTCCATACCACCCTCCCCGCACCGTCCGACACAAACCCCGGACACGTGTCCCTCTCCAGATTCATCCTCCTCTCCACGTCCGTACGCCCTAGTCCATCTCCGCCCACCCACGTGTCCGTCACGCAGTCCACCGTCACGCACGACCCCACCACCCTCACCGGCCGCCGCTGCTGAATATTGTTCATCGTACTCATCTCCTCCCCCACCACCTTACTCCTACGACATGTCGAAGAAGAAATACTACTATTACTCTCGAAACTCTCAAAACTCAGCCACGTGGCCGAGTCACCACTCGACTTCCTCTCTCTCTCCGAGCCTTTTGGCTCAGGGGTCTCCGGCAACAGAGGCAGGGTCACAACCGTCTTTTCCTCACCCAAACCCTTCGAAGATCTCCTTCTCTTACTGATATTATTATTATTATTATTATTGCACGCCTGCTTCACACACCTCCGAACTCTCTTCCCCCTCCCCCTCCCCCTCCCACTCTTAACGTAAACGTCACCGTTTTCCGGCGTTGACCCACCTGAAGCCAACCCTCCGCCGTTGACCGGCTTCGGAGCAATCGGTCTGAACCTCAACATTATCCTATCCACCTGCGACATATCATATTCTCCTCCGTACCTCGCTATACAACACCCTCCTCTCCCATCCATCTCTCTCTCTCTCCCTCTCTCCTCACTCTCTCTCTCTCTCTCTCTTCAAAACCCAACTTTTTTTTTTTGGCAGAGTTGTTTAGTCTCGCACTCAAAGCTCATAGCTCAACAATGGAGGTGGCGAGGGCATATGGGATTTATAAGAGCGACGTGGGAGGAGACACTTGTGGGAAAAGACACGTGTGTCAACAGTTACCGCAACAGCAAAGGGAGGAGAGAGGGGATTGGCTGGGAGCCGAGACGTGGCGTTGTGATGTTTCGGGCCCACGTGATTGAGAGCTGCGAGAGTGTTTTGATTGGGCCTTGCAAGCCTGCCAATGGGAGGGCGAGAGGTGTCAGGCCAGAAGAGAGTTTTTTTGGTGACTGAGTGCAGCTTCCAGAAGGTGGACACGACGCCACAAGCGTTTCGGGCTTCTATAATAGGCATGAAGCGTTTTTCTCCAGGTGGACGGTCGGATTGTGGCCTTGGGCTTAGATTCCATGAGGGACGTTGGATTTTGTTTTGTTCTTTTCTTTGTCTCCGTGATTGGAGAAGAAAGGTAACATCCATGGGGAGGGATTTGACTGATATGCCCTCGTCTTTCGTGAGCTGGGAGCTTGGAAAATGACACGCGCTCTGGTTGGAGTTAGCAATTTGCTGATTTGTGGATTGGTTTCAGCCTATCAGCTCAGGGAAGCCCAATGTAGAAAGAAAATAGAAAATAGACAATACCAGAATACCAGAAAATTATCAAAAGCAGCCCAACCAGGATGCTTGCTTCTGTTGTTTTCAGGAGAAGTATGGGCAAAACGGGTATTTTGTATTGGTGACTTGTCTGTATGGTTGCATTGTGGTACTGTTCATTTACAACTTTGCAATTGACTGATTGAGATCTCACATATCTAACCCAACTATTATGAACCACGAATTTTTTGCTTTCGCCTCTTTGAGATTTTTGCTGGTGTAAAGATGATCTCCGTCAGCCCTCGTCAGCTTTGACTATCAACATGATTTACCCTCTTTTTCTCACCTTTTATTTCGATGCTTGGATGATGAAAATTAAAAGAATATGTTACGCGTAGTTATGATATGTATGAGATATAAATAAACATTTAAAAATATTTACAAAAGTCACACTATAATACTTTCGATTCATAAGAAAAGATTTTAAAATCAGAGTTAAACCGAAAATGTAAATGAAGTAATTCAACTTACATGTTACAATAGTACTTCTATGTGACGTATTGCTATCATCTTCAAGACTTTTATCTACATCCACCATTGTTGACTTGGAAACAGTAAATTTTTGTGTGTGTAGCTATAGTAATACTTTTGATCAATGAGATATGGGAATTCGAAATCTTCTAAATTTAAATATACTTTGGAGATAAATGTACTCAATTATATAGCGTGGAAGGCGTGTAGAGATGGAGCACAAATAACGCACTAGTCGAAATCATCACTTCTAACACATGGACCAATGAAATGATCTAAACCTTGACACCCTATTAATATATTATATCAATAATCAACTTATCAAGGGTGAATTTAAGAAAACACACGTATAATTGGTTTTGCATAACATCATCATTGTGTTTTCCTATTTGATCCAAATACACCTTTTCAATGGAAAGGAATGTCCACAAATTAACCCAAGAACATGATGCTTTCTCTTTGATTGGGACAAATGTTAGAAGCATAATCCACCACCACCCAGAAAACATATATGAGGAGGAAGGTGAAAAGTCATCTCCAAGATCTTTTGCACACTATGGTGCAGAATTTTCAGGATTTTCTGTGCGCCCATCCTTTGGATGGATTAGATAGCACGGGATCAACCTAATTAATTAGCACTTAAAAAACTATATTAGGAAAGTAAAGATTCCCTTCCCTTATTGTAAGACCTGCCTAACCCAATACAGTTAGGGCCATATCAAAAATAGCCCAAATTTACTTTATACTTACATAAATATTCATTTTGAAAAAATAAAAATAAAAAAATAGTCAAAAACTCAGGTAAATAGACTCAAATCCCCCCCAAAACTTAAACACACATAAACCTAACAAGCAAAAGAAAGTGTCCAATGAAATGAACTCAAAATCTAAAGAGGATATTTCAAAATAATTTTTTATTTTGTAAAATGAAATCATTGAAGAAAACCAAAACTACATGGAGCAAAACCAACGGCTGAAGGAGCCAACAAAAGGGGAGACCCCCCAAACAATCACAAACAAAGAAAGCCCCTGCAATAACACAAGGGCACCCATAGTACAACAAACCAAAGGCAAACCGTCTAAGTAAATTTAGGTTTTAGCCACACAACAAATTTCACTTTTGGAAAAAATCAATTTAAAAAAAAAAAGACAGAAAAATTTCTCAACTTTCAAACCAAAGACATGCAAATGTAAAGGATTCCTTAGGAAATCAAAAAATAAATAAGAGCAATTGTGTCCATTTTGGCTTATTTTAAAAAATTTCTCTCTCCTTTTGTATTTTGCAAAGTCTCCCGTCTAACAAAGAAAGTATAGCTACAAAGTGAAGAACTATGCAACTACCCCAAAAAAAAAAAATTCCTTTTAAATTTTCGGCTTATTGATTCTTTTAATTTTATTTTCTCACTAGTAAAATTTAATTCCCTTTACTTGAATGTTTGTTTACAGAATCCAAAGATTAAATCAACAACTATAACTTTAATTATTGTTTCGCAGCCAAGAGTGTGCAATAGTGATGCAAAGTCACCAAAAGAATTTAAATATTTGAAGCTTTACAATGAGGAGTCTTGCCTCAAGAAACTTAGTGTGCTTGTCTCCTTGCGAATCTGTTGCACACATAATGAGGAGTCTACTGCAAGTAACTTGGTGTGCTTTGTCTCCTTGTGAATCTGCTACACACACGAAGAGTAGAGGTCTACCAAACAATTGTTAGGATAGGATTTTGCTTTTTAGGTTTATGTGGGTTTGAGTTTTAAGGGCATTTGAGTCTATTTACATGAATTTTTGGCTATTTTTGAAAGTTTTTATCAAAACTGACATTTATGAAAATATGGAATAAATTTTGGTTATTGTTGATAAAAACTCACTCAATTATTACTACTAATACTAATCTATAGGGAGAAAATTAGGCTTCTATTTCTACTTATAATTAGAAGACACATGTCCAGAGTTTGAAGGAGACGCTTGGCCTTTCTTGAAGCTTTGAAAAGAACCTAAACCTTCCAGCTTGCCTCCAACTTGACTGTGAAGATCCGTAGAGACAAATTAATGGTTCAATAATTTCGGCATGGCCAACATTCATCTTGTTGACCATGAACCTTTGCATGATTGACTAAAAGTTTATTGAGGGTCTACAAATTGTGAGTATATTTGTGTGGCATGGTAGAGAATTAGGCGTGATATACATGTCTAGAGTTGTTTATTGTTATTGAGTATTTCGGGTCATCGAATCCTCATTTATTTGTCATGATATCTGATTATATGTGGATAATTGATAATTGTTAATTGATAACATGCATGAAAAACGATGATTATTATGAATCTCTGTAACTATCATTAATCTATTGTAGTGATCATATATAACTCATCCCCTCGTTAGAAAGATATCTCAAATTCGATATGACTTGTACGCTACTCAACTTTATATGTTGAAGTTTAGATTGCGGCTTATGGGAGGTGATGATGAACATTATTGGTGTCATGTTCCATATATATCTTTATTCTTTGGTTCATTTTTAAACATTTAGAATAATGTATGCGTACTATCATTCAATTATAAATTACATGAATATATTATTCTGATTAAATATCAGATATGGTAGGGCTGGAAGAATTATTGAGAGAAGCATCAGAGAATGAGATCGAAAGACATGCATGCATGAGCATATAACAACTATATGTTCACAATAATAAATATATATTTCACCAATAATGTATATACTAGGCATATGTATATCAGCCAGCTAAGCTATTATATATTAATTTGATGAAAATGACTTGCTCGACCCATTGTGCAAAGGACTTACTTCAGGCTTTAAATCTTAGCTTGATCGTATGGAAACAACTACTTCATAAGATGCGTGTTTATGAAATAAGTTAGACTTGTTTATAAGAGGTTTCAAATTTTCACACGTGTACGTAAAATGAATTACCATTCTTGACATTTGTCATAGTGTGTCAAATTCATTAACACGTTTATAGACGATTAGACGACTGACCATAACAACATTATTATCATTCATTACAATATATATATATATGTATGTTGTCCCTTTTTTATTTTGGGAAGATGGGGCATTGTGATTGAACATGTCCTCCACGCGACCCGAGCTTATCTGATCTTGTTGGATTGATGAAACTGAATTGCAAGATCAACCTTAACAATAACAAATGTCCGATGGTAGACACTTGTCTTTCCATGCGAGCCATGTTTAGCAATTGTGGTTATTGAGAGAGAGAGAGAGAGAGAGAGAGAGAGAGATTGATTGATTGATTGATTGATTGATCAATTAGATTCATTTCGTGGCATATAATTCAACTAAAGTGATCGCGACTTCTTTCAGTTTTCAAAGCACACAATTAGTATCTTTCTTGTTTGTTCAATATGTGCCGACAGAGTTAGGCAAACCGTTCATATTAAAATGTTGGCATTAATGTTAATAAAATCGTAAACCTCAATTAGGAGATATTATAGAATATTACGATAGTACGGTTATATAGTACATGTTATACATATGTTATAATATAAGTGGATGTTTATAGATACCATTTCATAAAATGGGAAAATAAACTCTTTCGTCCACTCATAATCCGCAATTAGCTCTCTAGACAAATTTTAGGGAGGAGTTGGAGAAATACGACTCCAACCATACTCTTTATCCACCTCTTAAAATAGAGAAACCTCTAGGAGCGCTTAAATTTGAAGAGAGAGAAATGACTTATAGTAACTCCCTAGAATTTAATGTTGCTTTATTTTATGCATATTTTAAAATTTTTAATTAATGCTAACTATTTTCTTTATAGAGATTGACCAATTACATTGAAGTTAAAAATAATTATAATATTTATAACTCTATAAACTAAACAGTATGATTGGAGTTCAAATTTTATAGAGAGCCTCTAAAATAGTTTTTGCGTGTTTTTAGCTAAATTTTAACTAAAAAATGAGGAGTACAATTGCGTATGCTCTTAACTAATAATTATTTAAACTTCCAAGATCTAGTGGTACCTAATTAATATAATTAACATACAATAATCTCGATGATGAGTTAGCTCTAACATACAATAATAGACTTAGCCATTGCATGTAGATTTGCTCAAGCTCTTAGGTCAATCATTTCATGGACTAATTTTAATCAGGCTGGCCCTTTGAATCTGCCGATGATCTATATCACTAAACCCACTAGATTTTGTGGCTTTAAATCGAACAAGTCATCAGATCTACCTGCATGGCAATCTTATCTTCGTTGAAAACCAATCAAATATGTTCTGTAAATTGCGCCCACCACAGTCAATGAGTCAAACCAGAAAATTCGTATGAGGAACATGAGGGATTTGGTTGTTGACATTAATAGAAGGATTAAGAGAATCTTGAATGTAAATGGGGTGATGTCTCTGCTTTTGATGGTGAAGTTCCAGAAGAAGAAAATAAATAATTGAAAAGCAGAAGCGCCTGAAAAGTTTGTTTGCCATGAATAGATTGGCTGCTGCTGACATTGATGTACCCAAAGCCCTACTTTTTTAAGGGAAACCAAACACAAAAGCAGAGCTTTTGTTTATCATTAATCTGCTTTTGCTTGGCCTACTTTAGCAGTGAGTGTTGCCCACCAGCCATGATTTCAGCTGCTGGGACCAATTAGCTTTCAACACATCTTGGGTTTACCTAGAAAGCTCTGAAATTAAATATTTGGTTTATTAAAGCCATTATTTTTAATCCTATTCTTAATGACCTGAATAATTTGGCTTTAGCTTAAGTTAGATAGTATTGTGACACGTGTTGATGTGGTACCATACACCTAGGCTAAGCTAGGGCTTTGGTGTTTGGGTCGAGCTCTATTACATATGCCACTCCAAGGATGACTCAATTGTACCTAATCCAAGAAAGAGCTTTAGGTCAACAAAAGACACATGCAAATTATGATCTCTTTCAAATATTTTATGATCGTAATTTATGTCTTTCAAAATTTTTGTTCTTTACATTTTCATGCTAAGTCTATGTATTGTAGCATATAGATCATCTCTTCAATTATGATGTATGGAAGTGTTGTCTTTCGGCTGAGCAATCAGCGATAATCCTGAAATTTTGGGAGTTTTGTGCGAAAACAACAAGAGGACCTCTTATAATAAATTTTTAAAAGAAAAATTATAAAAAAAGTCAAATTATATAATCAAAATTATGCGATCATCAAATTACTAATTATCAATAACTAAGGAAAAATCAATATATATAGAGAGAGAGAGAGAGAGTTGAATGGTTGAAGGCATGGGCTGCATGAAAATCAATATGAAATAAAAATAGGAAAATCAACATTAATATTATCCTATTAATACAGGAGAAGCCAAAGCAATCAAATATACCAATATAACAAAACTCACATCAATAAAATAATATTTATTATGAGGCCAAACTTTCCTTATTTTGTATCGAAAGACAAATTTTTAAATAATTATTAATATTATTAAATTAATATCATTATTAAGCTACATCACATATTAACATTAACAAAAAATAATAAAATATTAATGTGAGGTCACCTTCAAAATGGGCCCCTGTACAGTCGCTCACTTTGAGAGACTTTGCTCCTGCCAAACGCCGCCCCTGTCGGCAATATGGAAGTGGAACCTCTCAACATCTACCGTTCCTTCATGAGGTCCTATCGCCATAAGTTGGCCCAATCCTTTCCACTTCATGGTCCTTTGTTTTTGTTTTTTGTTTAAAAGGTCCTTTGTTCATCATACACTCTTCAATTTTTTTGGTTGTAAAAGTTTAAAAACATAAGGAAGTGACAATGCATTTCAATAGTTTATGGCCCAAATAAAGATACACTATTTGCTCTCAATCACCCAAGGAGGCCCAACCCAAATCATTCACTCAATTCTAATGGGCCCAAGGGATTTGTGGGTTGAAAGGTATGAATTTTATTTTTGCAATCCATCTCATAAATATTAGTCCAAGAAAAAAATAAATCTTATATAAGGCTACTTGATTATCTTGATTTTATATGACGATCAACAACTCAGTTACTAGATAATTGGTTTGATCAACAACACTTAGCTACATTCGTACTAAAATTGGTTTGGCGCTAAGTGCTTCTTCAAAAATTACTTTCAAAGTAATGCTTCTATAATTTGTAAGCGCTTTTAACTTAGTTTGCCAAACGTTTTTCGTTATCTGATAGCGCTTCTATCCATTTTCTGAAACACTCAAAGAACCCACTAGGTTTATCGAGTATAGAAATTTGGGTTGGCCCATTTTATTTTTTGGTGAGCGTTGGTCCATTTAAGACAAGTGTATTATTAATAGCCCAACTCCAATCCGCAGCTGAAAACATTAATTATTGCACACACCGCAGTGATCTAGAAGAAAAAGATGCGCTGAGCTGGCAGCTCCATATCTACCATGTGTGAAAGTAGTAGATGGCTTCCGACGTCATGTGGCGGTAAAAAGTCAAACGCAACACGTGGTCGACACCGCCAGTAACTTTCTCAAATTGGCCACAACAGTTTTCTCATTGGCAAGTGATCGTATATATACTCGCTTCTCAACGCGGCCACGCTTCCGTGTAAGGTGACATGGAAGCATGCACGAGCAATATAGCGAGTGTTAGTAGTTTATATATTCGAGCGAGTACGGTTTTATCTGGTTCTCAATCATTGGATTTTATAATGGGCTTCTGGGCTGCAAGTTTAAGTTAATCAACATGTCTAAGTGGTAAAAGAAAGCCGTCAGATCTGAATCTTGCGTGTGTTAATATGTTCAAACGGGAACCGTTGGATTATCCAACTCGCTGATGAACGGCTAAGATTCCTTTTTTAGCGGCGGTCTTTGAGGCCTCGCGGGCCTTTAAAAGGAGGTCAGAGGGGAGAACACATACTCATCCAAGGCTTAAGATCTCTCTCTTTCTCTCTCCTCCTCCTCCTATCTCCCTCTCTTTTCTCTCTCTATTCGACGAAGGGCTCTAGGGTTTGAGGCGCGTTTCAACGGCTCTGCAACGAGATCCAGGTTTTGAATTGGGTTCCTGCGAAGCAGTTCTAGGGTTTTGTTTTACCAAGCGCATTCTATTGGTCGTCCCGCCCATTCATTTTAGCTTCGGCTTTGGCCTATCCATCGCGATCTAGGGTTTTCAACCTGGGGGTTTATATAGAGAGAGACCCAGTTTAGGTTTTGCTCGTGTAAGTCTTTAAATTATTTTTTCTTCCTTGCATTTTTATGAGCTCTCTATTTCTTAAAGGAGCTTTTTATCTGAAAAGGGGGTTATTGAGAGATTGAGCAATTGGAATTACTTTCTTTTGGGTTAGTGGTTGAATACGAGTGTTTGAAGATTCCCATTGCTTAGATTGAGTTGGGGAATCTATCAATTCTTTGGTGCTTAACCTAATCCCTCATTTAGATCATTATCAGAAAATTTTGTTCTTTTGCATATTGGCAACTGCGGCTTTTGAATTTGAGCATTGATTGGACATCAAATAAACTGAAATTTTGACCTTTGACGTATTCCTTGAACTCGAACGTTTGGCGGGAAGTAAACAGGAAGAAGGATCATATCAACAATTGGTTAATGTTGGAAAGTTTGGGGTTTTAGGTTTTGTGAACTTGGAAGGCTTATATTGTCGTAAATTTGGACATTTTGGGTGTCATTGAAATTAAGGTTGAGGGACTAAATCTAATTGCTACAGCTGATATGTGCGGTAATTGGGAGTTTATCTTATGGCACCAACTGTTCCAATAGACTTCACTGGACAGAAAGAATCAAGGAAGTGTTTGCTTTCACAGATGATGGGAAAGTCACGTAAGTACTCTAAAGGGCATTTATCTGGTTTTGTTCCAGATTACCGGCATGCTGTCGAGACCATGGCTGAATCAGAGGGGTTTGGAAGCTCAGGACGGGTTGACACAGAAATGACAGCTTCAGAGGATTCATGTGCGCCTAAAAGGAAATGCATTAGTCTGAATGTGGATGGTTATGATGGTTTTGGGGTGCCTATGCAAGTGTTGCCATTGTCACGGATGTCACGGTCTGAAAGGAAGGATTTGGAATCGAAGCTGAAATTGGAGCTCGAACAGGTGCGGATCCTTCAGAAGAAAATTTCTACCATAAGTTCAAATGTTGCTGTATTATCGCCATCCAGTGATATTCGGAGTTGCAGTGATGGCAAAAAGAGGCCCCCACTTGATAGATATCAGAAATCATTGGAATTTTCTGCGCCACAAGGTAAGAAAAGGGCTCCTCCTGGCCGCAATGGTGCCCGCACAAAAAAAGGCATGTCTGGGCCTGTCGAGCCAACGAAGCCAGTGGCTCCAGCAACCACTTCAAATTCTATGTTGTTGAAACAATGCGAGCAGTTGCTAGGCCGCTTGATGTCACATCAGTTTGGTTGGGTTTTCAACACTCCCGTTGATGTGGTGAAGTTGAACATACCAGATTATTTTACAGTCATTAAGCATCCAATGGATTTGGGCACTGTGAAGAGCAAGATAACATCAGGCATATACTCATGTCCATTAGGTTTTGCTGCTGATGTGCGGCTTACTTTCTCAAATGCTTTGACTTACAACCCACCTGGAAATGATTTTCACTTTATGGCCGAGACGATTAGTAAATATTTTGAACAGAGATGGAAAGGCATAGAGAAGAAGCTTCCAGTTACTACTGATGTGCAGGCTTTGCCTTCAAGAGCGGCTCTTCATGTGGAAACTGAGACTGCTGCACCTATGCCACCCTCAAAAAAGAAGAAAAGTACACCAAATGATACTAGTGTCAAGCCTGAAGCTCTGAAACGCATGTTGACTGATGAGGAGAAGGCTAAACTGACCATGGAGTTGGAGGCTTTGATGGACGCAGAAGTGCCTCTAAATATTGTTAATTTCCTACAAGAGCATAGTCATAGTGAAGGGCAAACCAATGATAATGAGATCGAGGTTGACCTTGAAGCTTTTAGTGATGATACCTTGTTTGCTTTACGGAAGCTTTTGGATGACCATCTGCTGGAGAAACAGAAAGGGCAGGCAAAAGCTGAACCTTGTGAAATGGAGGTATATTCGTAGTTTTTTCTTATAATGTTTGCATGTGTTATCTGTTTAAATTTATTTTCCAACTGAATATTTGCATGGATTTCTTATTGGTGTATCACCTTTTTTTACTGCAGATTCTTAATGAGTCAGGATTTAGCAACTCATCAATGCAACCATGTAAAGGTTCATTTTCAATAACAGCTCTATGAATATTCATTCAGTGAACTGTTAAAAAAATGTCTTCTGCAAGGAACTTATTTCTAACAGCACGGATTCTTATGACTTGCATGTACCCAGGCAATGACCCAGGCGATGAGGAAGTGGATATTGTTGGTGGGAACGATGCTCCTATTTCAAGCTTTCCTCCAGTGGAGATAGAGAAAGATCCAGCTCACAGAAACAGTAAATGCAGTAGCTCAAGTAGCTCCAGTAGTGAATCAGGCTCTTCATCCAGTGGTTTGTGTTTCTACCTACTTTTCATATATGTAGGTTTATAAATTGTTTTCAATGTTCTAATTTTGGAGCTTGTTAGACAGAGGATATGCTGTTGAGAAGTGCATATTTCCTCCTATGCAAATTATTATTTTACTAAATGCCCTGTCTGTCTCTGTCTCTCTCTCACACACACACATATAGATACACATGAAGTCTGAGGTGCAGTGTGAGAGTAATATTACAGTCCATGATTGTTATCCCTGTCTCCCTTGACCATTGCAAGATATGATTGTTATCCCTGTCTCCCTAAGCCATTCATTTTAGTGTCAACTGTCTTCTATTATTGTCTCTGCTTCCTTTAAAGGCTATGTTTTGCATTACCATAGTGTTAATTTGGAACATGGTCTTCTCAGCAGTTAAAGAAAATGTTTGAAATTCTATCGCCCTTGCCTTGGTGGCTACACCTCTTTGTTGTGTATGTTGCTTGCTTGATAGGTTATGTTTTGCATTGCCGTAGTGTAAACTGGAACATGGTCTTCTCAACAATTAAAGAAAATAAGTGAAATTCAAATGTACTGAGTAGTAATTAATGCTTTAGAACCTTTGCCTTGGTTGCAGCACCTCGTTGTTGTGTATGTTTCAGTTTGAGACACTTTTTGATGTGAATCCATTAGTTCTACATTGAGTTGATATCGTTGAATGTGTATGTCTTTTTATGAGTAAGAGGTGGCATCTTAATCATTCTGAAACTGGTATTTCTGATATACAATAGTACATGTAATTTCAATGGCACTTCAAGAGGCTCTTTTGTCATTTTGATGTGAGAGTTAGTAATTAGGTTATTGTGTTTTCAAAGAAAAAAAATCGAAAGAACGTGCGCATGTTTTTGTCAATTAACCATTATAATGTTGACTTTGATTTTCTGGAGAAAGTGTGGATCACTTGATTTGGAATGCTGGTGTTGTTTTCTTTCTCCCAGTTTGTTAGAATTATGTCTACTCATCTTGTAAAAAAGGAATAAGGGTAATGTAAGTTATATCCTTCTAGTTAAGGAATAGGTGTATCTTACTTTATGTGAGTGAACACTTGACTTCATTTAGTGACTAGAACTTTTTGGAAAGGACTAGACCCCCAATGCTGTAATAGATGTGTTGCAAATACTGAGATATGATATGGTCCTAGCAGATAGTGAAATAAGTTTACAACATAAAAGTGACTATTACAAAATCTGAAAAAATTTAGATTTTAAAAGTTCTACAATTATCTTGAACACGTTTATTCCTTCATGGTATATGATGGGGTGGAGTTGTTGCAGTGTGCCCTCGTTAGTTTTATCCCTTAGTATGTATCTTGTAATTATGTGATACTATAAATTGAAGCATACAAAAAAGTTCGTACATTATTGTTTGAAGAGACTCTTATATGTTATTTTAAATTGTGTTATTGGTTATCTTCCTGTATGGTTTGCTTTGACAAGCCAAAGAAGTGATTTCAGGAATATCTGTGTAGCCTCCTATGAAACTATAAGATACTTGTGTTGTCACAATGGTTTTCATGAATGTTCCAGCATTTTGTTCCAAATAGAATGACTCGTATTTTTACAATTTTGGGTGTTGCTCACATGATATAATTTCTTCACAGATTCCGACTCTGGCAGTTCTTCTGAAAGTGAATCAGATGATGCTAAAGTTCCAGCTTCATTTGGTGGAGGAAAGGTATCATCTTGTAAAATTTTAAAACCTGGTTCTTCTGCTTTGTGTAGAGTTAAATTCTCACCCATCAATCTCTCTCTCTCTCTCTTTCTCTATATATATATATATATATATATGACCTGCCATACCCTCTCCCCCCACTATATCCTTCTGTTTGTTTGTATGAGTTGTGGAAAATATTTCTTACATCTTCATTTGGCAGGAAAATGTGGGTACTGGAGCAAATTCAGACCAAAAGAGAAATGATATTGGGGATTCAGAAATTGGCAATGGTGAGTTTTGAATTTATGCTGCGTCTTTTATTTATTGGAATAGGTAGTTCCGGAGTTTTCTCTAAAAACCTCTGTCATGACCCTTGTGTAGATTCAATAAATGGGGTGGCCCCACTGGATCAGGACTCTGGGTCTAAACCAATTTCTGTTGAGGAGAGTGGACATAGAGAGGGTAAGCATGAATAATCATCAAGAAAAATTGTCTGCTCTTAATTTTGGGGTACAATCTTACAATTCATGCTGTAACATCGTAGGGGAGAGTGCTCCATCTGAGAGGCAAGTCTCCCCCGATAAGCTCTACCGTGCAGCTTTATTGCGGAATAGATTTGCTGACACAATACTAAAAGCCCGAGAAAAGGCACTAGAAAAGGTCGGTTTCCACTTGCCACATTGGGCAACCTACTATGCATTTTCCCTGATGTGCCCATCCAAAATCTTCTTTGCATTTTGCTGCATTTTGCATTTTGAGATGTGGTCAGTTCATCTGATATTTGTGGTTCAGGGTGAAAAGCTGGATCCAGAAAAATTGCGAATTGAAAGAGAGGAACTTGAAAAGCGGCAAAAAGAAGGTTTGGCTTTCAAAATTTGATTCATCTGAGATAAGATATGGCATTTTGTGCAGTAGAAGTCAATGTGGCGATCAGTTTTGCAGTCGTTTAAAATATTCAAATTTTCTTGTGTCATTAGAGAAAGCACGTTTACAAGCTGAGGCCAAAGCTGCAGAAGAGGCTCGAAAGAAGGCTGAAGCAGAAGCTGCAGCCGAAGCTAAAAGGCAGAGGGAACTAGAGAGAGAGGCTGCACGTCAGGCATTGCAAATGGTAAGGGTGGATGTATTATTATGTTGGTGGAAGCATTCTACAACCTTCTCTTAATTAAACGGCAGCTGATGAATATCTGGCTTTATGCAGATGGAAAAGACTGTTGAAATTGAGAATAGTCAGTTTATGGAAGATCTAGAAATGTTTAGGGCTGTTGATGATGAACGTGTGCCAAATTTCACGGAGGAGACTAGCCCAGAGCATTCTCAGAATGAGCTTGTCAGACTGGGTAGTTTCAAGCTACAGGGAAGTAGTAATCCCTTGGAGCAACTTGGTTTGTTCATGAAGGCGGACGATGATATAGAGGAAGAAGAAATCGAACCTCCCCAGAGTGCTTCAGAACCAGAACCCAAACCTGAACCAGAACTCGAACCTAAACCCGAACCAGAAGCAGCAAATGATGCTGTTGAAGCAAATGATGCTGTTGAAGCAAATGATGCTGTTGAAGCAAATGACTTCGAAGAAGGAGAGATTGATTGATGATATTTTTTGTTCATGTTCTTGTACCGACTGAGAAGCAAAAATGGAAAATGATGGTCCTGAGGTATTTAGGCTTTGTGGACCATAATATTATCTCTTTCCTGTTTGAGGTTTAGCTGTTAAGCCTGAAAAGAGGGAAGAAGAAGTAGCTGGAGAAGATGAGTTATGGATTGGGTTTTGGGTTTTGGGATTGTGTTCTTTGAAATGATTTTTTGATTTTCATTTTGGGAAATGGAGTGGACATCTGGGGAGGTAAACCCCATTCAAATCAATTTTGCCCATGGTGGATGATGATGTGCTGTGGGTTTTTGATGAAAGAAGGAAAAATCCAATTTTTGTCTGTAAAAAGCGTTAATTTTAGGTGGTAGAAAAGGTCGGCTTTTAGAATTGTAAAATATCAGTCAGACTATTATGGCATTCTACCCATTTTTCCTGGGAAAAAAAGATGTCTTCTATTGGAGTTTTAGGAATAATGACAGATTGGATATTAACAGTTGGAACATTTGTGTTTTGTCTTTCTGATATGATTTTACTTTTGGCTAAATAGTATCAAAGCTGCTGGTTTAAATTTTAAGCATTTCACTTCATAAATTATAGTTGCTCTTTTTCTTTTTGTTCTTTAAATTTTGGATTTTTAATTGTCCAATTTGAGAGAAATTTATATTCAAATTAGCAAACCAATTGAGCATCATAATCGTTTTTTAATACAATTGATAGTCTAAATTAAGTACAAGCCATAGTCTCAACTATAAGGGAGGGGGATTTTTGATACACAACTATGATGTCATGGGGGTTCGAATATTAGACCTCTGGTTTGTAAGTCAAAGTCATTTTTCACTAGCTTAGACCCTGTTGACATTATTGTTGTTCTTTAAAAGAAAAAAAACAAGAAAAAGGCAAAGGATGATCGAGAAAATATTGATTATCGAAAAGGAACTTTTTTTGGTTATTTTACAAATGAATGTGCAAACCAACTGTCATTTGGTTCTTGGCTCAAATGACACGTCGTGTTTAGCGTTTTGTACACAATACGCATTTCTACCGATACACTAAAACCCCATATGCCTTGTTTGGTAGGCTGGACTGGACTGGTTAGGATTGGACTTGGAGTGTTGGACTGATTTGGCTTGGATTGGATTGAACTTTAATAAGTTGATTGGTACATTAAGTTGGGCTAGATTGCCTCTGGACTAAAGTCCAGCCCATTGTTTGGTACAAGTATGGCATGGACTGCATTGGACTTAATTTTTTATTTTATTTTAATGTTTTAATATCAGAAATAATTAAATTTAATAAAAAAAACCATGTACACAAAATTAAAAATAATAAATCACATGAAGATACCATAAAAATAGTCCAAAAATTCACAAAATTAATAATAACACGAAAATTCTTTTAAGTGCATTCAAATGATCAACAAATACTTATGTTATGTTGCTCTATTTGCCATCCACTCATTAAACATCTCAGTAGAAAAATTATCCCTCCATCCACTCATTAAACATCTCAGCAGCCAAATTCGTTTTTCTGGACAAATGGTTGGGCTGCATATTCCTCAAATGCCATCCACTGCAAGCCATTGCAAACAAGCGTGTCAATATAGAATAAACTTCAAGGGCTTTACACGGGAAAACAGGAAAAAAAATGATCATAAGGATTTGAAGATCTATACACATTTTGGATTCTTAACTAAATGAGTTTCTGGCAATTCCTCCTATTCGTATTACCATCCCTTAACCAAAAATTACCTGGGTTGCTTCTATCTCTTGATCCTGCTTTTGGATATCAAAGGAGAGGTGTTGCATCATGCACACAAAAAATAAATCTGACTTCTCAAAAAATGACTTGTAGCTTTGTCTGCAAATTATAAGAATAAGGTATGAAAAATATACTTTTTTCCGAACAGCTAAAATAACCAAAAGGTAAACATCAGAAATGAGCAATATGAGAACCACACAATAAACTTGGGAGAAAAGGAACAAGAAATCAATTTTCTAACATAATGCAGTCAAGAACATTCAGAAGTCTTTAAACCCAACAACATTCAAGGAAGCATGGTGCCAGGGCCTAATGTATAAAATGTGTTAAAACTTGGTTGTCATGTATTAGTTTCATTATTGTACAATTGAAGTCCTACATGATTGCAAATCATTCTATAGAACTGTCATATTTTAGTTCATGAATTTACTAGTGCCTCAACTCGATTTACAGTCTCGATCCCGAGTGGTTCAAGGGTGCACATCCTTCTCTCCATTCTGATTAGAGCAGTCAAAGATATGATTAAAAGCAAAACCAACGTGGCAATCCAATATGACAATACAAAATCAATTACTAATTACAACTGATCAAAAACTATCAAAACTGATCAAACTCATTTCTTCTTTTCTTTTCTTTTTTTTTTTTTTTTTTTTTTTTTTTACCATCAAAGATTCAAGCACACTTGCATTGACAAGCTCTACTAATTAAATACCAAACATCACAGTAAAGAAAGTTGCTATTAAATACCAAACAATTGAAGTCCTTTCTTCAAAGCATTCATAAAACAACCCATCAACTCAAAACGCCTCAAATGGCATAATACATACTGCTCAGACAATATCAGAAACAAGAGGTTTCATTAATGAATTCCAAGAAAAACAAAGTTCCTAAAACTTTGTCACGATCACATAAGATTTAAAGGGTTACAACAAATTAATTGAGCATTTTGGCCTTCCTTTCCGTTTTCCCTACAACCAACAAAAACAAAGACCTGAACACAGATTACATGTAGTTCATTCTTCTCTCTCAATCAACCAAAGGCAACTGGAATAGGTTTTGGGCAACTATTTTGTAGGCCATTCTTCTATCAATCAACCAAAAGCATGGAAATTGGAAAATATATCCAAATGCTGACACATCATGCAAAGTCAAAAACTGGAGTGTCCAATTCAAATGGTTAAAGAGAATCTAAGATCTCTCAAAACTCGTTGCACCTAGAATGTAAATACAGAACCAGGCCATATTGAAACAACAACCACAAAAAAACTGAGATATCAAAACATATAAAGCTGACAAATCAAAAGCACACTGACAATTTCATACTTAATGTAACAAAAATTACAAAAAACAAAACCAAACAAAACAAAAACCCACACAGTAGTTGGGTACTGGACATCCACAAAATTGAGATGGGTTTGTTTCTCCTTACCTTGTTGTTCAGCGGTGTTGATGGAGTCGGAGGCAATGGCGTCGTTCATCGGTGTTGCTGGAGTCTCAGGCGAAGGCGTCGTTCATCGGAGTGAAGAAATAAAAGAAGAAAAAGAGAAAGAGAAGAGGAGAAGAAGAGCAGACGACGAGAGCGGCTTCGAAATCCATGTCTCACCATGTCCTAAACAAACATTTGCTTCCTAACCAGTCTGCGATTCAATTAAGCCTACCAAACAATAGACTGGACCCATGTCCATTTTAATTGGATTTGTCCAATCCAGTCCAGCCCACCAAAACGAGTCCTGAGAGATACACGCCCATCTTCTTCACGTTCTTCCTCAGTTCTGAGTCTGGTAAAGCGACCTTATTTGCCTCTCTCTCTTCCTCCTCCTCTTCTTTGTCTGTGGCACCAGCCATTCTCAAACTCTCAATGGCGGCCACGATCGCCTTCAACGCCGTTGGAGCTCCGGTACGACTCTGCCGCCAATTAACTCACCCACGAAGCTCCTATCCACTTCTCGGCGGGATCCGACTGCGTCGCGTTGCCCCGACCCGATTTTCGAGCTCCTCATCCCCCTCCTCTGGCTCTGGTAAATGAATCGCATTATCTTGTTATGGTAAATTGAAGTTTACATCAGAACAATTTGGTGATGTTTTAATGGAAATGTAATCAAATAGCAGGAATTAGGGCGCAGGTGGCGGCCGTCGAGCAATCGAGCGCTGCTGTAGCTCAGAACGTGGAGGCTCCTGTGGTTATCGTCACTGGAGCTTCTAGAGGAATTGGCAAAGCTGTTGCGCTAGCTCTCGGCAAGTCTGGTTGTAAGGTCATCATCATCATTCATCATTCATCATTCAATTGCTTTCTTCGATGAGTCATGACCATAGGCTTCATTTCACTGTTACAGGTTCTGGTAAACTACGCAAGATCATCTAAGGAAGCTGAATTAGTTTCCAAGGAGGTACCTTTTGTTGTTAAAATAATGGCCTTCGTGCAATGCATATATTGAAATCAGTTCATAGTTGAAATATTTGGTTTTAAATATATCCCGCATTTTAAACATGTTTTTTGCGGTTTAAATGTTGCAGATTGAGGCATCTGGTGGTCAAGCTCTGACATTTGGGGGTGATGTTTCAAAGGAAGAAGATGTAGCGGCAATGATTAAAACTGTACGCAAATTCGCTCTTTTATGCTAACTACATGTATTTTGTGTGGTTGCAATTATCGCTTGCAACGTGACATCTTTTCAATCAAATGAATATAGGTGGTTGATGCATGGGGAACAGTTGATGTGTTGGTTAATAATGCTGGTCAGCATCATATTACTTCTTGTATTTAAGCTTCTTATCTTGACTTTCCTTTCTATTTCAACTGACACAGTCCTTTTCAGGAATAACACGGGATGGCTTGTTGATGAGAATGAAAACATCCCAATGGCAGGAGGTTATTGATTTGAATCTTACTGGCGTGTTTCTGTGCACACAGGTGTGTAGTTTAGGGCATATGTTGATCTAGTAATTGTAGTTGTTCAAGCTTAGAATTGTCTGATCTTTTTAGCATGGTTCGTGCTATTTGCAGGCTGCAGGTAAAGTTATGATGAAACAGAGAAAGGTAATCAAATTCTGTCTTCCTTTCTTGTATTATGTCAATGTGAAAATCCTATTTTGCTTCTAGATCCTTAGTCTGTTCATCATATTTCAGGGAAGAATAATCAATATAGCATCTGTTGTTGGTCTTGTTGGCAATGTTGGACAAGCCAACTACAGTGCTGCAAAGGCCGGAGTAATTGGCTTTACGAAGAGTGTCGCCAAGGAATATTCAAGCAGGAGCATTAATGTATGTGCATGTGATTCAAGGTTTTTAATTAATTAATTTAATTATCTGTTTTCGGTGTGTGGGGCTTGCCTGCTATTACGTGTAACCCCACTCCACACTTAGCAATGGCTATGTGGTTTGTTTGATGATGTTAAACATTCAAGCAGATATATTTCTAAATTTCTTGCATATTTCCAGTCTTACGTGGTGGGCCTAAAGCAATTATCCATCTAAAGCTTTCTTTTTTCCATAGGTCAATGCTGTAGCACCTGGTTTTATTGCATCTGATATGACTGCCAAGCTTGGAGAAGACATAGAAAAGAAGATCTTGGGAACCATCCCCCTAGGTGAGAATAGTCAGTTGGCTACTAGTTCTTTAAGCATTATTATCAAACCTATCGTAGTTAATGTGAATTATTGAGAAACTGCTCGTGATGGTTATATAACTTAGATGAGAGATATAAATGTTATTGAGTCTTTGGATTGGGATGATTGAAATTTGATTGATTCTCTAATTCTTCTTCCCTGGTTTGCCTAAACTTAAAGCTTGATATTTGAAGACTCACATATAAATAAGAGAAAATAAATCAGTTTTATAATTCTTTCAGGGCGATATGGTCAACCTGAAGAAGTCGCAGGACTGGTGGAATTCTTAGCGCTCAATCCCGCTGCCAGTTACATTACTGGACAGGTAAATTTTTATTAGAAATCTGATAATTTTTCCTTGGACAAATGGGAAATGGCACCATTTGAGCTGTCAAGTTTTGCACTGGGCCATTGTAGGTATTAACCATTGATGGAGGGATGGTGATGTGAGAGGCCAAGTCCCGCACCCCAACGAGCTTCATCTTACAGAAGGTTTCAAATGACGCTTCATCTTACAGAAAGTTTCAAACGAAGAGAGGCTTTTCTTTATATTCCATTCTTGACCGGCTTCTAGTTTCAAACTGAATAGAAGAGTAGAAGGATAATATATACATATATATTTTTGTCGTTTAGCAAAGGTTGTTAAAATATATTCTCTGACACTTGTGAACAGTGTAAGAGAAAAAAGGACTTGATAGGAATTATATTTGTGTAGTGGTTTCAGTCTCCAGATGATACTAAAGCGTTCTACTTCACTAGTTTAAATTTACAGGCTGTGTATTGTTTATATGGGTTGCATATGAAGTCTTTTGTTCTCTGTGTGGAGGTAGAAAATCTGAAGCCTATAGGCTTGCTTTTAACCACTTTGGGTTTAGGCAAATGTAACATCCTGACCCAAAATATAATCCTTCGTGAATTAAATTAATTGAATTGAATTTGAATTTCTAATTTTGACCTTGAGAGTAGGGGTAATTTGGTCATTTTAAATCCGGAAGGATTTCTGGGCAGTGGCTGGTACCTTTATGTAAATCGTACCGAGATGAGTCTGTAGACACGCAGTTGGCTCGAATCGAAGTTGTAACGAAGAAGTTACGATCAAAACAAGCTCAGTGGCAAAATCATAATTTTTGCGAAAATGGTTTTAAATATCAGATTTCTCTCTCCCGCGAACCAGACCCCCCACCCCCATTTTTTGGCTTGCGACGGCAGCAACTTCCCGCCACCGCCACCACACGCTGCCATTTGGGGCGGCACCGGTCCCGTTAGAACCGCCTCACTTCCCTCTTCGATTCCTGACCGGTCCTAGCCTCGATCCGCCGTCGTGGTCGCCGGAAACAGCCCCGAAACAGACCGGATTTTTGACAGTTTTGACAGATTTTCTCAAGCTCGTTTCGAGTTATTCCGGCCACCATTTCCGACGATCCAGGTATGATTTTTCAACCTCTCGACGTGTTCTAGATGCTGGTTGTGTTAGTTTTGAGAAATTTCTGCGTTTAGCAAAACACATAAGCGATGGAAGTTTGGCCCGTTTTCGGCCTTCAATTCCGGCCACTTCCGTCGACTTTTTGGGATAGGTCCAAGAACAAAAGTTGCTCCACTCTATGTGGTGAACGTATAGGTATAAGTCTTGACAGGCGTTTTGGAGATTTTCCGATTGCTGGAATTGCTTTGGACACCCACGCGCTGCCGGCGCGTGGGACACTTTCTGGCCGGTCTTAGAGTCCTAAAATAACTCTCATGTCGTCCCGAGCACGACAGTATACTCGGATATGAATTTGGTTATTGTTTGATCGTCGATCGGATATCACATATTAGGTGTTATCCGGGTTCGATATATTCGGGCCGTTGGATCGACTCCAATTTAATATATGTTGATCAAGGCATTCCTAGGATCGTGTAGGAATTCACGGATCGTGGCCCAAGCCCTGCCCATTAGACATCGGGCCGGGCAAAGCCCACCCATTGCATCATGTCAAGTAAGCCCATAAGACAGCAGGTAGGAATACTAGGATCACAGTTGGGTAGGGTTTTGTATTGATAAAGAGTTCTTAGATATTTAAGTTTCGACCCCATCGCTATTGCAGAAAAACCTTTGCACAGAAAAAACCCTGTCCTGAACTCTTATACGCCATCGCTATTGCAGTTGCTGCCTTGTCAATCCCATGGATATGCATCATATTCTACGTGCCCGTGCCTATTCCCGTTACCCTTCCTTAGGTAATTAAGTAAGCTTAGAATTCAATCTCTGGTTATTATGTTGATATCCCTGTTTTCTCTAATCAATCTGTAATATATATATTCCTTTCTAGTTATGATTTTTGGTTCTTCTTGGGATTTGCATAATTATTATACTATGTATGACTAATTAAATATTGGATATGGATTTGGTAGTAAAATTCATTGGTACATAGATATTTAAGTTTTCACCACTTACATCTGCTCTCGTCTCTTGCTCTCTATCACTGAATCAATCTCTCTTCTTTTAGGGTTTAGGTTACCTGATAAAAGCATTTTAATTAGTGTATGTCTAGATTGATGATATATATTGGCCTGGTATTGACATTGACAAATATTTCCTTTACCCTAATTTTGCAGAATCCAGGTCTTTTTCCGAGAGGTGTAAGTAAAACTGCGCCCTTGTAATTTAATTTTATACATTGCATGTTGGGGTTTCATCAACATATATAATCTATTAATGCTACTTGACGGACACATTAGGCCTGTTTGATAACCATTTCAATTTTAGTTTTTAGTTTTCATTTTTTGTGCCATGAGTATAGAGGAAAAATAGGAGATGATGGGTGGGAGGACTAACAAAAGTTAAAACAAAAACTAAAAACTGAAATCTATTTAAAATTAGGTTTATTTTCACTTTCAAGATTTTGTTTTCACTTTTGTTACTCCTCCCTTTCATCTCTCGCTCAATCTCATCCTCACTCTCTCATTTTCCTCTATACTCGGCATAAAAAAAATAAAAATAAAAATAAAAAGAACTAAAATTGAAATGGTTATCAAACGGCCACATTAATTAATTAGTTTAGGTTTTCATATGGTCATGCTGCTGACATCGATATCTCTATCTATATATAATAACAATCTAATATTGAAATCTATATAATCTTGCTATATATTAATGGAATTAGGTCCTAGTTGCCCTGCTGAGGTTGTGGTGAAATACCCAGATGGAGTTCGTAGGGTTGTTCGTCGTTCAGATTTTCACAAAACTGAATTTCCAAAGGATAACGAGTCATCGGATGGGAAGCATGTTGAGCCTAAGTATCCTTACTGCAAGCTATGGGTTAAGCTTGCCGTTGAGGTACATACCTGCATTCTACTCACTACAAATAAAAAAATAAAAAATAGACAATGCTTGCTTGGTGTGATTGATGCATTGCTATTATTTGTTGCTCAACATGGCTGATCTGGATTTAAGTTTTGAATGAAAATCTGATTCTCTCTTTTTTTAACCGCAGGCAACGCTTTTTGATGGGAATGATAGTTATTATAGTGAATATTTCCGCAAAGCCTTAATAGAAGATTGTGGTGGTATTGAGATAGACTTTGGCAAGTCAAAGAAAGGTTCGACTTCTACTAGTAAGGTTCAAGATTAGTTCAAGATCCACAACTAAAAGTAGATAAAAGTTGACACTTGTGAGCAGTGAGAGAGAAAAGAGACTTGATAGGAATTATTTCTGTGTAGTGGTTTCAGTCTCCAGATGATACTAAAGCGTTCTACTGCACTAGCTGAAATTTTCAGGCTGCGTATTTAATATCCCAACCCATTGTTTATATGGTTTGCATATGAAGTCTTTTGTTGTTATTTGTGTGGTGGTAGAAAATCTTAAGCCTATAGTATAGGCTTGCTTCAAAGTTCCAATCAAATGGTTACGACTAACTACTAAAGAATCCATCAAAGAAAAAGGAACATATTTGTAATTCCCAACATAAACTTTTGTTGTTTCTTCCCCTTGTCCTTCACATTTTCCGTAATTTTAAATTTTGGGTTATAGGAAATGAACAGCATTTAACCGGACCCCAACCTGATTCCTCACAAGATTGAGAAACTATATATTATATATGCTATATCTCCTAGCAACAAAAATGGGATTAGCCGCAGGCAACTCTGCTTCTCTCTGCTTCTCTCTTCTATACCAACTACTGTACAGATAACATTGTTCCACCTTAGCCATGTACCAGTTATAGACCTTCATCCGAAATTCTTGAAGATTCGGTGGCATTAACACGAAATTCTTGAAGATTCGGTGGCATTAACATGAGGCTGGTCCGAAAAATCGATGTTGGTTTCATTTAAGAAGCTGAAATCAAAGTCATCGTCGTCATCATCTTCATCATCGTCTTATCTGCTTGAATCTTCTTCATCATCGATTTCCCTTGGTTTTATTCCCTTGGCTTCTCTTTGCATCTGTTGCTTGATACAATCATCATATGACATTTCATACCAAACATTGCTCTTTCCCACAATAGCTTTGCTCTTCTCTGAGTTATTTGGTTCTCCCCAGTAGTCATACCGGAGGGTTTGCAAGAAAATGTGGGTACTGGAGCAAGTTCAGACCAAAAGAGAAATGATAGTGGGAATTCAGAAATTGGCAATGGTGAGTCGAGGATTTATGCTGCATCTTTTATTTATTGGAATAGGTAGTTCCGGAGTTTTCTCTAAAAACCTGTGTCATGACCCTTGTGTAGATTCAATAAATGGGGTGGCCCCACTGGATCAGGACTCCGGGTCTAAACCAATTTCTGTTGGGGAGGGTGGACATAGAGAGGGTAATCATCAAGAAAACTACGCAAGTTCATCTAAGGTAGCTGAATTAGTTTCCAAGGAGGTACCTTACGAAGAGTGTCGCAAAGGCCGGAGTAATTGGCTTTACGAAGAGTGTCGCAAAGGAATATTCAAGCAGGAGTATTAATGTATGTGCATGTGATTCAAGGTTTTTAATTAATTAATTTTATTATCTGTTTTCGGTGTGGGGGGCTTGCCTGCTAATACGTTTAACCCCACTCCACACTTAGCAATGGTTATGTGGTTTGTTTCCAGTCTTACGTGGTGGGCCTAAAGCAATTATCCATCTAAAGCTTTCTTTTTTTTTCCTTAGGTCAATGCTGTAGCACCTGGTTTTATTGCATCTGATATGATTGCCAAGCTTGGAGAAAGACATAGAAAAGAAGATCTTGGGAACCATCCCCCTAGGTGAGAATTGGCTACTAGTTATTTAAGCATTATTATCAAAATCTATTGTAGTTAATGTGAATTATTGAGAAACTGCTCGTGTTAGTTATATAACTTAGATGAGATATATAAATGTTATTGAGTCATTGGATTGGGATGATTGAAATTTGATTGATTCTCTAATTCTTCTTCCTTAGTTTGCCTAAACTTAAAGCATGATATTTGAAGACTCACGTATAAATTAGAGAAAATAAATCAGTTTTATAATTCTTTCAGGGCGATATGGTCAACCTGAAGAAGTCGCAGGACTGGTGGAATTCTTAGCGCTCAATCCCGCTGCCAGTTACATTACTGGACAGGTAAATTTTTATTAGAAATCTGATAATTTTTCCTTGGACAAATGGGAAATGGCACCATTTGAGCTGTCAAGTTTTGCACTGGGCCATTGTAGGTATTAACCATTGATGGAGGGATGGTGATGTGAGAGGCCAAGTCCCGCACCCCAACGAGCTTCATTTTACAGAAGGTTTCAAATGACGCTTCATCTTACAGAAAGTTTCAAACGAAGAGAGGCTTTTCTTTATATTCCATTCTTGACCGGCTTCTAGTTTCAAACTGAATAGAAGAGTAGAAGGATAATATACATATATATATTTTTGTCGTTTAGCAAAGGTTGTTAAAATATATTCTCTGACACTTGTGAACAGTGTAAGAGAAAAAAGACTTGATAGGAATTGTTTTTGTGTAGTGGTTTCAGTCTCCAGATGATACTAAAGCGTGCTAGCTGATATATGGGCTTGCTTTTAACCACTTTGGGTTTAGGCAAATCTTTTAACCACTTTGTATAGCTATTGGTCGAAAGGCCACGTAGCCTTCCTTTGGGTTTGGACAAATCTTTTAACCACTTTGTGGATATTATCATAACATGGATGTTAATTTTAATTAGGATTCTCTAACATATTTTCATTTCTAGTTATGATTTTTGGTTCTTCTTGGGATTTGCGTAATTATTATACTACGTATGAATAATTAAATATTGGATATGGATTTGGTAGTAAAATTCATTGGTACAAAGATATTTAAGTTTTCACCTTATTTCTGCTCTCTATCACTGAATCAATCTCTCTTCTTTTAGAGTTTAGGTTACCTGATAAAAGCATTTTTATCCATGGTTATGCCTGCATTGCCACGTGGCGGACTACAATTTTTTTATTTTATTGAAAAAGTAACCCAAGGCCCAAATGTAAAAAGTACCAATTAAAAAAAATATATAATTCAATTATCGTTGACAGCAGAATGTAGGGGGCAAAAAGGAAGAGAATGATATTCATTAAAAAAAGAGAATGATGAAATATTTAAAATACTAAAAATCTCTTTGATTAATACAAATATTGAAAATTGATGTTATTAATTAAAATTAAGATAAACATTAAATACAATATAAAAATTCTAATCGGTCAATGGTGCCCTGGAGAGAGAGAGAGGATATTTCCGTACAAGTGTATTGCAACGTGCATGCATCCCATTTTCCTTGGATATTTGTCCAAAACAAACCATAACAAACATGTATCGAATAAAACAAAAAACAGATTTATGTAAGCATGAAATGCAACCGCACTTATCAATAAATTCTCATATGTATATTATATGAATAATGCTACTCTTACTACTACATTTACATACCATATTCCTATATGTGGACAACCACATCAACCATATTCCTACATTTATATACCATATTCTATTATTTATTTTTCTAATTTTATTAATTAAAATATACTTTATTAATTCAATTGATATGACATATAATATAGACATACAATTTGAAGCTAACTATTTGGATAGGACATACTAATTTTTGCTTGGATGAATTGAACTAATTTTTATAAAATAAAGTGTAGCGTTTAAAAATTAGTATTAAATTTCTTTTTTCCCAAACTTTGCACTTAGCTGGAGCCTAGAGCCCTAGCCATAGTGTAGCTCCGTCTTGCCCGCGTCGCGTCCCACCACCTTTTTGGTGAAATCGCGTCCCACCACCTTTTTGGTGAAATCGCGTCCCACCACCTTTTTGGTGAAATCGCGTCCCACTTTCAGTTGTGTGTCTGTTATAATAAATCACTGTAAATGATGAAAATCTGCACATATGTTTATGACGCACATGGAGGAGAAAAATGGGCAACCAAAGGTCCAAATAGCCCTTTTATTTAAGCTGGACAAGCTAAGATTGATAGAGGGAGTTGCAGGCGTAAATTGGTAATTGCACAAACCAACCCAACACGCACATAAAAGAATAAAAAATTACTGCACCATCACTAAAAGTTTCTATTGGCTCAATGCCAAATCCAACCTATAGGCACAAAACCGTCACCGAGAGAAAAATGTATCTGCCCTTAATGGAGGTGGCATTTTGTGTGCTACCAGGACAGCTGGACGGCTTAAGGTGCGAGTCAGAAATATGGACGGTTCACATTCGAGGGTGATATAAAGAATTTAATAACCGTAGGGTAAGAGTAAAAACCACGAGATATTGCTGTCAATAAATACACCATCTTCTTCTGTAGCATTCACCCGTCTTCTTCGTCTCGTCTCTCTAGCATTCCCTTCTCTTCCTCTCTGAAAATGTCCACCTCTGCAAAATGGCTGCAAAATGCAGCAAAAATCAACGCCATCAAAGTGAAGTATGTGGCTTGTCCCAACCAAGAAGTCGGAGTAATAGTTGCTAAGGTGAATCCTGCTGATCTCAAAACGATCGGTGTGGTGAGCAGCTCCAGTGGGACCGATACCTCCGGTGAGAAGAGGATTCTCCCCACATTCAACTCCACCATTACTGCCTTAGGGCTTTTCCGATCCCTTTTCAAGAGAGGATTCAAGGAAACAGTGCTTGCATTTGCTGAAAATGAAGATGCTAAGTGGAACAGACCTAAGGGGTGTGGATTCACAGAAGTGGAACAGCGAACCCTTCAAGAGTGCAGAAGATTGTTAGAGAAGCGGGTTAAGCCAGACTTGAGCACCCAACTGGGACCAAGACCGACGGCTCCACCCGTCATCAAGAGCCGCTCCGGCACCGGAGGCGAGGATGCTAAGAAACCAGAGAATGGCAATGGACGTGAGAATGGAGTTGTTGCCAAACCCAGCCTGGAAGGAGCTAACGGTGGCGGCGGCGGCGGTCATAATGGAAAGCATTCTGGAGGTGGCAATGGTAGTAATGGAAAGCATTCTGAAGGTGGCACTGGTGGGAAGCCAGATGGTGGAGTTGCTGGTGATGAAGGAGGAAACGGTGCTGTTGCAACGGAGGGGGCTGGAGAAGGTGGAATTCTTGAGAAGCTTCTGGAAAAGCTTCATGATATATTTGGTTAAGTCATGTAAGAATTTTAGAAATGAAAAAAAAGTATAGAAAAAAAAAGGTTAGGAAAAATGAGGAGTTAGGTAATCGGTCTGTTTTTTTTATTTCGAACATTCACAAGAATTTGTAATTTCCCTTCTTTTTCTGAAGGAAAGATTATAATTACACTATGTTTTTGCTTTAAATGATTTTCACTCTGTTTTTGCTTTAAATAATTTAAATTGTAATCAGTAGAATGACGCCTTACCAAAATCAACCAAACCAAACCGCGGATTATAGCAAAATAGCAACACGGCATCGGGGAGCTCGAACGAAGCTCTTTCTGTCGGCGACCGCGCTCATCGGCGGCGGTGCGGCGGCGACCGTCGTCACCTCCGACGACCGTCGTCACCTCCGACGACCCCGCCATGACTCTACACAACCGTTAACCCGGGCCTTATTCGCGACGCCATGACATCGCCTTCGGTACTCTCACTTCTGACAGGTTCACGATACGTGGTCGTTTTAGCATTACATTCAGTCGAGCATTAAGTGCCTTAGCCTTGCCTTTAGCTTAATTGTGAATTTTTGTGTTGTTTTGAAGTTAGTTGCATCAGATTCGTTAAACTTAAGTGAAACTGCTTAGATTGTAATGGAGTTTCAAATTTCTTTGTGATTACATTAGCAGATTTTTGCTGAATTTGATCCTATTCCAATATCAGTGATTCCCTTCTTTAGATTACAGGTAGTTCTGTGGTAGTAATCGTTGCTGTTTTTTCATTCTTACTTTCATGAAGAGGTGGATGATTGATGAGATGCGTGAAAGTTTACCAAGGGCAAGTTGCTTAAATGTCTCACCTTTGATGGGTTCTCTGTAAACTTGTGCAGTCTTTGCCTTCAAGAGCGGCTCTTCGCGTGGAAACTGAGACTGCTGCACCTATGCCACCCTCAAAAAAGAAGAAAAGTACACCAAATGATACTAGTGTTAAGCCTGAAGCTCTGAAACGCATGTTGACTGATGAGGAGAAGGCTAAACTGACCATGGAGTTGGAGGCTTTGATGGACGCAGAAGTGCCTCTAAATGTTGTTAATTTCCTACAAGAGCATAGTCATGACTCATAGTGAAGGGCAAACCAATGATAATGAGATCGAGGTTGACCTTGAAGCTTTTAGTGATGATACCTTGTTTGCCTTATGGAAGCTTTTGGATGACCATCTGCTGGAGAAACAGAAAAGGCAGGTGAAAGCTGAACCTTGTGAAATGGAGGTATGTTCATAGTTTTTTCTTATAATGTTTGCATGTGTTATCTGTTTAAATTAGTGGATTTCTTATTGGTGTATCACCTTTTTTTACTGCAGATTCTTAATGAGTCAGGATTTAGCAACTCATCAATGCAACCATGTAAAGGTTCATTTTCAATAACAGCTCTGTGAATATTCATTTAGTGAACTGTTAAAAAAATTTCTTCTGCAAGGAACTTATTTCCAACAGCACGGATTGTTATGACTTGTATGTACCCAGGCAATGACCGAGGTGATGAGGAAGTGGATATTGTTGGTGGGAACGATGCTCCTATTTCAAGCTTTCCTCCAGTGGAGATAGAGAAAGATCCATCTCACAGAAACAGTAAATGCAGTAGCTCAAGTAGCTCCAGTAGTGAATCAGGCTCTTCATCCAGTGGTTTGTGTTTCTACCTACTTTTCATATATGTAGGTTTATAAGTTGTTTTCAATGTTCTAATTTTGGAGCTTGTTAGACAGAGGATATGCTGTTGAGAAGTACATATTTCATCCTATGCAAATTATTATTTTACTAAATGCCCTGTGTCTGTCTCTGTCTCACACACACACATAGATACACATGAAGTCTGAGGTGCAGTGTGAGAGTTATATTACAGTCCATGATTGTTATCCCTGTCTCCCTTGACCATTGCAAGATATGATTGTTATCCTTGTCTCCCTAAGCCATTCATTTTAGTGTCAACTGTCTTCTATTATTGTCTAGCTGTTCTGCTTCCTTTAAAGGCTATGTTTTGCATTACCATAGTGTTAAATCGGAACATGTTCTTCTCAGCAGTTAAAAGAAAATGTTTGAAATTCTATCGCCACCTCTTTGTTGTGTATGTTGCTTGCTTGATAGGTTATGTTTTGCATTGCCATGGTGTAAACTGGAACATGGTCTTCTCAACAATTAAAGAAAATAAGTGAAATTCAATTGTACCGAGTAGCAATTAATGCTTTAGAACCTTTGCCTTGGTTGCAGCACCTCGTTGTTGTGTATGTTTCAGTTTGAGACACTTTTTTATGTGAATCCATTAGTTCTACATTGAGTTGATATCATTGAATGTGTATGTCTTTTTATGAGTAAGAGGTGGCATCTTAATCATTCTGAAACTGGTATTTCTGATATTTCAATGGCACTTCAAGAGGCTCTTTTGTCATTTTGATGTGAGAGTTAGTAATTAGGTTATTGTGTTTTTAAAGAAAAAAAATTGAAAGAACGTGCGCATGTTTTTGTCAATTAACCATTATAATATTGACTTAGATTTTCTGGAGAAAGTGTGGATCACTTGATTTGGAATGCTGGTGTTGTTTTCTTTCTCCCAGTTTGTTAGAATTATGTCTACTCATCTTGTAAAAAAGGAATAAGGGTAATGTAAGTTATGTCCTTCTAGTTAAGGAATAGGTGTATCGTACTTTATGTGAGTGAACAGTTGACTTCATTTAGTGACTAGAACTTTTTGGAAAGGACTAGACCCCCAATGCTGTAATAGATGTGTTGCAAATACTGAGATATGGTGTTAGCGGATATTGAAATAAGTTTACAACATAAAAGTGACTATTGCAAAATCTGGAAAAATTTAGATTTTAAAAGTTCGACGATTATCCTGACCATGTTTATTCCTTCATGGTATATGATGGGATGGAGTTGTTGCAGTGTGCCCTCATTAGTTTTGTACCTTAGTATATATCTTGTAATTATGTGATACTATAAATTGAAGCATACAAAAAGGTTCGTACATTATTGTTTGAAGAGACTCTTATACGTTATTTAAAATTAATGTCTTCCCTGAATGCTATGGGGCCAGACAATAAATACAAGATATGAGTTGTTTTCCAGGGCTTACAATATTTAAAAAGTTTGAATCAAAATATTTTGTGTTATTGGTGATCTTCCTGTATGGTTTGCTTTGACAAGCCAAATAAGTGATTTCAGGAATATCTGTGTAGCCTCTTATGAAACTATAAGATACTTGTGTTATCACAATGGTTTTCATGAATGTTCCAGCATTTTGTTCCAAATAGAACGACTCGTATATTTACAATTTTGGGTGTTGCTCACATGATGTAATTTCTTCACAGATTCTGACTCTGGCAGTTCTTCTGAAAGTGAATCAGATGATGCTAAAGTTCCAGCTTCATTTGGTGGAGGAAAGGTATCATCTTGTAAAATTTTAAAACTTGGTACTTCTGCTTTGTGTGGAGTTAAATTCTCACTCATCAATCTCTCTCTCTCTATCTATATATATATATATATATATATATATATATATAAATACACACCCTCTCCCCCCCACTATATCCTTCTGTTTGTTTGTATGAGTTGTTGAAAATATTTCTTACATCTTCATTTGCAGTCAATGTAGCTTAATTGTGAATTTTTGTGTTGTTTTGAAGTTAGTTGCATCAGATTCATTAAACTTGAGTGAAACTGCTTGGATTGTAATGGAGTTTCAAATTTCTTTGTGGTTACATTAGCAGATTTTCGCTGAATTTGATCCTATTCCAATACCAGTGATTCCCTTCTTTAGATTACAGGTAGTTCTGTGGTAATCGTTGCAGTTTTTTCATTCTTAAAGAGGTGGTTGATTGATGAGATGCGTGAAAGTTTACCAAGGGCATGTTGCTTAAATGTCTCACCCTTGGTGGGCTTCTCTGTAAACTTGTAGAGATCTGTCCACATTATATGTCAATTAGTCTAAAATGTTTATATGTTCACAAGTTTTTGTGGCACAAAACGCTTTTTTTTTTCTTCGTAATGTGCCCGTGAAGTAGCTTTCTATCACTACACATATGTCATGTGGTCATATGTTATTGTGTCAATCAGGAACTAGATTTCATAAATGAGGCCAAGAACAGTGAGAAATGCTTGGAAAATTTTCAGAAGCTTTCTACTCATATTGCAGCTTATGTACCAAGGTCTATTGGAATCTAAGACCATCAGAAGACTTGGAATTCGACCTGATGAAGTTGCAAGATTAGTAAGTCCATGAGCTTCATGTCAAATTCTGACAATCTATATTTTGATAATCATGTTTAAAAAAAAATTGGACTGGTCTCCATTCAGAATTACATTTGCTTCTCAAAGATCCCCTTCATCATTTGTTGACTACAGTAGTCGATTATATAATAGTGCAAATTGATTTAACTTTGCAAAATGGATGAAGGGTATTAGGACATTGGAACCACCACGTTACGTTTATGTTTTTCTTTTTCCCTTTTGCCTGAACCCTTGGGTCTGCAGTTGAAGGTTGAAGCTGAAAAAACAGATAGACCCTCAGTAAAGGCTGGTTTTGGACTCCTGTGCCCCTTTATGTTTTCATTGTTTGTGCTTCAATTTCTTTGTGAGGATATAATATGATCCAAAAGACATAATGTGCTTTATGCAGGTTAGTGAAACTTTTGCAGAAATGATGTTCAAACACGGGTTTGTGCATTGTGACCCACATGCTGCCAACTTGTTAGCCCGGTCTCTGCCTTATAGCCTTATAGCGGCAAGAGCATTCTAGGTGAGACTCTCCTGTGTTGTTGAGGTTATCATTTGAGAATTTATACAGTAATGTTATTTTGGTTTTAATTTTTAGTAACCACAACCAAAAGTAAACCATTGCCTCGCTCTTAGGTGATTATAATACCCACTGCACTTTTCTGAGAGTGAGTTGGCATATTTTCTTTCATGATATCTTTATCATCTGAATCACGATGATGACTATAATACTGCTGAAAACTTGTTTGGTAGTATTTGTGTGATTCCAATCATATTTGGGGTTTCCAAAACTTACTGTGATAGTGATGGTTTGCCATAAGTAGATGCACTTTGTGGCCATAATTATGAAGCACAATATAGTCAGGTCATAAGTAGTTGAAAATTCAAGTCTCTATTTGGTTCGAGTTGTGTAGCTGTTGGTTTGGGTTTTGGGGTTCTTTCCCCCCTGTTTCATCAAAAATTCAAGTCTCTATGTTCTCTAAACCCTGAGAAATATTATTTCAGAAGTCCATGTAGAATATGATGTTGACTGTGGAAGTGTATTACATCTCTGTCGTACTCATACAGTTGGTGGATATTGTGCCTGTTGCGCTTTTCTTGGAATGGTTTTCCTCCATATTTTAGCAACTTACTTTGCTGTGTTCTCTATGTTGTTATGATTGTTGCAGGCTTTGATTTTTGCTGATGCCAATGCAATAGAAAAAAAATAGTGCAAAATTAGGGTTCTGGAGAGGATTTGTATCCATTATTTGCTGGGATTCTTAGTATGAGACCTTGGAATAGGGTCATTGACCCAGCTCTTGATCATTTGGTTATACAGGGCAGCAGAAGTGGCAGTTCAGAACTGCAGGTGAGCTCTTACAATGGGTTAAGTGCCTTCACGATATTTGTAATTCTTTGAGACCTGAGTTATATGCTGTATAATGTTGCTGATTCAGTTCTAGCCTCAGTGAGGAGCCTTGTGCTCCTCGCAATCTTAGCGTTTAGGGTTCATGATACGTGGTCATTTTAGACATTGAGCATTCAGTCGAGCATTAAGGTGAGCTTGAATTTTTTTTTTTTTTTTTTTTTTTTTTTTTTTTTTTTTTTTTTGGGTTTGGGGTCCTGAGGTTTAGCTTAGTTGTTTTGTGTTGTTCTGTAGTTAGTTGCATCAGATTCATTAAATGTAAGTGAAAAATCAGATTAGAATGGAGTTCCAGATTTCCTTGTGGATAGATTATGAGTATTCACTATGGGGACTGCCTGAGGGAAGCAGTGAGAGGGCAAAAGCTAAGCATGAAGTTCACCTCAGGTCTGCATGTAAGCTTCAAGAATTATGTTTCAGCAATGGAGGCATATTTATCAGGCTCGGTCAGCACCTTTGACGGCTGGTATGCTTTCAAATTCAATATGCTCTGACAGTTATATATATATATACAGAAAGTGGAAATGTAACTATACTATAATTGGGTGTTTTGTGTTAAATTTTAAATGAGCTAGGGCAGAGCTAAGTAAATGCTCAATCAGAACAGTATGTCTTGATTGAAAGCAATTGGCAGCTCATCGACCTGTCCATCTATCGACAATAGGCAGAGGCTCTAAATATATGTTCAGCTCCAATAAAGGTTTGGGTTATTGCAATATACTTCTCTCTTGGAATTTGAGACAACTATACCTCTTAGATTATATATGCTCTAACTAAACATTGTAGTACGGAGATCTTGCTGCTCTCATTTCAGTACAGATTTGCTAATGATTCCAATGCCATGCTCTAACTAAACATTGTAGTACTGAGATCTTGCTGCTCTCATTTCAGTACAGATTTGCCAATGATTCCAATGCTGATTATGTGAAGACAGGCGAAGCATCTCTAAAATTTCAATTGATCAATCAACGTGCAGATTTTTCGTTCGCGTTATTCTCGGCGGGCTGTCTAGCATGTGTTCATGTCCCTTCTCTATCAGCTTTCTTCCTATAATATTTAAATATCACTATTTCTAAATTTCAGCTACTTGGTTGCGAATGGAAGTACTTATAATATTTAAATATCACTGTTTCAAAGTTTCATTGGTTGCATATGGAAATACTAGTCTAACTATGTTTTTGTAAAATGCAGCCAAAACTGGTGGCAGTTTCTAATGCTATAAGGTTCGTGAATTTGAAGACACCCCTTTACCCACGTCTTGCTCAAGGGAAGTACTGGGATGAAGTAAGTTTATGTTATTATGATTTAGTACTTTACACAATAATAAAGTTGTATGACTTCTTTTGTCTTTTTACACAATAATAAAACTTAATGATTTAAGAATTGGGGTAAACGAAGAAAAATGTATGGTTTAAATAGAAAAACTCTTTATACAATTTACTACCTTTTTATCAGGTTGGGAGATTTATTGTAAACAGTCGCAATTGAATTTGGAATTAAAATTGAAAAGATTGCAACTACACTACTTAAACCTTTCTTGATTCTTCACACTCTCTTTGCTTTTCCCCCCCTCTTTTTATCGGCACAACAACACAATTTAACATAAACGAACAAATAACATCCAAAAGAATCATTGATAAAGAAATGCGAGATGACAGTGAGCTATCTCATCTAAAACTTCTTGTATCCAAATCAGCAGATTTCTCGAATAAAGCTTAGGTTTAGGCAAATCTTTTAACCACTTTATAAAGCTATTGGCCGCATTATTGTATATGTCACTCTCATACGTGTCACTCTTATACATTGCATGTTGGGGGTTTTCATATGGTCATGCTGCTGACATCAATATCTCTCTCTCTATATATAATAACAAGCTAATATTGAAATCTAATATAATGTTGCTATATATTAATGGAATTAGGTCTTAGTTGCCCTGATGAGGTTGTGGTGACATACCCAGACGGAGTTCATACAGTTGTTCGTCGTTCAGATTTTCACACAAGTGAATTTGCAAAGGATGACGACCCCTCATCGAAGGGGTATGTTTATCCTAAGTATCCTTACTGCCGGCTATGGGTTAAGCTTGCCGTTGAGGTACATACCTGCATTCTACTCACTACAAATATAAAAATAAAATAAAAACAATGCTGGCTTGGTGTGCTTGATGCATTGCTATTATTTGTTGCTCAACATGGCTGATCTGGATTTATATTTTGAATGAAAATCTGAGTCTCGCTTTTTTTAACCGCAGACAACGCTTTTTGATGGGAGTGATAGTTATCATGGTGAATATTTCCGCGAAGCCTTGGTAGAAGAATGTGGTATTGAGATAGACGTAGGCGAGTCAAAGAAAGGTTCGACTTCTACTTGTAGGGTTCAAGATTAGTTCAAGATCCACGACTAAAACTGGATCAAAGTCTGACACTTGTGAACAGTGTAAGAGAAAAAAGATTTATTTCTGTGTAGCGGTTTCAGTCTCCAGATGATACTAAAGCGTTCTACTGTACTAGCTGAAATTTTCAGGCTGTGTAGAAAATCCCAACCCATCGTTTATATGGTTTGCATATGAAGTCTTTTGTTATTCTGTCTGGTGGTAGAAAATCTTAAGCCAATAGTATAGGCTTGCTTCAAAGTTCCAATCAAATGGTTACGACTAACTACTAAAGAATCCATCAAAGAAAAAGATACATATTTGTAATTCCCAACATAAATTTTTGTTGTTGTTTCTTCCCCTTGTCCTTTATGTTTTCCGTAATTTTAAATTTTGGGTTATAGGAAATGAACAGCATTTAACAGGACCCCAACCTAATTCCTCACAAGAATGAGAAACTATATATTATATATGCTATATCTCCTAGCAACAAAAATGGGATTAGCCGTGGGCAACTCTGCTCCTCTGTTCTATACCAACTACTGTACAGATAACATTGTTCCACCTTAGCCATGTCCCAGTTATAGACCTTCTTCCTCAAACATGCCTTCATCCGAAATTCTTGAAGATTCGGTGCCATTAACATGAGGCTGGTCCGACAAATCGACGTTGGTTTCATTTAAGAAGCTGAAATCAAAGTCATCGTCGTCATCATCGTCTTCTCCGCTTGAATCTTCTTCATCGATTTCTCTTGGTTTTATTCCCTTAGCTTCTCTTTGCATTCGTTGCTTGATGCAATCGTCATATGACATTTCATACCAAACAGTGCTCTTTCCCACAATAGCTTTGTTATGAGCATCTGTCAGCCGCTCTTGCTTGCTCTTCTCTGAGTTCTTTGGTTCTCCCCAGTAGTCATACCGATACAGAGGGTTTGCCGGGTCATATTGATCCTTCCCAAAGTAACTGGATTCCACATACCTTCCTGGCTCTTCAAGTGGTAGACCAAGAGCTTTGCGGCTGCAGAGAAAATCATAACAGTTATTGCATACAGCTTCAGTGTGGGTGTGCATGGTTTGTGTGAGAGAAAACAAAAGTGATATTCAAAATCATAATAGGGCAGCCCAGAAGAGAGTTAATATGATGCAAAGTCACACGACATTGCAGGATTACCAGTCTAATTGCATTGATCATATTATGGAATCAAAACCGTGATAATGTGACTGACCTTATCACAGGCGAGGCGACCATTGGTTCCTCTATGCTAAAGTTTGACTATGTAATTAAATACTTCGGGACAATTCACTCCCCAATTTAGAGTAAATAAAACAAGAAATTTCATGAGGGTCAAATCAGAAAAACACATTTGATATTGAATATCCACAATGGAGGAGTACCCATAACCTAAATGATTGTAAATTTCTGACATAAATTAAAAAGATATAGGAACACAGAGGGCAATACCAGCTTATGTCCCTGATCAGAGCTTCTCTTTCCTCAAAGGATCTGCGCCAATGTAAAAGGTCATACTCATCCATTTCATCATTACGTCTCATATTAGTAACTTTGTATTCCTCTCCTCTCTCTTTTGCTTCCCTTCTTAGTCTGTTGCGTAGCTGCAGGAAAATAATAAAAACAAATCACAAAAAGGGATAGCATTCTTTTCTCAGCTAAGATTATTATGGTCAGAGCAAATACATGGATCCCATGTACTCACAACATCTGAGGGTAATACATCACTGGCTGGCCACAGCATTTTAAACTTCAGAAAATATTATATATCAAACCTACAGAACGTCCATACATTTTTAAAACCATAAATGGCGACCAAACTATAAAAACTGTTCGGGAGCCAGGCATTTATTTCATATTAAGTTAGAATAAACAATAGCATAAAGAATCAATATTCAGAAAAATGCATTTTAATAAGTGGAAAATGGATGGAAGACACATAACATAAGTATCGGAAACAGATAGATTAAGTGTGACAGTGCATGACAATATTCATAAAAGAAAAGACACAACAGTCCCATCTTCACATCAACCATCAAAGAAAAACTGCAAAGATAAAAAAGAAAGACAAAAAGTATAGATAATATTCAATACAGTGCTTGAGCAAAGATAATACAAGAATATAAATGTAACAGGCAGGGGAACAGCTGACCTCGCGCTCGGCAAAGGCAGCCTCCAAGTCAAGTTCTTTAACGCTAGTTTTCTGCAAACAAATATGAAGAACAGTAAGTAAATGCCATATCATAGATTCATCTAATGAGATACAATGTCACAGGAGAAATGCCCACCAGGATCACTTTTGGTATCAAGGTTTTCTTATAATAGGCTTTTGTATATTCAACACTATTTTCTTCATTGAACTCTTCAGTATCAGTCAACTCTGATAGTTTTTTGCCTTTGTATTTCTCGGGATTAGCCTCCAAATCATTCAAAATCATCTGTTCAGCAACATGTATCTGCCACAACTGCATCAAGACAATAATGAAAGTCAAATGGCTAAATGGTCAAAGTGGAAAGTCAAATTAAATTGAAGGGCAAGACAAAGAAAGTATTTCCATGCACACAAAAAAAACACTTAAGGCAACATAACAACATTTCAGATATCAAAGATTTACCTTATCAACATAAGGGTGATTTGACAATAAAGGTTCCTCTACTGGTTTGTCCTTTGGATCCTTCCTGGGTACAGGAGGTCTTCCACAATCACGCTAAAAAGTGAAACAAGCCAGATCAAAAGCATAAGCATGTGCTGATATAAATACTAAGACCTAAATGCTCATAGAGTGCTGAACTGTAAGAAGATGACTGAAGGTAAGAAACTAAAGTTATAATCGATCTAGGAGAAAGGTAGAAAAAGTGAAATGTTAGAGGAAAAGCACACACCCGCAATTCATCTGGATTAGTATCCTCATCACGATGAAATATTGGCGAAAAGTCAAATCTGTTGAATCTGGAAGTGTCGATGGAAATTTAGATTTTAAGAAGCAAATAAGACTGAAGAGAATCTGAACCTTGAAGCATGACAAAACAGAATTCGAAGGTGGAGGAAAGCTGTAAGTCTGAGTATAGAAAGACATACATCAAGTGGTCTATGTTAGGATAGACAAAACGCATTTCAATAGGAAACCGAAAACGGTACGGATCTCGCTTTGCCTGCAATAGAAAAATTTAGTAAGAAAAACCCACAAGAAATGTAACAAAGCTCAATCAGCAGTAGTAAGTAGCAATTGTGCCATGAAAAAATAGGATACGAAGTAAATAAATAATAGAAATAGAGAAACTGAAGCACAGAACTCACCAGAATTTCAACAATGACAGGCATACCAACTTTTATGTGATGACGGATCCAGTACCAATCATTATTTTTTATAGGGACCCACCTGACAGACATCAACACACATGAATCTAACAGGAAAATTTGCATTGAAATACACATGCCAGTTTTTAAATCCTTACTCTTGTAAAAACATTTTTTTGTCTTTCCAATTTATTGTCACTGTGTATTAGCTGAAAATGGAAGTGGAAGATAAGACTTCCAGCAATGAATATAGCACGTCCAGTTACAAAAACACTTCACTAACACTAAACAGGACAAGCATAAAAATGATAATTACCCATCATATACACCTCCAATGTCCACAAATGCTCCTTGATATAGATGTACAGCTGTCACTTTTCCTTCACAAATCTGCATTAGCATTTTCCACTGTGTCATCAACCATTATATTTCCACTGTGCAGTTCTTACTTTTAAGAATCCTGGACTAATGGATCTGATAATGAAAATGGTCTATACAACATAGCATGTTACGTGTAAATGAAACATAATTATTCCATAAGGATGATCATCTCAACATTCTTTGGGTGAGATTTAAATGTTCACTTCCAGAAACGCTATAAATAAAGTAAATTACTTACCTGTCCGGGATAATAAAATGGAAGTTCATACTGCACAGAAAAATGAAGACCAATGTCAACATGTTTGGGTAATTCAAGTAGAACCAAAATGGAGGGGTAGGGGAGGGGGGAACAAAAAGAAAAATCACAAAGCCATCATACCATGCCCTCTTTGTAGTCCTTGCCTCTCTTCCTCCTACCCGGATGGTAATCTTGGTCATACTGTATGTCATTGAAGAAAAGAAGAAGCATAATTTATGGCCAAATTCAACTAATTACTAATTATCAAACTTAAAGAATTAATTCACTCCAATTAATATATTTTTTTTCACCAAGTTTCCAATTTATACCCAAATGTGCTTGAGACTAACTTGAGCCAAGCAATTCAAAAACAAATAATGTAAATAGGTAACGAATTAACAACAACAAATAACCAAAAAACGCAATGAGATAAAAAGCTTTAATCTTTGCAGACCTTATACGACTCCTCTTCCAATCGATCCTTATTCGCAGCGACCCATTCCTTGTACTGCTTCAAGAACACCTTATACCTATCCAAACACAAATCATCAGTCTCCGTCGTCGCCTCTCTCTCCAATTCATCCAATCCAACCCTCACTGCCTGCAACTTATGCGCTTCTCTTATATACTCTAGCTCCTTCTTATCAACCTCCCAATCCCTCGGCGGCCAATCCCTCGGTGGCACGTGTCGGACGACCAGCGGCGCGGCCCAAACCGTCTTCAACGGCTCCGGTATGTTGCCTTTGATCTCGAATTGTTTGCGATAATAGTCGTCTTCGGTTAGGCCCATTTCCTCCATTTTCTTCTTGCGGTAACTCGGTCTGAGCATTTTGAAGGCTTCGATGGCCTCTGGGGATTGGAGAGCGACTTCTTCGCCTTCGTTCAAGCTTTTTCGCGCGAAATCGGCCTCGGGCGTGAGGACCTCCTCCCATGGGGCCCACCCGCGCTCGACCCAGTTGCGCTTTCGGGCTTCGTCTTCGGTTTCTTTGTCTTTTGGACCGAAGTTCTCGAGGAAGGTCTCGTCCACTGGGAACTCGTCTGAGCTAAAGGCCTTGGGTTTGGAGAAGCTAAGAGGACGCCATTGGAGGTGGTGGTGGAGCTGCTTGGGGTGGGGTTTGGGGTTAGGGTTTAGGGTTTTAGGGAAGGTGAAGAATTGGTGAGGGGTTTGGAGGACTTGCATTGCTGTGAGAGTGACTGAGGAGGGAGTGCATGTGATAGTCGAAGCTCAGAGTGAAAGACTGTTCTTTTGGATTTGTTGAGTGGATAAAGTAATTTATTTTTTATTGTTTCTATTATTTAATTATTTTTCTTTGTCTTAATTTATTTATTTTTAAATAGTTTGAAAAAAAAAATGATCTCATTATGCTATTTTTTCAGTTAACAATCTATTTAATAGAAGTACACTTATATAAGTGGGGCTTACATTGGCTAATCGTTTTAGATATCGATGCAAGAAGAATGCTACGATCAGTTGTTTACATGAGTATACATATATGTAGAACGATTTATGATACAATTATTTTCTATTTGTGATATTCTCACATATTTTAGGCATTTATCCACGTTTTACCTGAAAGTTCACATGACTATATCACTAGTAGTACCAAAAATTTGTGAACTTTAGTTGATGTATGGCAGTGACTATATGAACATAAGTATGATAAATGTAGTATTATATTTTTAGATCATGCATTTGATATTTGGAAAATCCAGTAACTGATTGAAAACCAATAATTGAAAGATAGACTGACATTTAGATTGAGTCTCTCTCTCTCTCTCTCTCTCTCACTCTCTGCATATCCAGCAAACAAGCAAGCTGTGAATATATGCTGCTGAATACAAGTAAAAGGATATGCAGAGAGATAATAGCTAACCCTAAACCCTAAAAACAAGTAAAAGGATAATAGCTAACCCATCAGCCATGGCTGTAACCTATCTCATCACATCAGTCATAAACTAATTACAAAAAATCTGTTATGTAAATTTGAACTTGGATTCTCCCTTCTTGCAACTTGTCAACAATCAAGAGTAGAATTTGAAATCCTTGGCTTGACTTATGATGTTCTTCAATGCGCCGATTGGAGATAAAACCATCAATAACACTCCAACTATGATGGAGAGCTATCATTTGTAACCCAAAAACAAAAAAAACAGCATCAAATTAGTAGCTGTAAAAATGGAAAGAAGAAAAAAAGACATGCAAACAAAAAAGTTGAACTTCAATTTCTTGAGAGCTTACCCAATTAGCCCACCAAGAAAGGCCAAACTTCTTTGGTTTGTAGATGACAAGCCACATGACGCAAGGGAGCTGCAATACAATAAAAAGAAGAAAAGTTTAGATGTTTTAATTTGCATGGGAATTGCAGGACCTCTTGCTGTTTAAGAAACTAATGCAGTATGATCATATATATATGGTTCCTTACAAAGTATGTTGTGGGAGCAAAAGCAAATCCTCCAAAAAAACTGAGAAGCCCACCAAAGAAAGGGAATGTGATTCCGATGAACAAGGTGAATGCTGCATTCGGAAATATGAGTATCAATGGTTAGTAAATAAAACTATCACGTTGTTGATCGCATCTCTAACAATGTTAGAATGCAGGGATTAAGTAAGTAAGTTAAGATGGGGAAATGCTAATTACCAACAAATGCGGTTCGTGTTAGGAAGCGAAGCAACATAGATGGCTTGAATTTCATCTTCGTTAGTAGAAATGATTCCAGCATGTCAAACACTGGCATTGCAAAGACCTACATAAATGCATTACCAAAACTTGTTATCCATGAAGAAAACAAAGGAAGAAAGAGAAGAAGTAGAAGACGACTAGAAATCAACAAATTTTTATGCAGATGATAAATTTAAATAAGTATTGTACCTGATAACTTCCAATGACATGTATAACAACAAAGAAATTAGCAACAGCTATAAGCCAACGAGGCTTCTGCAATGATATGAGGATGTTATCTTCGACGTTGTTTCCAAACACCCAGTAACCGATCAGAGCAACAGGGAAATAGCACAATGCGACCACAATATAAGCAACAAACACACCCTTCCACATGGGTTTTTTGGAAGGCTTTTCTGGTGTAGAAGGAATTGTTGCTTGAATCTCCAAAACCACGTTGTGCCCAGCAAAAGCAAAAGCTACATTTCCCAAAGCACTAAAGAAGTTGAACACATTTCCTGCAGTGCTTGAAGCCTTGGGACCATACTGCACTTGTGGATCAACCCCTTTGTGCACAGAAGTTGTCCAAGCAATGGTAGAGTAGCTGTGGAATAGTTCAAAATTAAAAACGACATTGACTAAAACCAAATTCTGCAGATTAATTTGTAGCGAGACAGAATTTGAACTTTATAATTTAACACTAGAACACTTGGAACAAGCTCTCTTGATGAATCTTAGGGCCTATTTAAGAGGTTTTTCTGAATTTTTAATGATTTTCTTTATGTGTTTCCAACAAAGCACTCCTAATAAAAGTGTTTGATGAACTAAAATCACTTTTAACAGAAGCAATTGCAAAAGCACCCTTATAGAAATTAATATTCACTTAAAGATTCATCAAGCAAAAGCAGTTTTTTAATGTACCTCAAGGACATAACAGCAGCAGCAAGAGAAACACCAGCTATGGAATTGAAGCTAGGGAGGTGAGAGAGAACAAAGTGGACAGAGGCAAAGATGATGATGAAGTAGGTGGTTTTGATAGATTTGCAATTAGGGCACAGAGTATCATGAATCTTCTTGATGGAATTGCCACCTGTAATCATATAAACTATGCACACTCCACATTCAACCATTAATTGTTGGGGCACCACAACCCAAAGCCCAAGCTTTTCTCCAAAGGCATGCTGCCCCAACTCATGGTACCTATCAAACCTCTTCCCAGGCACAATTTCATGCATCTCTACCATCTGCCATAAGGTGTACAGAGTAATAATCCATGAAAGAACCAGCACAGCAACTCCAGGGCCCCTAATACACCAAACCCAATTCAGTAAAATGGTATAAAAGTATATATATGATTCTATCATTATGAAATTTTACATATCAATATGACAACAAACACATAATTCATTAGCTGGGAAAAGTATCTTCCTTCAATGTTTTCTTTTTGGTACTAATAATATGTTTTATAGACCCGTAACGCTTATCAAAGCAGCTTGTAGGTCAAATGGTTTATTTAACCACTCGTAATATCGTCATCTTGAACATATTAGTGAAAGCATGTGGCTTAAACCCATAATACACCAAATCCAATTCAGTAAATTGCTGTAAAAGTATGTATAATTTTATCATGCTGAAATTCTATATACATGAATATGACAACAAACAAGTAATTTATTAGCTGGGAAAAGTATCATCCTTCAATATTTTCTTTTTGGTACTAATATTACCCTTTATAAACCCGTAACGCTTATCAAAAGAGCTTGTAGGTCAAGTGGTAATATCATTTGTATAAAAATAAAAACCCCAAAACAACATCGTATTGAACACGAAAACAATATAACGAAAGCTTGCGTGGGTTACTTACCATCCAAGTTGAGACATGGCATAGGGGAGGCCAAGCACACCAGCACCAACCATGGCAGTGACATTGTGGAAAGCAGAGTACCACCAGTTTGCGTTCCTTGATTTTGTGATGGGAAGCCAGTCATTGATATCTTTTGTTTCTTGACTTTGTTCCATCTTTTTCAGGTTCAAGTATCACAAGTTCAGTTCACAATGGCAGCTATATATAAGTTACAACACAAGATAAACTCCTTTTTCCGTGTTGAGATAGATACGTAATTGGATAATGAGACTCTTGAGTTTGTTTCCTTTCTTAATTTGGACTTTCGTATTGATTGAACAAATTTCAGCCGTCTGATTGATTGCTCATATATTTTTGAAAGGTCTGATTTTAACCTTTTGATTTTTACTGTAAGAAACACACCATCAAATTTGGTTAATCTTGATTTATTTTTACTTAAAGTTCTTCTGATGGAGTCCTTGTGCGACTGAAATTCTTGTTCCAAAATATTTAAATTTTGTAGTTAATCCTTTTCCATCGAGAATTTTGATTTGAAATATGTAGGACCGCATTATAATTAATTATTAGGAAAAGATCTTTCCTCAAAGGATACAAAGACGGAAACTAAACTGTTTTAGAAGATGAGATGCATGACCTAACCCAAGTGTTTGTTGCAAATCTATATCTATTTCTAGTCATACGCATTGAACAATCTGAGGTGTCAACCCCTGTTGGTACACTTTACGTGCCTCTCTCAAGAATTCAAGAATGCGAGTTGCCAACCACCGGAGAGGTTAACTTTTGGCAGCTGTCCACACGCTTAAATGTACGTGACAGCTGCCCACACGCTTAAATGTACGTAAAACCTACGTACACTGATCACTTGGGCGATTGTTCCTAACATCTGTAACAAAAACTCTGGATCTATTGCAAAATTCGGGGAATTTTATATCCAAAACTGAAAACACTTTTATGTAGTTTATCTGATGCAATCAAGCGTTGTATTGGTTAGAAATCAATTGCTACCTGAACAACTGAGTAAAGCAAAATGAAAATTCTATACAAAGTTATTACTGTGGTTTACAACGGAGTGAAAGCATCCTGAGAGAAACAAATTATGCTAAAAAAGCATTCGATTACATAGCAGGAGACCACCGGAACTAATTCTCTGTTGTTGCTTCAACCTTTCTAAGAGCAAATCATCATTCTTCTTAAGCTGGAGATACTCTTCCATGTCAAAGCACGAACCGGTTGATCCACTGAGGCGTGATTGGCACTCGTAACTACCAGATCCTCCAGTTTTACTTCCTGCATCTTCCATGATGTTCATTGACAGGGCATCAATTATTCCAGGGCTCCAACTTCCGCGGCTGCTAGACGATTGATTACTTTGCTCTTGCACACTGATCACTCCCTGCAAAACAAATTTTAAAGAAAATTGAGACAAGATTACAAGAAGAGAAAACCATGAATGAAGATAATGATAGTAAGGTCATCAACTTAACAAAGTAAGCATGCAATACTAGTCAAAAGGGGCTAGACTTTATAATCCAAAGATGAGCTATGAAGTACTCTAACAAGCATGTATTACCTGAGCACTATTATCCCATGGTAGAATTCTTGGGATCCCTGGTGGCTCGGTCTTATTCTTGCATCCGATAGGAGTAGCATCATTACTAGTCTCCCACTGCAACCAAGGCAGTACAACCCCATCCATTGCAACAGGAAGAGGAGTCGACATAGCTGGATTCTGAAAAGTTTCGGTCTTAGTTATTCCGCCTATACTCGAACTTGTATCACTCCTTTCTCCATCAATCGATGATATATCTGTGTCTTCAACATTTGAAATAAAGTCCTCAATATATCTTTCTGCCTCCTCAGTCAGTCGCTTAGAAACCCTACCTCTGTCATTATTCCTCTGAAAAAGTGAAATGCAGAAGTTATTTACACAGTCACAGAATCAACTTGCCAGTCCCTCAGAAAAAAAAATAATAATAATTTCTACGACAAACAAAGTAACATGCAAATCCTGCAGCGTATATCAGACAGAATGGTACCCTTCTGGTTCGTAATGGTTTGTCTGCACCAACAATGTTGTTTGGCTCAGGAAGCAATTCTTTGACAATCTTAGAGAGCTCCCTACTATGTTGTTCCTCCAGTACTATTTCAGCTAATAAATCTTGTTTTCGTTTTTCTGACTGTAAAAACCGATAATCAGTAGCCAAACTTCTTCAAATGGTGCAAAGTAGAATAATAAAGATTATTAATACCTGTTCCAATTTGGAAGAGTAATTCTTCCTGATTGAAGAAACTGCCTGAAGTACATCTTTGCTGTTAGAACGTAAATCACCAGCTGCTGAAACAGTGGGTTTAGTTTTCCCATTTGCCTGAATAAGATAACAAAGGAACCAAGTTTAGGAAACATAAGACAGGAGCAGAACAGAGATAAAATGAATCGGCAACAAAGATGTAAGAACACTATAATACAGACAAGTTCAAGTTCTGTCCGAATCTCTTCCACAGCATGTCTAAGTTCTTTCCGCATTGCTTCATAAAATCCACTTTTAACATCATTACCAACAGGGTGCTCTGCCTAAGGGGTGACAAGAAAATAAAAAGAAACAACTAAGATAAAAGAACTAAACTGAGGTGGTTCTCATAACATAATGTTTTAAAAATATACCTTCTTCTCTGAATACACAGCTCGGATAGTCTTCTCAACCCCATTTTTGTTGGAATAAGCATCCCTCCCCTCATCATCAGTTACAACCGAAGACTGGCTCTGAAAGGCCCAAATAAATCATCTCAAAACATAGTTCACTTATGAAAACTATTCTGACGGGAAAACAGTAAATGACAGAATAAGAAAATATCAAAGTTCAAGAAGTTCAACCCCAACCATCGGAAATGGTCTGTCCAGGAGCTTCTTTTATACCAGACTTCAACTCAGTGATACCAAATTCAAATAATAATAGACAAAATTTCAAACAATATAGGCCAAAATAAATGGAGAAAGACTTACAGAGTAACCATCATGGCACTTAAAATCTTTCTGGCTAAGAGATCTTCTCAATCCTTGTCTATAATTTGAATCTGTTGACTTGCGGGACAAGGGTGTCTGGTTGTTTGCACTACTTAAGTTCTTTGACTTAGCAGTGCTGCGATTCTGGCTGTGGTCTAGATCACTCTGCCATTTCGAATACAAAATCAAGCAACAAATAAATGAGTTGGAGAATTTCTCTAATCTGACATAGCTAGCATGAATCGTTTAATTCAACAGTGCAGGAATAATATATTATATCAATGTCATAAATCCCAATTCTCTCTAATGTTGAATAGCATTACAGTCTATGTAATGAGGCTAAAAGATCTTTCATTGCACATTCAAATTGTCGTTTGCAAGGTTCTCTGAGCAGTAGGTTATGCTAATTTGCAATAGCATATTTGTTAAGCACATAAAGCAATAGTATCTATTATCCAAACGTTTTTAACTATGTGCATTCAAACGATAAAAAATTCTAAATGCAAAGGGAAAATAAAAGGAGAAAGACACCAATGCTCACCTCGGAATCGCTCATCTGATACCGAGCAACAGAAACCGATCGCCTTGGCCTCGAATTCCCCTTACTTTCCGAAATTACCCTTTCTCCACCTGAATTATTACTCGCACTGCCCCTTACATCACCACCACCACCCACTCTCGAGCTGTGCCTCGAAACCGACCTCCCTCGTCTCTGCGACGCGCTGGAAGTAGGTGTAGCTTCGGAACCACGCGCAATCGAGCGGCCTCGGTTGCCGGAGGCGTCGAAGAGCTCGATGGCGAGGTCGTCGAGGCTGATCTCCGGGAAGCCCGAGCCTCTGACCGTGTTCACGAACCTTCCTTTGGGAGCCGGATTTTCATCGAAGTCTTCAACCGCCGGCGTCCGTTCCGGTAACCCGCGCGAGAAGCAGCTCAGGCTCCGAGAGCGCCGGTGAGACGACTTCCGATTAGATGAAGCCGAGTCTTCGGCCGGAGACTTGGATGCTCCGATCGGCGTCCGCTTCGTCGTTGATTTGAACGCCGAGGTCGCCATTCGCGATACAAATTGAACAAAACAAAGAAATTTGATACAGAGAAATTATAATAAAAATAGATTGATTTATATATGGAAGGTGAAGTCTAGGGTTTGAAGGTAAGCAATTTGAGCATTGTCAAAGAAAAAGATGGATTTCAGATACGGAGAAAGAGAAAGAGAGATAAAGAGAGAGCTGACGAGGTAGCTAAGAAGGTGATGTGAGAGTGAGAGAGAGAGAGAGAGAGGTTTAAAGGGGGTTAATGTGGAGGGGAAGATTGGCGGATAGATCGAAAATTAAGCAGAATTTGAATGACGGAACTGTTATGATACGGACTTTGGGTTAAGCAGACACGTGGATTGGGCCGGGCATTAATTTCCATATTTTAATATTGCCTTCACGGGCCTTTTTCTTCTTATATTTTCTTTTTTACATATTTATTTTAATATTTTGACGGCCTTTTTTTTGTTACTATTTTGACGGATTGTTGCACTTGTCAATTTGCTCGTGAATTAGTCAATTTTTTTTAAAAATAGTTTGAATCCTTTATTTGCAGATTTGAACGGAGGAATTGAGGGTGATCTACTCAGATAACTCCTTTTAATCACACTTGAATTATTTTGACTGACCGGTTTTGAAATTTACAATTCTAACTATTTGGGTTGTTTGGTACTAACATTACCTTAATATAAAATTGTCGAGTTTATGGTGAAAATTATAGGTCAAAACGGAAATCTTAATTAGTAGGGAGTTTGAAGTTTAAGTGGTTAAAAGCAATTATCTTTGTACTCAAGGTACTTGTGCTCAAATTCCCCTATCCCATATATTGGTATGTAAAAAAAAAAAAAAAAAAAAAAAAAAAAAAAAGGGAAGAGAAAATCTTTTATTAAAACGAGAAGCAAGCTAAAATCAAATAAAGGAAACAAAATGCAAAATAAAGGTATCTAGTCCCTTTATTTTTCGTTGAATTGGGAAGGTATTTAGTCTTCTTCTTTTGGTCGAATTGGGAAGGTATCTAGTCTAGACTTTCCTGAAAAACGTTTTTTTCCAAACAATTCTACATCAAACTTCCGTCTAAAAACTTCAAATTGGTCGTTATGAGTCGCATCTGTGATACTAGTTCAATTTAATTAAAACACAGAAGTCCAAGCTAGGCCGATTGACCGGACGAGACATATAGCTAATTGAAAAGAAACAAACATTTGAAAACATATTTGTGAGTAGGTTTGACGGGTAAACTGACACCCAGAATTCAATCCTCTCTATCGTGTTTGGGCGACCCAAAACAAGATGTTGGTTTGTCTCCATAACGTGTACTTCTAAACATAAATTGTGATTGAATAGGGTCGTAACTATCTACCAGACTGTTCACGTGTTGCTTCCTGTGTATATATATAAAAGTCAATTGTTTTTAATTAGGGGAAAGGTCGTGTTTGTTTCAAACTCGTTGAAACATTTTTAAAAAAGAAATTCTGATGAAGAAAGGAAGAGTCTACTTCTGGATTTTGGAGGGGCTGGGAGAGAGCGAGGGAGAGGGTTATAAAACATGAAAAAGTCTGAGCCAACGGGTATACAGCGAAGAACATAATCAGGCACAGAACAATCTCAAGTCCATCTTTTAAAACACACACATGGGGAGAAACTCACCACCCCTGAATCCTGATCACACCGAAACCTAAATAACTACCACTATTCCGCGTTATTCCTCTTATTTTCGCACACTGCCTTCACTACTGACTAAACATGAAGGAAACACCGATATGCGTAACTCCGGTAACACACTGCATCCGATAGAGAAGCAGTCATAGTCTTGCTGCCTAAGCATGATCAACGGATGCGATGTAGGAAATCAAGTCGACAACACGAGAGCTGCAATAGCATCAAAGCAAACAAAATGAGAAAACTGAAAATTACCAAACATATGAGCATAAAACACGATGCCACCGGGCTGAAGTTGAAGATCATCTAGAGAAGGATGTCATGTGAGACTGAATTTGAGACACGGTGGTGTTTAATTACCTGTATCCCCACTCATTGTCGTACCATGAGACCAACTTGTGGAAGTTATCATTCAGAGCAATTCCGGCCTTTGCATCAAAAATACTAGACCTGCACATTTAACATAAGAAAAAACCACCTCCGTTTTAGTGTTATATTACAAGGCTGGCGCAGCAGTTGACAGGTGTGAAAAACAATGAAGATAAGGATTCGACACAGAACTTCTATCAATCACTATCAGAAACCTTTTTTTTTCTTTTCCAGATCTTACAGAAAGGCCCACGTCCCAAATGTATGGCCATTTCATCTCCAAAATTATGGACAGTCATTTAAAGGACTAATTCATATTCCCATGTACCTGCTGTCCCCCACAAAGTCAGTGGAAACCACGTCATCTTCAGTGTAACCCAAGATTCCCTTCAGTTTTCCCTCAGACTCCTCCCTGTGAACCATATAATATATTAGAAAGTGAAAGAGAACAAAAAAATCAAGCAGATAAACATTATCAAGACACAGTTTTGATAAGATTTTGTAATCCACCATAAGTTCCTGACCGCAAAATAAATTGGTTAAACAAAGAACTATCTAAAATATGAACAAGAAAACTCTTCTCTACTCTTACTTGATGGCAGCTTTCACTTCATCATAAGTAGCTGACTTTGCCAGCCTCACGGTAAGGTCAACCACTGAGACATCAACAGTAGGAACACGGAAAGACATTCCCGTCAATTTTCCGTTCAGTTCAGGCAGCACTTTACCAACAGCCTTCGCAAGCCAAGATACATAATGAGTTACAGAACTAAGGGTACAAACAGTCGAGAACTAGTCAACTATTGAAACAAAAAACAAAGAAGGCCATTATCAAATATGGGAGGGTCTAAAAAAACCATCACATGCATTTTTTACCTTTGCAGCTCCAGTACTGCTGGGAATGATGTTGAATGAAGCAGCTCTTCCACCTCTCCAATCCTTAGAAGAAGGTCCATCGACAGTCTTTTGGGTGGCTGAATCATAGAAAACAGAGAAGCAAACTGAACACTTGAAACATGGACGAGAAACTGAAAAATTGGAAAGCAAACTACAACAAAGAACCCACCAGTAATGGAGTGAACGGTGGTCATCAGACCCTCAACAATACCGAACCTATCATGAATGACCTACAAAATAAACAAGAATATTATTGTAAGACATCAAACTCTACCATCAACTAACGCCTTACACACCACCATAGAAAATCAGATAGATATGAACCTTTGCAAGGGGAGCAAGGCAGTTGGTCGTGCAACTAGCATTGGAAACAATATGAAGATCTGGCTTGTATTCCTTCTCATTGACACCCACAACAAACATAGGAGCGTCTTTGCTGGGAGCTGAGATGATAACCTTCTTCGCTCCACCCTGATAGTAGTAACAAAGAAAATACACTAAGGCAACTAACCACACATGACCACAATACATTTACCCAAGAAAACGGCAGATAAACATAAGAGAATCACCGAAATCATGTTTGGGCGAGCAATCATAAATCATTAAACAAACCAATTTCTAGCATGCACCAACTCCTTACTTCAATACTCGAGAGTAAACACGGAAGGCTCATCATAAACTTGAGGAATTACTTGCTATCCCCACCATAACCACCCGGAAACAAATGCAATTTTGACACTGATATAACCTACCAATCACATTCTGTAGGTTAAAAATACCACAATCCAAATTCCACAAAGTTGCAAAATTAACAACATATTACGTCCAATCCTTCAAAAAGCCCAGAAGCATAGATCGAAGCTAGACTGAAAACCAAGAATTAAAAACTCAAACAAAATAAAGCAATCCCAACAACGAAAACTATGATATGACAGCTTATGAAGATATCACATAACATAATTAAGCAAGCAAAGTTGAAACCAAATATAAGTTGCAAACCTTCAAATGGGCAGCAGCCTTTTCCTTATCGGTGAAAACACCGGTTGACTCGACAACATATTCAGCTCCGCTCCCAGACCATGGGATCTCATCTGGGTTCCTAAAAAAAGTGATGCAACAGCAGAGTTATTTAAGAAATACTTCTTGTATTCTACTTGTATCAGTACTGGTAAAATGGAATATAAAATTTATCCGCGGATTGCATAATATACCTGGCAGCAAAAATAGAGACGGGCTTGTCACCAAAGAGAAGGGTGTTTGCGTCCCTAAGCTTGACATCGTTATGCTTCCAGCGACCGTGCACAGTGTCATAGTTGAACATGTAAACCTGTTCCACCAAAAACACAAAAGCAGAACCCATACTTGATTAACTAATCTGACGGCTAAAAACTCTGATCAAATATCTTTTCATGATCATGATCATGAAAAGAACAAAAAAAAACATGAACAATTTTAATACAAAGGAAAAAAAAAGAAATAATACCATGTAGTCGCCGGTGATGAAAGGATCGTTAATGGCGACGAGTTCAATATCTTCTCTCTGCAGAGCCACTCTGGCCACCAACCTTCCGATCCTTCCAAATCCTAATTTTCAAAAATAATACAAAAACATAAATAAATAAAATTATCCCCCATGCATCAAATTGAAAAAAGAAAAAAAAAGCGGGAAAATGGAAAATACCGTTGATTCCGATCTTGATCTTCCCTGTAAAATTAACATTAAAAACAATTGAGATCAGATCAAGGTCGCGTATAATTTAAATCGAATAAAAATGGGACGAAAATAAAAAGGAATCCGATAATATTATCAAAATCGTTACCCATGGTAGCGGATTGGATAAGAAGCTTCGAGAGAAAAATGGCAGACTGAGAGAGAGTGTGTTAGTGAGAAGAGCACAGATATGCGATTATTGAGGGTTTTAATATATAGGGGGGGGGTGGGCAATGGGAGACCGGAATAGCCGGTTGCTGGGCCATGGAGCATGCTGCGGTGGCGGGCTATGACACTTCGTGCTTTGCCTACGTGGCTTTACTGTGAGTTCCGATCAGTGGTCAGGAGAGACTCGAATAATTCAACTGAGCCGTTGATTTTGGGCGTCAGGATGTGCTGTCATGATTTGGAGCTATGTAACGTTGATCTTTGTCGGTTTCGGGAATCTCTAAGGACCTGTAATTCTTTGTAAGGAAAACAAAAAAGAAAAAAAAGCACGGCGGTGGTTTGGTTGCCACGTCAAGGTTTGGGGACTATTGGTAAAAAAAAATATACAAATTTATAAATAAATCCAATTCTAAACATGTATTTATAAAAAAACCAAAGCACTATTTAAATATAGAAACACACTCAAAATCAACCCCAAAGTCAACTTTTTTGGTGTGTTTATAAATAGGTTTTGAGTGTGTGTAATGATGGATTTTGGGTGTGTTTATATATTTAAATAGTGCTTTGGTTTTTTTATAATTTCAACCCCCATTTTGGGTGTTTTAGTGAAACTCCCAAACAAATATTTCTTCTAACAGGAATAGCACAAAATGACGTGTAAAAAAATTACGTCTTATTATGTTATTAATTGCTATCCTCGTTGCATAAGAATTTCTCTCTGGTTTGGTGTGGGGATGTGTATGTTCTATTTTCTAATATTGTTTCACTTTTTTATTTACTATATTACTTGTTCACTTTTTATTTACTATATTACTTGTTGATTTTTAAAGATAATGAACTAAATCAGTCCAAATGGAACAAATCTAATTGTGTTTTTCTAAGAGCATCTCCAAATGAGATGTCAAATACCAAACATCAAATTTAAATTTGATGGTTGATGTGGCAATTTGATATCTTACACAGCTTTATACTCCACCCAATATGTCAAATTAAATTATTATTTTATTACATTTTAGTGTTGATTCATTTTTAATTAAAAATAAAATAAAAGAAAAAAATAATAAAATATTCATTTGACATCTTGCTTTTGGGATGTCAAAAATAACATATCAACCTCCAGCTTTCATTCCACATCAACTTTGACATATCGGTTGGAGTGATGTGAGATGTTATTTCTAGCTGTTAAGTGTCTATGTGGCACGTTTGACACATCTGTTGGAGATGCTCTAATGTAACAAATGTCACACTTTAGTCTTATCTCGACACTTAGACTGAGATTACTAATATTTTGATAGTTTGTGTGTTTTGTTCTTCCACGTAGAAAGTGATTGATCACCTTATATACAATTGACTTAAAGTGAATAATTTTATGAGATTTAATCCGTGTTTTTCTTAATAAAATATAAACTAAATATCATTAGACCAACATGTCATTGGCTAAATAAGCACATATTGGATGATATATGTATGTAAAAAATCATTAATCACTTTATCTTTTCTCGACACTTGTATAATATTTGCGCCACAAATCAACTATAGATTTCGCACACAACCTAACATTCATTTTCATCTTTATTTTGTTGTTATGGCAATGGCACTGAACCCCTTTTCTTTTATATGAATGGATAGCAATTAGAACTCGTGAACATGTAACATTGCAACCAACAAAGTTGCCTTTTCATGTTTTAAAGCGTGTGTTATTGTTGAGAAGGTGTGACACTTTTCATTATATATAGTCATGATAAAGACACAATAACATTTTAGACTATTCTTACTTCCCACACCAAACGGCCAGAGTAGAGAAAGTGGTGCTAATGATAAATTCAAAGTAAGAAAACAAAAACATTGAGGACAAGGAGGAAAACGACTTCCTCTCCTCCATACATACATTATACATACCCAAGTGAAGTGATTGGGGCAAATGGTCCGACACTCGAGAAGATGACCTATAAAACCCAATCCTACTAGGTTCCAAAGTTGGGACAAGTTCAATACCTTACCCATTTCATTATCCAATACAATAGGGCCAAAAATTTCCCTATCCAATCCAACTCTTTCATGAATAGCACCCACTTACTTCATTTAATTCCATTATTGGTTTCTTAACTAGTGTTCTTCGTCCATCTCTTTATAATAGAGGCTTTTAGACCGCGTTTGGTGACTCAGACTGATAATTTTTTTTTGTGGTTTGGTGAACTTATAAATATCGGGACTGAACTTATTAAATTGGATAACAATCCAACGTATGTGTCTTATAAATTTCATCTAGAGAACTAGAACCCGTAAAAAATTGCTTGAATTCAACTCCAATCTGGTCCAAATCCAATTCCACTCTACTTTGTAATTTTAATTTTTTTAAAACATTGCTTGGCTTAGGTGAAATTTGGTGAGTAGTGGGAGGTGGGGCAAGAAAACCATACATGATATAAATAGTGGCTTTAGGCCCGACTTGAAACTCAATACCCGAACCTATCAAATCTTCAGCCATAGGCCCACATACATTCAAATGGGCTAGCCATATCACGTCGTTGCGTCGTTGACAACGCAACCATAAACGACACGTCTTTACATCCGTCGTGTTCAGTGAAAACACTGAAAAACTCAGAGTGCAGCTCATTTTTTTGTAACCCAATTAGGGCAGCCAAGGCACTGCACAAGGAGAAAGGGGAAGGCAATGCTTCAAGCACATCGGTAGCATTCAAATAGAGCTGCATTTACAATCCAGGTAAAGCAATATTCAAACTTTTACTTCTCAATCCAATGCTTCGTTTAGTCTGCACAAAACAAAAACACAGAGCTTCACCATTTCCATTCAGCCATGGCTACTTCTTGTTTTCAACCTCCATTTGCAAACCCATCAAAGTGCTCTCGAATTTAACAGACCAGCAATCTTTTACAGTCTCTTACCTCAAAAACTCATGTGGGTTGTCCTCAGAATCAGCAATTTCACTTGCCAAGAAGCTCCAGATTGAAGGCACACACAACCCTGACTCGGTTCTAAGCCTGTTTAAAACTCACGGGTTGACTCAGAGCCACATAAAAAACCTAATCACCAAACGTCCAGGATTGCTTTTAGCCGATTTAGACACTAAACTTGGGCCCAATATGAAGTTGTTTAAGTCTTTGGGATTTTCAGGCGCTAGCCTTGCCAAAATGCTTAGTAAACACCCACGAGTGCTTGAGAGTGATGCTCAAACGGTTTTTGATCTCTTTAGAAGTCATGGTTTCAGTGAAAAGGATATAAAAACCTTGACCATGAGGCTTCCTAATTTGTTTATATACGATGTAAAGAAGACTATAAAGCCAAAGATCGAGTTTTTGAAATCTTTGGGGCTTTCAGAGCTTCACATTGCCAAACTTTTATCCAATGAGCCTTATGTTCTAACAAGGAGCCTTGAAAACCACATCATTCCAAGTGTTCAAGCGCTTATGCGGTTTCTTGGCAGTGATGTGAGTGCCACAAAGGCTATAAAGGGATGCCACCGGATGCTTGAATTTAGTTTCGAAAAGGTACTTGACCCGAACGTATCAATCTTTAGGAGCCACGGTGTACCTAAGTCACTTATTGTGAAAATGTTCTTAATTAATCCAAGAACGTTGCTTCTGAAGGGTTCTAGAGTTAGTGAGATTATTGGTGATGTTAAAGAGTTGGGGTTTGATCCCAACAAAATGCTATTTGCTCTAGCTGTTTGTACCATGGCAAGGATGAGTAAGGCATGCTGGGAGCAGAAGTTGGAAACCTATAGAAGTTTAGGTTTGTCAAAAGATGAGATTTATTCAGCATTCAGAAAGCAACCCATGTGTATGATTAATTCGGTGAAGAAGATCCATAAGTTGATGCCTTTCTTCATGAATAAATTGAATATGAAGCCATCGATGATTTCCAAGAATCCAGACCTTTTACTGCTTAGCTTGGAGAGGAGAATCATTCCTAGGTGCTCAGTTCTACAACTTTTGTTGTCACAGGGGTTCATAAAGGAAGATGTTAAATTTCCTTATGTGCTCAAGATGACTAATAAGAATTTCAGGCAGAGAATTTTGAGCAAGTATGAAGCAGTGGTTCCTGATATTGTCAAGGCATACGAAGGCAAGATAGAATTTCAAGGGTTTTCGAGTTCCTTTAATGTGTAAGTAACTAACTATGATGGAATTGAATGATTGAGCCAGTTTTGACTCCTGAAGGATCCCAAGTTTCTTGACTTCACCATGCTGGCTGTGGATGCTGATTTTTACTCTCTGGTTGAGAAGTAAAAGGGAGCAAAAGCAAAATATCCATTGCTGCAGCTTTTGTTACAGTTTAGTCCAGTTTAGTCCACTGGTTAATGCTGAGAACTCGAGATGGATCGGCATCTGTAGCACTAAACCATGTGAGCTTGTTTGTGGTAGTTTGTGTATGGATACTGGGAATTGCACTGAGTGATTTCTTACATGCTGTGAACCCACTGGTAGGCATTATATGTGAGACTGCAAATGTCAAGTCATTCGAGGGCGTCCAGGTTTGTGAGGCCTTGAGATCAGTTGTCTAGGTTTTTAGTTGAGGCTTGTATAAATTCATCTAATCTCTGCCCTCCCGATCAGTTTAGTTGAGGCTCGTATTATTATTCCAATAATATTTCAAAATTGTGGCATTCGTCTTGTTTATAAAATTCAGCTGGATGGCGAACCCCATGGCACCTTAGTAGTGTGGGCGTGAGAAATCCTCTTCCCACGGCACCTTAGACTCTTTTTAAAGAGAAAAAAGCAATTCAATATGATAAATTTATTTGAAAGCTTCTGATTTGTTATCCACTGCATTAAAATATTGGAATGAAAAATGGGGCTGTGGTTTAGCCAATCATAGAGCCAATAGTAGGGCAACTGAATTTGGTTAATATTACAGGGAACGGTCCTAGGAATGTAGGAAAGACATACATCTTCTCTATAATGTATTGGCTAATTTGTGTTTTTGGTGCCCTTAAAGAAGGAAAGGACTAAACACCAACTAAAGCAAGTATGCCTATCTTGGGTTGAAGGCTTGACCATCCCAAATGGCTTGTTCTCAGAATTGCCAACATCCCATTTCTTCAAAACATGCCCCCTGCAACCTTGTTTGCCAAGAATTATGGGTTCATGAATCTTACCTCTCTTTCCATTGCTTGTCCATTTCATTCACAACAAACACATCTCCATCTACTTATTATGAGGTTTGGCTCCTTGTGTTGAATGAATTCTAACCCTGCATTTGTTTTCATGAAAATTTAGTCCCAGTTAAGAAAAGTCAAAGACAATATTTTATAAGTTTTGAAAGGCACATGACCAATCATGTAATCCAAGATTCATGTGGCAATTTGACATATCGGTTGGGATGTTCTAAGTAAAGCTAAGTTCCAAGATATTTTTAAAGCAAAGCTCATGTGATGTTTTATTAGTTGGTTGAATAATCAAATCATAAGCTATACAATGATTGTGTGGTGGATTACTATATTTAATCTTATTTGACTATTCAATGAGAGATGATTGTTTGTAGAATATAGTTTAAAATTCATCTCTATGATTTACAAACTGCAAATCAAGATCATACATTTAGACATAACTCTTGAATTTGTTCGAAAGATTTCCAAGCCTCGTAATCTGTCAAATGCCTCAACACATCTTTTACACGATCCTTAAGATATGATCTCATATCCAATAGTTCTTATTCAAAGTCTAACAATAACCTACCACACTGCCTGAGGAGAAAATTACTTAGTGGGAGTTATGGGACTGGGGTCTGGTTAATTAGAAATTTAGGGAATAATAGAAGGGAGGAAAATTTTAAAGCCTGTATAACTATAGATAATGGAGGGAAACGTTTGGGCCCTATGCAGGCCATTCAGCCTGAAGAGGATGAGAACAAGGACACATGGTCACATGGTCTTGCACATGAAGACTCTGTCACTCAACAGAGCACGACAAAAAGACTTAACTTGGGAAAGCTTCAAATCCCTATTATAAGGGATTAGAGTTGCCTATTATTACATTGTCTTTTTTCTTTAAATTTCTATAGCGTTCATTTTATTGTTTTTGTTCTTCAACACAAAGCAAATTGTATTATATAGAATCTTCACATGCATATTATAGATATGTATGAAACCATAAGCACTATCAGGCAACTCTCAGCCGATTATGCAAGTTTTCTATTTGTGTGTGGGCGACTGATCCAAGCACAACTCTATAATTTTATATTCTTATACTTAATTAAGGGACTAGCTCTAGGTTCTTAAGTGAGTTTAGTTTGTACAGCTATGATAATTATATTGGCTGATCTATGATTGAGCATTGTTCCAACGTAGGAGAGAATCCTATGTGTGCCGGATGGCTGAAATGATGATGGAGAGAGAGTATTAATGGTTTTTTTATTAGATGAAAGTGGTTTACAATTTAAAATCATGTAGTGCCAGTCTGCTACATGACTCTGGTATATATATATATATATATATATATATATATATATATATATGTGTATTATTGTTTATACTATATATATACATAGTATAATAATAGCATTAAGTACACTGCAATTTCATCTATCTACTTTGATATTTTTTCTTCTTTTTTGTTCCTGAAAACCCATCTAGTTTTATTTTAATTTCACTTTGAACTTACCTTTTTTCGACCGTCTTTTTTGTTCAAACTACAAAAAAAATTACAAGGCATGGTTTCATCACCCTATTCTTTTCATCTCTCTTCTCATGCAGAGAAAAAAGGGACAAGCAACTCGTAACATGTAAGTTTTTCTCCAAACTAAACATACCGTCAATTTTTTTGACAATCGATCCCAAATATAAGGACTAAAACGAATTTGAGGGCAAACTATCGAAACGGAAAGTGTTAAATAGGCCGATAAAACATGATTGCTCATATATGTGTGTTAGATTTTAAATTATACAAACTAAATCAGTTTGTTTCCTAACTCAGGTCACAATCACAAAGCTTACCTTTCAAAACTTGAATGAAAGATACATATTTCAAATTTTCAATGCAAAGGCAACTGTAGTGACTGTTGTTGTGGTGATTTTGGAAAAAGACCAGACACTGAAACATGTTGGCAATTATGACCCCATCCATCTAACACACATATGGCCTCATCCCACTTGCGTAATGCTATCTAAAAATCTTACAACGACTAAGTCATACAATTACTAAGACGACATTGTTCCACTCCTTACATGTAAGAAGTCATTCCTTCTACAAATCGCGAACTGACATATGTATGTATAAACATATACCAAGGGTATTTTTGGTATTACAGTTGTGTGAGTGCTTTGCTATAAATTGAGAAGAGCATGTATGTCTGTTCCCCAAGCAAATACTCTGTCCCCCTCTTCTTTGTCTATCAGTCTTTTGAACTCATTATTTCTTTTCTTTTTCCTTTTCTGAATTGAACTGCTTTTTATTTTGAATTTTGAAGTAAACCAAGACCAAGATGGTGTCTAAAGTGGAAGAGGCAATGAAGAGAAGGCAGCAACAACAAGAACAGAAGCAGCAATATCATCACCAGCAGCAGCAGCAGCAGCAGCAGAAGCAAATACAGTGCAACAAAAGCAAGGTTTGCAAATTCAAGAGGAGCACCTCCAATGTCGAAGAAGATGGAGCTTCCACTGCCATTCTCTTGCTTGCTTGCATCGTCTGCGCTCCTTCGTATCCATAGCTAGTCAGGCTTACATTTATAGTTAAAATTAAATTTCAGCTAAGCTAGTTCCCATATATATATATGAAGGTTACCTCAAATCCTTCCCCTTGTTTTTTTTTCAAATTTTATACTTTTTACTGTTGTAGTATGAGTATGAATTTCATTTAGCATATTAGTTCTTGTATTGTAATTCTTCCTTTGTCTATATATGAAATTTGATTATATTTAAGCACTGAGAAAAGTAGCAGTATTTATGGAAGCTGCAGTGTTGCATGGCCGGCTTAGAGAGCTCCTCCATCTTGGAAATTTGGAAGAATTTTATATGTTTTTTGTTTTTAAAATTTTACCCTCTAATTTTTATCCAGGCGAGATTGCTTTTGCTTACAATTGGCGCAACCAAATTAAATTTCTAAGCAAAAGAAGTAGGCAAACAAGTGTAAGAAAAGTATGCTGCTAATTCCACTTGAGCTTACAAGTACGTGCTTGAAATTTGAATCCAGATTTGGTTTCCATAGCTAGCTTGTGGGGCTGTTGTGGCATAGTCATGTATCACGTATCTACATCATAAATATCCAATACATGTATGGAACAAAAAAAATACGTACTCAACAAAGGCAAAGGGGCTTGTAGCTCAAGTGATTAAAAGTATCATTCCTACGTCCGAGATTGATTCCACATTAAACATGGGAGAGCCACAAGTCTATAATTAATAATTAACCAATGACAAACAGTTTTAGATGAGGAATATTGAGTACATAACACATGGGGCAACTCTATGCCAAATTCCCAATTGGACATGAGCCAAAGCCAACCCTCCTAGTATTGATGATGTGCTTAATTGCTCCTTCTTCTGATCATATCCAGGTGATCCATGGATAAGATTGCAAAGAGGCCCCATGCAGTAATGGAATATATGCATCTAGAAATTTATGTCCCCAAAAATTAATTTGGCTGTTTTCCATGAGTCCAAGTGAGTGATATAAGTGATTTGGAGAGAAGCTTGGGGATGTTCCAAATTTGGGGAAACTAGGAATAGTTGCACTTAGGTTTTAAGTGATTTCTCCTCAAATTTACATTTTGTGGATGAATTTAAAGGAGGATTATTTCTTAAAGACCTTTACTATTTGGGGAACAATTTTAATTGTCTAGCATATTTTTATTTTTATTTTTATACGAGCGATATTTAGAAAGAGATTCGAACACAAAACATCAGGTGTGCATGTAGATCTAACATTATAAGCTAGGATAGAACAATGTAATTCCTTGTGTGGTGAATCTATCCAAATTCCCAAGTCAGTTTCAACTAGTGGGTCAAAATCAAATGAACCAAGCAAGAAATCCAGCCCTGATGAATGCATTGTAGCCCCTTAGTGAAGCCCAAAACCCTCTGCCTCCCTGATCCCTCAAATAAGCTCCTCACTCTAAACTCCTCATTGTAGAAGCTCCCCATGATCTATCCATTCCCAGCATGCAAAGAAATAGACAGACAAACCCAAATATTCAAATGGAGAGTAAAATTGATGTTTCTGTTCCATTACTATTTTTGGCTGATGTAGTGTTTTTAGTCTATTGATTTATGCATACAAACAAAGGCAATTTCTAGGGCCCAAGTTGATATCACAATTATTATTTTTAAATAAAATTTAAATTTCTGTACAATATATATATTATTTATAAAGGTACTTAGTGGGTCTTGTTGATTGTTAATATTTATTTGTAGTGCATCAATGGGTCTTGTTGATTGTTAATATTTATTTGTAGTGCATCAATCCAAATTTTCTTGCTCAGTGGTCCCTCTTTTCTTACAAAGCCAATTTATTCTATCATAATTATATTGTAGTGCATTAAATAATTAGTAAAATATCTAGTTTTTCTAGGTTGATAGAGGAATTTGACATGAGCATGGAAGGAGAGTTGATAGAGGGACTGAAAGAGTTATTCCGTCGTTTCCTATTCGTATCCTTGCGACATCAACCTCGTTCATGTAATTTTGTGGCTTATCATTTAGTTAAATTTTCTTTATCTTGTAATGAGACATGTTATTGGATGGAGACTCTTACTTTGAAGATGATTTGTGTTCTCTGCATTATATTGATAAATAAATTCTTTGGCCTTGGGCCACTAATAAAAAAAACAAAAACACTAGTTTTTCTGGTTATATAAGAAGAATGAGCTGTTGCCCCTTTTCTTAATTTTAAAATCATTGATCTGCACAAAGCCTGCATGCTAATGATTTAGCTTAGAATGAAGAACAACTAAACATAAGCTTCTGCAGCAGAAGCTTCCCTTGCTGCGGCTGCCCGACGTTTAGATGACAGTTATAGGTGCCGCGGTAACGCGTTTTTTTTCTTTTTTCTTTCTTCAGTTACAAGGCACGGTGACACTTGACCAGGCAAGGGAACATAAGAGCTAAATTTCTTGTTGCAACGTATGAAGGCTTAGAATATGCTACACTGATCGTATCGATCGAGGGGCACAATTTGTTAATTAGAAAAATGAGCAAGCCATATATTATTGTTGAATTATTGGAATATAATACATAGGTGCAGACATAAAGAAGCGTAGAGGGCTCTATGACGTCCCAATGCATCTCCATTTTCACATGTATCTGCTTGTATTTTCTCATTGTTTTCAAGCAAGCCGGCAAAACAGAATCAATTCAATTGAAAATGCATTTTGGGGGTTGGTCTGGTCTTCATGCAGCAAAATTTAAAATGGGGGGACAATCCTCATTGACTGGTTCATAAATTGGCCTACAATTTTGACTTTGACAAAACCCACTTGCTTGAATTGTTCATAATTTATGTGCACACGTAAAAGATGATCGTAAAATCTAATTGGTGAATGCAGAGATGGAAGTTGGTATTTACAACCCATGAAATGAAACTTAGGAAAAATCAGCTCTCTTAGGGATCACCACCTCCTAAGTGTCACTGAAAGGGCCAGTAAGAAAACCTTGTTTTCTGCAAGAACCTTAGTCTACCCAAAAACATTGGAGAGGTTTTTTAGCCAATTGGCTGGAATCTGGATTGATGTATGAAATGGCTCAGAGAAAAAATTTATCTCTGCTACTGTGTAAAAGATTAAGGGAGGTAAAAAGGGCAGGAGGCTGTAGAGAGAATAGGACAATGCAGAAAATGACATATACCTAAGAAGGTAATTCAATTACAGCAGCATGGAAATGATATAGTTACACCACCTAGGAAAAGGAACAAACTGTAAAATCCAAGATTCTTGGGAGTGTAGCAGAGGCTGCCTTGTCTTTGGAGATTACTCTAAACCTTAAAATTTAGTGTGTTTACCTCCAAGAAGACATCAATTCGTCTAAATTCTTATTTCGAGTTTTATAATTTTCGCCTTGTTATCTCCAACAACAAGAGAGAGCTGAAATTGGCCTATTTAAGTCCTTCTGCTTGGCAATAGGGTCTTTCAGAGCGTTGTTGAATATACTTTGAAGGATAGGCTCAAGAAATGGCTCCTAGTCGGAACTTCATGCCAGAAGATTACATGATCAATCATGAAAGGACTAATAAAATGAGTGCTTTTGATCTCATCAGTCTCTCTGCCATGTCTTGCTATTCTAATCCATACATGCCCTTATTGGAGGAGGGCAATGCTTCTGCCTTGACCCTCCCTTATTCGGATGAAAGCGGAGACCACAAGAGGCTGAAAAGAACTATAAGCATCGCAGAATCCATGTCAAGTCATAACAGCCTTTATAGTGGTGGAAGCAATAACAGTTGTGTTACCAACGGCAGCATCAGCCGCAGCAGCAGCACGAATAGCTTGAACACCTTGCCAAGGCTTCATTTCCGAGACCATATATGGACTTATACACAAAGATACCTTGCTGCTGAGGCTATTGAAGAGGCAGCAGCAGCCATGACCAATGCTGAGGGAAATGGAGCAGAGGAGGATGGAACTGCTGATGGGATGAGGCTTGTTCAGCTCCTCATTGCTTGTGCTGAAGCTGTTGCTTGTCGCGACAAGTCACATGCCTCCGCTTTACTGTCTGAGCTTCGGGCCAATGCTTTGGTCTTTGGCTCTTCTTTTCAGCGTGTGGCTTCGTGTTTTGTCCAAGGCCTTGCGAATCGCCTAGCCCTGGTTCAACCACTTGGGGCTGTTGGGTTCATTGGATCCCCAGTGAACGCCAAAGATTTTGCCTTGGACAAGAAGGAAGAGGCATTGCGCCTTGTTTATGAGATTTGCCCCCATATTCAGTTTGGTCATTTTGTGGCCAATTCATCAATATTGGAAGCCTTTGAGGGAGAGAGTTTTGTTCATGTGGTGGACTTGGGGATGACCCTTGGTCTGCCACATGGAGACCAGTGGCGCGGCTTGATCGAAAGCCTCGCTACGCGTGCAGGCCAGCCACCTAGCCGCCTAAGAATAACTGGTGTTGGCCTGTATGGTGACAGATTGCAAATCATTGGGGATGAGCTTGGGGCCTATGCTGACCGCTTGGGAATAAATTTGGAGTTTTCAGTGGTGGAAAGCAACTTGGAAAACCTGCGTCCTGAGGACATCAAACTGCTTGATGGTGAAGTCTTGGTTGTCAATAGCATTCTTCAGTTGCATTGTGTGGTGAAAGAAAGCAGAGGAGCTCTTAATTCAGTTCTGCAGATGGTTCATGAGCTCTCACCAAAAATCTTGGTTCTTGTTGAGCAAGACTCAAGCCACAATGGACCATTTTTTCTTGGGAGATTTATGGAGGCACTGCACTATTACTCTGCAATCTTTGACTCCCTAGATGCCATGCTACCAAAATACGACACTCGGCGTGCCAAGATGGAACAATTCTACTTTGCTGAGGAGATCAAGAACATAATCAGCTGCGAGGGACCGGCAAGGGTGGAGAGGCATGAGAGGGTTGATCAGTGGCGCCGGAGAATGAGCCGTGCAGGATTTCAGGCTGCACCTATTAAGATGCTGGTTAATGCCAAACAATGGCTTGGGAAGATCAAGATGTGTGAAGGCTACACCATTTTGGAAGAAAAGGGTTGCTTGGTTCTTGGTTGGAAATCCAAGCCCATTGTTGCTGCCTCCTGCTGGAAGTGCTAATTAAACCTTTGATTTGGTTCCTAAATCCCAACTCAGATCTCAGTTTCAAAAAAAACAAAAAAGAAAAAAAATATCCCAACTCACAGTTCAGCTTAAGTTCAAATAAAACAATCCAGGATTCTTGGAAGGGAGACTTGGGTGACTTTGTTTCTGTGTCAATGGCTGCAAACTCTGCGTTGGAGCAGTTAGAAAATAAGTGAGTTTGGCTTTCAATTTGAGCTGTTTGGGTGATTAAACAGATGGAATAAAGAAGAAGCCTTGGTGGCTTGCTCTTGGTGTGCATATAGGCTGAATTTCAATTGTACAAAACAACATTTCTTTGATTCTTTAATGACCAAAGGTGACAATCACAGAGGTCACCCCTCTAATGTAGCCTGGTGATGAAAAATAGTAAAGTCCCACAGTCTCTGATAAAGAAGAATTCTTAAGAGTTCAGATTCCGTAGCATCCATTGGCTATATGATTATATGTCTTGTCATCAGTAAATAAGAGCAAGTACACTACGTGGAAGAACACACAATTGGAGAGTTAATTCTTGTTCATTTTGCTGAACTCAGAAAAGAATTGAAGTTGAGATGACAATACTTGACGACAGGTTCTTGGGTGTCACTGGTTTTATATAATATGTGCTGACAACGGGGTCTAGCCGAGTGAAAAAGGGTTTTGACTTGCAGAAGTCTCACGTTTGAACCCCCATAGCACCTTGGTAGTGTGTGTGTGAAACTCCCTCATTTGTAGTTTAGACTATCGCTTCAACTCAAAAAAAAAAGAAAAAGTGCCTGTATCTATCATCACATGGTAGTCACATAAGGAGAAAAATAGAATTTAACATTTTTTTTTTCGACTTAAACATGAAAAGAAAAAGAAACTTGCCCAAGAATATTTTTGGCATTATTTGAAGGGCGTATTCATAAGAGAAATTCCCGGGATAATTAAAAATAAATAGAAATTCAAATAAGAAAGTAAATACAATATATAAACACGTGCAGAGATAGAAAAAGAGGGGATAGAGAAGCACGGACAGAATGGAGACTCTGGCAGTGTTTGGCGGAGCAAGTCCATGTTTTTCCTCATCCCTTCAACGCTCAGCAGCTGAGAGAAGCTGCAGCTTATCCTACGCCCACCACAAGAATCACCTACGCACCCGTCACCACCAGCTATCAGCATTCCCTTCAAAGTGCCATCTTTTCTCATTTTTCCCATCTCGTCCTCATGCTAAAACCCTCGCCAAACCTCGCATCTTTCTTCCCCACTTGGTTGCTTCACTGGTTTGCCCCTACCCTCTTTCTCTTTTCAAGAATTATTGATAACCATTGTTTTTGCTTAAAATTTTGTGGAAACCCAATTGAAATTTATGGAATTTTAATTCGTCTGTGTGTTTTCAGGAACAAGTTGATGAGACATACATAATGGTGAAACCTGACGGAGTTCAGCGTGGCCTTGTAAGCGAATTCTCCATTTCCTATATTTATTTGTTCAACTTTTAACAGCTGCACGTTGTGTTGGGCTAATTGGCAATGGCAGCTGGTAAGACTTTGGGGAATTTATGAAATTTCAAATTTTGATTGAGCCCTGGGATTTTCAATCGTTGGGGCTCTGAAAAGACAAAAACTTGAATTTTGATTGACCCCAATTAATTGACTGGGGTGTAGAAAAACTTTTTATTTTTATTTTTTAAATTCAGTATAATTTAATCTTGATATTCTTAATTTTGTCCATATAATTTTAAATTGAATTGTTTAGGTTGGAGAGATAATCTCAAGGTTTGAGAAGAAGGGGTTTTAAACTGACTGGCTTGAAGCTGTTCCAGTGCCCCCAAGATTTGGCAGAGGTTTGGCTCTTTTCTTTCGCTCCCTTATAAAAACAAAAAAAAAGCTTTTCAACTGTACATTTTGAGATTCTAGTAGTTCTGTGTGCTCACACTTTTTAATTCACCTATTTGATGAATTAAGCAAATGGAGCATTTATAATAAGCAATTTGTGCTCAAAGTCCAAGGAGAAAATAATTTCAATTGAAAAAGAAAATAATTTGGAGTTGTATGCTGGAGTGGCCATAATGGGTTATGAGATTCAATCTCTCATTTACTATGTATTATGTTTTCCGTATTCTGTGCAATCAATCTGCAGAAACACGTAATTGTAATCTCATTTACAATGTTCAGGAGCATTATGTAATTCACGGAAAAGTTGATATGATCTGACTATGTAACTCCTATACGTATAATGTGTGACTTTTGTTGTTTCAGGAGCACTACAAGGATCTCAAGGGAAAGTCTTTCTTCCCTAAATTGATCGACTACATTATTTCTGGCCCAGTTGTGTGTATGGTATGTATGATTCACCCTTGTTTTTTCATCTATTTTGTGTATTCCGTGGAAATCAATGAATCTAAGGTATATGTTAGCTAATTTTTTACAAGGATACTGATAATGATGCACTGCTTGCAAGGCATGGGAGGGTGTTGGTGTGGTCGCAGCAGCACGTAAGTTAATTGGGTCTACAAATCCTCTTCAAGCTGAACCGGGAACTATAAGAGGGGATCTTGCTGTTCAAACAGGAAGGTTGGGCTCCTTACCCTTTGGTAGTTGAATTATGATATATCATCATATATGTGTATTTGAAATCTAATGGGACAAGGTCTTGTATGAAAATGTTGGCAGGAATGTCGTTCATGGGAGTGACAGCCCTGAAAATGGCAAGCGCGAAATAGGTAGGCTTTCTTTTTGGTATCATTTACTCTGCTCTGATGGATATTTCTCTTCTCCAACCCCTCCCACTTTTCTTTCTCATTCATTATTTGCACCGTGCAGCTCTCTGGTTCAAAGAAGGTGAATTATGTCAGTGGACGCCAACTCAAGAACCATGGTTAAGGGAGTGATTGTCACTTAAATACTCAGTTCTAGCAAGGGACACAGTTTTGAAAGAGTTTTCAGATCATATATATCGTTGTATCATTTATATGCGATCTTAGACAATAACCCCTCGGGAATTACATGTTAAATCTGTATTTTTGAGAAGCTTCAATAATTTTTTGTACTTCATATTCCTTGTGGTGTTGTATCGATTCTGAATTAATAAGAGTGCCTTGATAGATTTTGAAAGATTTCTCCTGTGCTTACCATGGAAGTGTTCACAAGCTTTCAAACTAAAATCAGGACATTGTACTGAAATTGCTCATTGATGACAAATGAAACACTAAAACTTCATCGCATATCTTTGCTTGCTCAGGCTGACATAATTTCCCATACATTAAGCATTCCCTCATAATTGGGATTATGAAATTACAACAAAAAATTGGCTTTCAACTGATCAATAAAACACAAGACCACAGCAGATTCCCAGTGCCAAATCAGGCACAACCCAAAACCCATTTTATAAACCCAACTCAGAGCATGCATATGTGCCTAGCAGGTAATGAGTCGACACATTCCTTTTCCAAATGTTGTTCTGTGCTGTTAAGAGATTGGCAACCGCTAGAACTTGGAGAAATACTAGCACTCTCTATTGTCATTGCATCTCCAGAGGATGAGCAGATATCCTCTTGAGCTCTCTTAAATTTAGAAAACAGGTAGAGAACTGAAACGTTTGTACTCTGTTGCTGTTTCGAGGTACCCAAAGAATGGCAATCAGTAGAACTTGTCGAACTTGTTACTGAAGAACAATCTGTGTCTAATGTCATAAACTCCTCCTGCTCCTGGGGAGAGCTGGCCACCTCTATATTACCCTGAGAAGCCGCTGCAGAAGCACAGTTCACATCTATCTTCATTGGCTCCAAATTGGAAGAGCTTGAAGTAGAACCGTTATCTATCTCGCATGGACTCAAATTGCGTTTAGAACCCAATTTAAGCTTCATAAGTGTAGCCTCTGCATCAAAGAAAAGGGAAATTCATGACGACAATCAGTGTTGGTGCCCTAGCAGATGCATACCCAAGTGAAATTTTGTTCAAACAATTTACTGCACATTTCTTCCAAAATAAAATATTGAAATATGACTTTAGCATCACAGTGAGCAACAAGAAACAATCTCAATAGCCGGGGTTTCATATAAATGTCAGCGAAACATATTATCAACCATGCGGCAGGCAGAAAATAGCGTTGCCCGGTGACAAAGCGACGGAAAAAACTCTTTTATGTGACAAATCAAGGCCCCTTGTAGGGTTCAATTGAAAATCAAAAGCCTCAAGCAAACAACACATCATATTTGAATCTGAGGGTAAAAAAATTGATCTCATAAAAGTAAGAGTAGTAGTGAGTGGGGTGTGTACCGTAGATGGAGAGAGAATCGTCTTTGAGAATCTTGGACGGCGGTCTCTCCAGGCTCTCGGCAGGACAAGAAGACGCTCTTACTTTCCCAAACATTTTGACTCTCTCTCGACCACACTCACACACACGCACAGATCTGAAATCTGAATCATCCGATACCCTCCTCACTTTGACAAAAGAGTGGGAGAAGGAGACAAAAGTGAGGATGGGCGCGGCAAAGACTCAAAGAAAGGGCGGGAAGCGTGCTTTGAACTCTTTCACTTTGGGCTCCGGCCCAATGTCCGCCCGTGGATGACTTGAAGAGGAAAAGTAATCTAACTTTTTTTCGTTTTATTTTTTTATTTTTCATTTTTATTTTTATGGGTTTTGTTCTCTTTGGACTACCAGAAAGCCTAGGGGAGCTGCTTTTATTTCAGTCGCTTAATTTTGAATTTGATTTCGAAGCTGTATTAAAATGAGATAATAGTAAATTGAGGCAAGTATATGGAAGCCAATTCTTGAAGAACGAAGAAAGACCAAAGAGAGTTGTAGCCATTCTAATCATTCTCGTTATAATAAGCCAACTGAGATTTTTTTTTTTAACATCTTAAAACAGCAAACAGCACTGCACCAGCTCAAAGAAATTGAACAACTTGTGGCGAAATAAAACGATGCCAAAAGGAAAGAATATACGCCCGTGGATGACTTGAAGTTTCCTTCTCCAGGTTTAACATTAATCGGACAATTAGAAAACTACTCATCACTAAAACCAATTTTGGAAGCAAAGAAGGTTCCTCCTGATCAGCAAAAAGCTACCTCTTCTTACAAGATAATCAGTCTCTCCAAAATAACCTTGATAAACCCCCGCCTGCGACCTCTAGCCTTGACAGCCTTACCTGGTAGTGAGAATGTAAATGGAAAGAGATCAGAAAAAAACTCAAGGGGTATAATTCAGATATACCATCGGAAGCAATTTGAAGAACATGCTTCGTCATGACGGAGTTAGCACAAGAATATGCGTGGGTGCATGTGTGTATTAATGTACTGCTGAATATGAGCCCCCATTTCTATAGCTTAGGAGTTTGAAAAGGCCACCTGTTAACCTCCCAGCACGAAACAAAGCTTCTTCTGCAATGGGCCTCCATTGTTCTGCACATGAGTAGTTGATTCCCAAACCAACACTAAGTCCTCTCAGCAGATGCACTGTCCGAAGTACAGAAAACAATTCTTCTGGGAAAGCCTACAAGTGCCGGGGACAATAGGGGAAACAGAATGTAAACAATCGCAAGTGGAATAGGAAAAAAAAATTTTGGATTAGAAAACAAATTAATGTCTTTACTAGTTGATAACCGTGAAAACATGAAACGATGTGAAAGTAGGTAGCCAATGAAGTTTTGGAATCTAAGCATACCTCAACTGCAATTTTTTTAATTGAAGATCCCTCAGAAAAAGGCTGCAGCATCGTCACTCCAGGGGGTAATTTCGTGTCAAACATTGTCTCTGCCAACTTGAACAATTCATACTGTTCATTTTCACATTTGCTTAAGGTTCCTATGCCAAGCTCCCTGTAATGAGGAATAAATTAGTATGTTGTGCATACACAGTCAATCCCTAAAGCACCGCGCCAAACTCTGACATTGAGATTTAAAAAGGAAAGGTGATTATTCTTTGAATTAGGCCCATGTTTCAAATTCCGAAGTTGAGCACAACAAACCATTCCATTCTTTCCAATCTCATTCTATGATACTAATTCACCTATTTCTCTAATGCGTTTTATCTCCATGAGCTTCACTTGCACTGTTATGCAGTTTGCAGCTCACATCTCAGCATTAGTTTCTCTTCCCATGTTGACTAGTTAAATTGCCCATTCATAATAAGCATACAAAACAACTGCGAAGTTAAATTACCTGTAGCTCTCGCATGCTCTAATAGGGTCACCATCAGCAATGGCGAGAACAAGGTTTGCATAACCAAGTCTCAACTCATCTGGTAGATCTTTCACTTGGCCATAGTCCAGCAACGCAATCTAACTTGGAGGAATTATACAAATTCAAAGTCAGCTTACCATTCAAATGAAATTATCTATAATGTAAATTAATAACTAGAAAGACAAAAGTATGTAGTTTTACAGCTAAATGAGAATACAATATGAAAGCAAATTATAACAATGATCAAAATTGGGATAAAGCCATAAGGATATACAGGAAACAAATATAGGTTGGTCATTTACCTCTGAGCCTTTACAGATTAGGATATTTCCTGGATGAGGATCTGCATGGAAGAAACCTGACTTCAAAATCATTTGTCCATACGCTAGTGTCAAACTTTGGAGGATTTTCCTGCATTTTCAGAAAAATTGATTACTGCCCTTCTGCATTCCTAATGAGAGAACAAACTATTTATAAAAAGAAAAATAGTGACAAAAATTTCTAAGAGCTACAATATATGTTTGAAAAGAGAAAGAAAGGGGAAATTTAAGGTAATGAATTTGGGAAAGATGCCCATCAAATTTTTTTTTTTATAAGGAAAAGAAAAAGGAAATCACACTGAAACAAATTTTAGCAAAGTAATAAAAGAGATAAGACAGGAAACAAAAAGATAGCATATCAAGGGAAAAGTCACCTAACATGGTTGTTTGTTGATATAAAGAACCGAGACACCTTTCTCATTAAGTAGCGAGAATAAACAAATAGCACTTTATTGACAATAAAAAGCGATTTATACAACACACAAATGTAGATAAAAAGGACATCATGCTTTCTGTACGGACTAGAAGCTTACTGCTTTGCGGCCTCTGCAATCTTACCACCAGGATTTATTCCTCTTTTCGCAATTTCAGCACCAAGATTCAGGATTGGAACTCCATCGATATATTCCATAACTAAGACTCTCCTAACCAAACAAAGCAACACTTGTTTACTAGAAGTCAAATTCTGGAAGGGAAAAAAAAGATTACTAGAAGTCAAATGAACTTACAGCACCCATAATTAAATGGTGCAAGGATTTGACATGGAAAACCATCAAATGCATCATTGTCGTTTGGGAAAGAAAATGGAGTAAGACATACCTAGTGACTATATCTTGCATCAGTCTTGGCACCAAAACAGGACTCTTTTTGTTATTCTCATACAAAAAACGTCTAATTTTTTCCATAGCATTAGCCTCCCTCATGAAGTCAAATTCATATCCAATCTTGAATTGGAAACATAAAAGATAGTTATTCTCCAGATATGGATGATTATATTTCAGATAGTAACCTAACATGGGAAAGACTCCAAAATTTGTACGTATAAGGCACCTGTTTCTCCATTTCCTTAGTTACAGAGTATAGATCAAATTTGATATCTGTCTTTTGTATGCATAAAGCGAAAGCTTGCAAGTTACGAATATCTGTCATCATTAGGTCCTGAACTCCAGGATGTTGCACCTATTATACACCACAAGAAATTAGAATTTCACGGAACAGAACATAAAGAAGCCACAGAATTTTCTCAGTTCCCTCACCTTGACAACAACATCAGTCTTATCACCTCTCAATCTTGCTCGGTGAACCTAGTTTGACCATAAGATATATATCAGGTACAAATGTATAAGCTTCTATAAGCATTGTAATACCATTTCCAGTATGATTCTCTCCTCCAATACAAAATAGCTAGCCTAAAAGGAACTAAATGAAAAGAAAAAGATAAATTGCAACATTGAGAATTCTGAAATGTGCCTAACTCTTCCTTAATGGTAATATCTGTCCATAAATCTTAATTATTAATCCTCAGGATGCAAATTACATACTTAAAGCAAAACAATCAATATCATCATCAAGTCATGTCTGCTTCTGGGAAGCCTCTCTTAATGAAAATTTTGATGCTGATACTAGCTAAGAATATTATATTTGCAAAATCCAATTATTAATGCAATTTCTACGGTGGAATTTGAATAAAAGAAAACCAGAAATTACTCATGAATGGAAATACCTGTGCAATTGAAGCAGAGCCTATAGGATCCACATCGAATCTTTCAAACACCTCACCAACATTTCGACCCAACTCCATCTCCAGCATAAGCTGAACAGCATCAAATGGGGTTGCAGGAGCATGATCACACAACGTAACAAGCCTTTTCACCCATGCCGCTGGGGCCAAATCGGGCTTCCCGATAATTTGGGCAACCTAATTGAAACACCATCCACGAATAGTTCAGTAATCAGTACAAATATTACAAAACCAAAAACCACCAGTGATGAATTGTATTTAAAATCCATAGGTTCCCTTGTACCTCCCCTAAAACTGAAAAACCAATTAGAAAGCAAATTAAACCGTACAACAAGCATCCATAAAGCATGACTCTGTAAGGAATAAAGTGGAAATTAAAGAAGAACTATTTGATTAATCAACCCCTCCCCATTCCATAGTTTAACTGACTAAGATCATAAACAAAAATCCAGTCTTTTTAAAATTTATTTTTGTGTCAAGCATTCAACACAAAACAACACATACAAACTAATGGGTTGGGCTAAAACCCATGTCATTTCACAATTCCCTCGCCTGAAATCAAATTCAGTGGCACAAGAGCAAGGAGTGAAGGAATTAATACGAAAAAACTAAACAGTAAATTCTTCGAACACCTTGAGGAAGAAACCGCCGAGGTCTGAGCACATAGCATATATCTTCTCAGCGGCAACTTCATGCTGCCTTTCCCACATTTCCTCTTGTTTCTTCACATCCTTCACCAAAATCACTCGAAGCTGAAACACCTGTCGACACCCAGCAAAACCCATCAAACAAATAAGTCCAGGCACTGCGATTCTTAAAGGATTCCACGCATGCAAACATGAACACATACATTGAGAAAAAAGAAAGAGAGAAAAAGCGAAAAGAGGGACCTTGTAGCCAGTGTAGATATCAACAGCTCGAGCCCAGAACTGAAAGGAGCGTTGCCAAGGCCTGAAATGCGTGGCGAGCTTTTGCTGAACATCTTTGAGATCAAAGGGAGGCAGAGGAAGCATAGCTATGCGGCTTTTCTCGTTGTTACCGTTGTTGGGTTGGGTTTTCTCTCTAGTTTCGGTTTTTGATTATAATCCCACAATTTCTAATCATATAGACATGGTAATTAGCATGTAATCAAGGAATGGTTCAATGGGTTCGGCTTCAGATTTGGAACTGGGAAGTGAAAAGTCGATATATCTGTGAAACGTCTGGCTAAGGAAAACACAAGTGAATACTGTACAGTGCTGGTGACTCAAGTGGAAGGTTTATAATTGCTTGGTTTGTAAGGCTCGCTTTGCTGACGATGTGTCTATTATAAAATTAGGAAAAGAGAAAAGTGCTCTAATCTCTCTTGTTGCGTTTGTGGGGTGCTTTGATAATTGATGGTAGCAAGCAACTCCATTGGCGTTTAGAAAGGGATTTTCATGGTTTTATGATCTTACAAGATAGTGGGGTCGCATGGACAAGCGTTGGAAACAACATGGAAGCGGTTTAGTGTCCCAGTTTGCTGTTGTTGATGTTAGTTTCTAACCTAGACAAGGGAATAATGGGGCTCACTTTTTGGCACAATTTGGGTGAAGGAACGTGCGGTGTGCGGACGTTGCTTTCCTTTTTGGTTGTGGCCTACGCTTGAACATGATAGGGAAGATTTCCTCGTCTAGAGGTTTTTAAAGGTAGATTTTAACGAGTTCACATTGTTGCACGGTTAATTTCCAGGGATTTTGGCTGATTCTAAGATGTTTATCTTATTTGAATGAAGTCCATTTGTTATTTATCAACCAAAAAAAAACTTATTCTTTTTCCTCGCCCTATTTTGTTTTGACTGAGAAATTTCAAGGCACTATGAAATTATATGCTTTGAGATACTTATTTGGGAATAATTAAAGAAAAATAAACTACTTTATTATGTGATCAAATATTTATTTCAATGCGGAAGAAAATTGGGTAAATTTGGCCTAAACTTAATGTTACCATGGCCAACTTTTACGTTTTGAGAGACATATTTGTGAAGAGCTACTTTTTTATGTGACAGAATATTTATTTCAATGTGGAAGAAAATTGAGGAACCCCGACCTAAACTTAATGCTACCATGGGTTCAATGCTTGGTTGCTGCTTTCTTGGCCGCAGGTGGTGGTTACTCCCTCCCCTTTGTGTCTTCACTTTTGCTGTGAGAAATGGTGGTTTCAACTCGTCCTTAACTAAAACACATAAGAAAATTGAATGTTTTCTGGAACAGAAGAAAATTCAGAGTTCCTTGGAAACGGACAATGTAGGCATGATGTGGATGACAAAACTCTTTTGGTTTTTAGAAACGGGCACCCGGTTGTAACATCAAGAGGATAATGATATTAAACCATTCGATCAATCTAAGTAACTCCTGCACTAAATCCCTCTCATTATAGCCCCGCCGTTCAATTTGTGACTTTTGTTACCTTACCTATTTATTTTTATACTTTTTAGGCTTTTTGTACCCTTGTATTCTAAGGCCATGGATTTCTTAGCATCATCAAGATCTTCATCACCAAAAATGCTCAATGTTCTCATTGCCATTTGTGTCGTGGCTGCACTAGCTTGCCGGTCGGTGGATGCTCAAGGTTTGTCACCATCTTTAAATCTAATCGATCACGTTTTATTCCACGTCTAAAATAGGCACCGTCACATTGAAAGATTTCTCGACATTGCTATACTTGTTATGTTGGTGTCATAATTAAAGCATCTTTAGCTAATTAGATATGGTGGATGATATTTTTGTTGTTGCACTTTTAGCAAATGTGACAGCAGGGGCATTCACACTTCAGGTGAATTTAAGTAGTTCGACATTTCTTGAAGAACTGAACATTAGCAAGTCAGACTTTCCAAGTGATTTTTTTTTTGGAGTTGGCACTGCTGCTGCACAGGTACATGCTATAATTAAAAAAATTAAAAATTAAAATCAAATAAAATCAAGTGTATGTATTTTAATATGTATTGCGTGCAGACTGAAGGGTCGCCGAATGAAGGAGGGAGGGGACAAAGTGTTTGGGACTATCGTGCTAAAATACTCCCAGGTTCACATAATTAAATTTAATTATCTTTTATTCATAAATTACCAACATTTAAATATTAGATAAAAGGCTTACAATATTCAATTACAGATACAATTATGAACAGTGACAAATTCTTTTCAGCAGTTGATGGATATAAAAGATACAAGGTAATTAGCTAATGAGAAAAACATCCTTCAAATGTCCTTTTTTTTTTTTTTTTTTTTTTTTTTTTTTTAAATAAATTTGAACTCCCATATATGTTTTATGAAACTTTCTGCATTTTAGGAGGATATTTTGCTGATCAAGGACCTTGGAGTAAATTCTTACCGATTCTCCATCTCGTGGACTAGGATCTTGCCAAGTAGGGTTTTATTTATTTTTTAATTTTATAAAGGAATTACGTAGTAATATTGAATATGATTTTATAATAAAATTTTGATGGATCTTACATAGATGGAAGCTTAAGTGGGGGAATTAACCAAGAGGGTGTTGATCACTATAACAGTTTGATTGATGAATTAGTCAAAAATGGTAAGAATTACGCTACAAATTTCTGAATCCTAAAATGTGTTATTCCACTAATATTATGTGTTTGCTTTAATGCATTTTTTTGTGTGTGTTCTAATAATGTATAGGAATCACACCTTTTGTGACGATTTTACACTTTGACCTGCCACAAGCTGTCGAAGAGAAGTATGGAGGTTACTTGAATCGCTCCTTTGTGTAAGCATTTCATTGTTTGAAAGTTCATTTATAATTTTCTCTCATGTTTATTATGCTAAGTTCAGTCGTTCATGCATCAACAACTCACAACCACCCACTCGCTCCTCTCATTTTGCATATATGATTTGGATAAAGAAGAAAAGAAGCATAAACTAGAACTCATATATGTTTGTTCTCTGTTGCAGGGATGACTTTAGAGACTACAGTGAACTTTGTTTCAAGTTATTTGGAGACAGAGTTAAACATTGGTTCACATTTAATGAGCCAAGAATTATCGCATCTTATGGTTATGAGTTGGGGATTGCCCCACCAGGGAGGTGTTCACTTCCAAAAGATATATGTGTATTTAAATCTCCAGTTCCGGGTAAATGTTTAATGACCGTAGGTCCGTGTAACTTTGGTGGTAACTCATCCACTGAACCTTACATTGTAGCCCATAACCTCATTCTTGCTCATGCCACCGTGGCTAAGCTCTACCGAGAAAAATACCAGGTATTCTTCGTTATTAGAGGAGGTCATGAGTTCAAATGTTATACCGAACCACATTTTGATCAAATTCCAAACAATTTTATTTTTCTTCTTTTTGAATGTGATCATCTCGCAGGCAAAACAAAAAGGTGAAGTTGGAATTGTGCTTGTTACACCATATTATGTGCCTTATTCAAAATCACAAGAAGATCAAGATGCAGCAAATCGACTTTTCGACTTCTACTTTGGATGGTAAGTACAAATTACCACTCAATCTCTTCATCACTTACTTGGATGCTTTAAGTGATTTGTACGGCGCATTTCGTAACAATTAATTCTTACTTAATTTGCATTAGGTTTATGGATCCATTGGTGTTTGGAGAGTATCCAAAAAGCATGAGAGAGTTGGTGAAGGAGAGGCTGCCTAAGTTTACTGAAGAAGAGAAAGTGATGGTTAAGGGAAGTTTAGATTTTCTTGCGATAAATTATTACGCATCAAGTTATGCTAAAAATAAGCCACCATCTCCAAATGAAGTGTTGCGCTACACTCTCGACGTAGCAGCCGAAATCCTAGGTAATTTACCTTACTTGCAAGGAGAAAAACTTAGGTGTCACGGATGTATACACTCGGGATATGCAAGCTTTTCTCGCTCAACAAAGTTAATAATAATTTTTAAAAAATACTATATGTCATTGAGTTTATATACGTTCTAAACTGTTAATAATCTGATCCTGATGCTGATGGTTTGATTGTTGCAGATGGCAAAGATGCTCCTGGATTGGTAAGAAAATTCTAAATTCTAATCTTATTAGTTGACGCTCCGACCTTAGAATAAAATTGTTTGACCCTCTTAAATTTTCCTTGTGTTGCAGGGAAATGGAAATTGGCCAGAAGGGGTGGAGAAATTGATGAACTATATAAAGGACAAATACAATAACCCTAAAGTCTACATTGCTGAAAACGGTTTGATTAATCACTTAATTAAATTACTAATGTAAATGTTTCATATATATAACATCGACCTAGCATGAATTATAATCTCAATCTTGTGCACCTTTTTTTTGTTGTTGCCCTTTGAAGGAATTGCTGGTGTCAGGAATGATGCTCTTGACCTTAATGTACAATTAAACGACGCGTCTCGAATTATCTATGTTGTTCGTCACTTGTACCGACTCAACAGGGCGATTAAGTAAGTGATTAACATTTCTTTATCAACATCATAATCTAGTGTTGAAGTAGTACATTAAAGCAAAGATAATATTATGTCTGCCTCATTTCTAAATGAAATATATTGCAGGAATGGCGTGAATGTCAAAGGATACTTCCACTGGGCTCTAATGGATGATTTTGAATGGGGCATGGGGTTTAGGACCAGATTTGGGCTTTACTACGTTGATTTCAACAGAAACTACACTCGTATCCCCAAGAACTCTGTTTTGTGGTTCCACAATTTCTTGAATGGCACGTATGAGAGTGACGTATACAAGAATGCGGCCAATAGATTTACAAAGTGGTTGAAAGATTTGTCTAAACCCAAAGGAGGGCTACCTGGCCTTTCGATCAATTAAGCTTTGAAGTTTATCTAATGAAGTTTTGTTCATTTTTCTCTTTCAATTTGTAACACCAACTGATGATACAAAATTGAAATTGAAATCGGAATCGAAGTAGAGATCGTTATATGTATGTGTCACAAAGTTCAACCCTAATACTGTTGTTTTCATTAATTATCTATCTTGTAAGGATGGGTGGCTCATTAGTTAACTACGTTAATCCTAACCCCTATCTACGATTAGTCAACTTTCTGCTTTGGATTCAAAAAGAAAACTTGGTTAGTTTTCCTGTATTTGGTGTCAAACAAAATTGAAATAATGTCATAGGTATGAAAAGAAAAATAACAATAAAAATGAAATCACGTGTTTGAAGTTTGTGGTAAATATTTAGGGCATGTGTTTGAAGTTTGTGGTAAATATTTAGGGCATGTTTACTAAAGGGGAACGGGAATGCAAGAAATGGGAGTGATTCTCATTCCACTAATGTGTACTAAAACTTCAAAAATGAATAGTAAGATGGGACTCACACAAAATCAATAATGTTTCTGATATTGAAGCGATTTGATTACTGAAGGGAAAGGTAGGATCGGAGAAGATGGAAATGGAATCATATTTTTTATGCCAAAACTAACCTCGTATTTTTCTTAGTTGTATTTCTTAGCTGTATACATATGCATTTATCCATGTTTATTGCATGGTTTAAGTTGAAGTTGAGGAAGGCCTTGATATTTGTGGTTGTATATAGAGGAACAGTGTTCAGTTGGGGTGTATCGTGATTCGTACGTTGTACCAAAACTTTAATTTGTTTCTGTCGTATTGTTTGAAAGCTTTGTTTCTGTCGTATGCGTGGAACCCACCCTATAATGCTGATGAAGAAATATGTGATGAGTCTCCTGATTGGAGCAATGTTATTTTCACCACTTCTTCTCTGTTGAGCAAGTGCCAAATTAATCTTCATTCATAAATAAACCCAACTAGTGTCACAACTAAAAATAAATGTACAGATTTTATTTTCCTAGCACAAGCCCTAACATAGAAAATGTTGGATGAAATCTTCTCCTTGTTGCAGTCTTCTTCAATATTCACACCAACACTTGCGTTCATAATTTTCTTCATCTTCTTGTTCAAATGGTTCTCATCACCTCCATCCTCCACAAACCCACCTCCATCTCCTCCAAAGCTTCCCATAATTGGCAACCTTCACCAACTAGGCTTGTTTGTACCCTTATCGCTCACTTCAAGCCTTATCTCAACCCCATGGCCTTCTGCACTTTGGAAGCGTCCCAGCCCTTGTTGTCTCTTCAGCTGAGGCAGCCAGGGAGATCTTGAAAACCCATGACCTCACATTTTCTGATCGACCCAAGTCCACCATCTTTGAGAAGCTTCTCTACAACTACAAAGACGTCTCCACGGCGCCATATGGTGAGTACTGGAGACAGGTGAAGAGCATCTGTGTTTCCCATCTCTTGACCACGAAAAGGGTTCAATCTTTTCGTGGGGTGAGAGAAGAGGAAACCAATTAATGGTCAAGAAAATAAAGCAGTCCTGTGGCACTAATGAATCTTCTGTTGTGAATTTGACTGAAATGTTTGTGACACTCACTAATGATGTTATATGTAGAATTGCCTTGGGGAGGAAGTATTGTGGTGGAGAAGGTGGGAAAATGTTCAAGGAGATTTTGGGGGAGTTTATGGAGTTATTGGGACGTCTTGTAATTGGAGATTATATCCCATGGCTTGTTTGGTTGAGCAGTTTCAATGGTTTGGATGCTAGATTGGACAAGGTGGCTGACTTTTTAGCTGCAATTGTTCTTTTGTGAAATCGTTTGGGTGTCCTAATTAAATTTCTATATAGCCCAAGAGCCCTATCCATTACTATTAGGCCATTACTCGAGTATCTATTGTCTATTTCTCATTTTGTTTACTTTTCCAAAGTTATTACCGATACATAAAGATTCTAACACCTTCATGTATAATAATGTATTATACACATATGCACATATTTTTCATATTTAATACGCCTACTTTTTACAAAAATTTCAATAAGACATAAAATTCACGAATTATACACATAATTCTCTCACACTATTGAATAAAAATAATATTTTTTTTTAAACGGTATAGCCGCACGGGTATACCCAATTTTCCCTAATTGTCTCAACCTTTTTTAAAATTTTTAAAACAAAAATAGTATAGCCGCTGGGCGTGTCTTTATATACGTATATAAATATTATAGCCGTTCGGCGATTTTTTAAAATCAAATAGTATAGCCGCCCGGCTTTACTGTTCTGACACGTGGCTTTATATAAATAATATAGCCGCGCGGCTATACCTTTTAAAAAGAAAATTTAATCTGGGAAATTTCACCGGCATAAATCTGTGCCTTTCGTCGGGAAAACCACACTCGTATCCCCAGAAACCAGAGGAGTTTGAGCCGGAATTGTTCCTGGATATGAACAGTGGGATAGATTATAAAGGAAATGACTTTGAATTGATCCCATTTGGAGCTGGGAGGAGGGGCTGCCCTGGAATTCAATTTGCCATGCTGTGAATGAGATTGGTTTGGCAAATCTGGTGCATAAATTTGACTGGACATTGCCTGGTGGAGCAAGAGCAGAAGATTTAGACATGACTGAGTCAAATGGCTTGACCAAACGTAGAAAATACCCTCTTCAAGCTGTTGCTGTTGCTGTTCCATATTCATAATCAGCTTGCTGCTCTTAGTATTAGTTTATATACTAAGAGCAGACCCTGGCTTTTGTTGGCACTTTCTAAACAGCAATAAAACTTGCACTGCAATTATGCATTATTTTAAGCTCATCAACTTATGTATTTTAAGCTTCCGCATCGCTATCTTCGAGCTTGGCTCAACGCCATGGGCCTCTCATGCTTCTCCATTTCGGAAGTGTCCCAGTCCTTGTGGCCTCTTCAGCTGAGGCTGCCCGGGAGATCATGAAAACCCATGACCTCACATTCTCTGTCCGTCCCCAAGTCCACCATCTATGAGAAGCTCCTCTACAACTACAAGGACATCTCAACCGCGCCCTATGGAGAGTATTGGAGGCTGGTGAAGAACATATGTGTCTTGAATCTCTTGAGCGGCAAAAGGGTTCGGTCTTTTCGTGGCATGAGAGAAGAGGAAACCTAGTTGATGATCAGCAACATAAGCACTCAGCATCATCCTCAGTAGGGTTGAATTTTAAGCGAAATGCTCGTGATGCTTACGAATGATGTGGTGTGTAGAGTGGCTCTGGGTAGGAAGTACAGCACAAGTCTTGTACCATAGTTGGTAGTGGGAAGATGGTTAAGGAGCTTTTGGAGGAGTTCACAGAGCAATTGGGATGCTGTGTGTACATTGCTTTGGTTGACTCGTGTTAATGGTTTGGATGCAAAGTTGGACAAGGTGGCCAAACAGTTTGATGACTTCTTAGATGCAGTGGTTCAAGAATTATGGATCGTAGTTCAGAGAGTGGAAATGATGGTGGCCAGGTTCGCATCGAGAACGAAGAACAGAAGGATTTGGTGGACGTTTTGCTTGATATTCAGAAAGAAAACTTGGTTGGTCTTCCAATTGATAGAGTTAGCATAAGGCTCTCCGCTTGGTAAGTAATTAAACATTGTGTGAGAAAGAACTTAGAGGCTAATTAATTAACCAACTTTAATTAACTCGTTATCAATGTTCTTGCAGGATATGCTTACTGTCAGCACTGACACCACGCATACAATCCTAGAGTGGGCGATGACTGAGCTTCTAAGGCATCCAAGGATCATGACAAATTGTACAATGAGGTAAAGGGGATAGTCGGAAACAAAACAGACTTAATTACGGGGATGATGTGGTTGAAATGCCCTACTTGAAGGCAGTGATCAAGGAGACTCTTCACTTACCCAGAAGGCAGTGATCAAGGAGACTCTTCACTTACCCAGGGTGTCGACCCGAGATGTGGAAATAAACGGCTACAACATTGAATCCAAGACATAAGTTCTGGTCAATGTGTGGCAAATTGGAAGAGATCTCAAGTCTTATGACAAACCAGAGGAGTTCGACCCTGAAAGGTTCGTGAACAGCGGTGTAGATTATAAGGGGAATGACTTTTAGTTTCTTCCATTTGGAGCTGGCAGGAGAGGCTGCCCCGGAATTCAGTTCGGCATGGCTGTGAATGAGATTGCTTTGGCAAATCTTGTGCACAAGTTTGAGCGGGCATTGCCTGGTGCAGCAAGAGCATAAAATTTAGACACGACTGGGTCTCCTGGTTTAACCAAACGCAAAAAGCATCCTCTCGAAGCCGTTGCTATTCCTTACGATATTCCATTCTCAAAGTGAAAGATAAAAGGAGGGTTGCAGTGTATTATTTTATTAATGATGTTGAATTGTTTTAGGTTGTATTGCTGTATTTGGGGTCGTATTGGATCAAGAAGCTACCTTATTTTGCAATCGACCTTGTCGGATAGCATTACTTGTCTCACCGATTAATGATACTATGCCAACAGTAAGAATTAAGAACAGTCTACGTTTTTGTAGCCATGGCACTTTCGACTGCAAAATCCATACACTCAAACAATCACCATGAATAGCAGTTCGAAAAGAAAATTGGAACCTGAAGATAAGTACTTGAGTTTATAATAAATTTGGAGAAAAAGAGAAAACCAACTTTGTTCGTCAAATGAAAAGTGAAAAGGCACCAGCTGCTATGATCTTAAGTTTTTTGGGATCACTTTCAAAATGCAGGAAAGCCCTACCCTACAGATCAATAACACGAGACAGCTTCTGGATCCGGTTTAACAAGAAATCCCCTTGCTTGATTGTTGCTTGGTAGAGAGAATTCTTAGCATCAGGACGGTTAGTTTCTAGAACACCTGCAACTTTGTCAATCTTGCAATGAAGCTTCCCTGCCGCAATGAAACGAGACAGCTCCCTGTATATGCAGAATGGGTCAGAACTATGTAGAAGACATGTGAAATGCTTAACAACTGCCTCGGCACAAAGTCAAGGATCAGAACTAAAAGAATATCAAGTAAACCTCAAAGAAGGAAAATATAACACAGCCACTTACAAATCAATGAAATCAACTGTCACGCCAAATGCTTTCGCCATTGCTTCAATAGTAACACTCTTGTAGGATTCCAAGAACTGGGAATAAACCACAGTTCTGATCTCCCTCATGTAATATCGGAAGTGTGGATGCAAATAACGGTCCAACTTTATCTGCTCTGTCAGGCCAGCTGGAATACAAAATAGGAAAGACAAACCACAACTATGAAATCTATTTAATTTGGTTGAAATATTACTAGAACAAATAGAAGGTCAGATAGCTCAGAAACATTCAAAAGTGAACCACATTATAAAATTAAATTAGTTATCCACTTACCAAATGCTGCGAAAAAAGATTTGTATTGGCAATCATATAGAGAGTTCAAAAATTCTGTAAGGTACGGGATTTTCCCAATCACTGTTAATATCTCAGGAGCATCCACCACCTGCGACATATTTGGTCAACAATTAAATTAAATTTCTCATAAGCCAGCAAATCACATAACAAAATGGAAGAAACATATAAAACATGAAAGTGAAATCACAAGACGCAGTAACACAACATTATACCTTTTGTTTCAAAGAAACTCTGTCCAACGATATAATGCTCGTAAGGACAGTATAAAATATGAAGATATCATATGGAAATATTTCATAAGTGGTGAAGGTAGAAATGGAATCCAAGAACAAATCAGCAGCCTTCTTAAAATTCCGAGTCGACATGCAGTACAAGCCTTCATAGACCTTCAGACGATTCTTCCTTTCCCAATCACCTCCCTCTTCAAATAAGCTGCCATCATGATGCAATGGTTACAAACAAAGCTCAACTACCAAATATAAACAATATAACCAAAATATGTAGCTGACAAATCCATGTCACCAGTACTTACTTCTTCGCTTTGTCAATGCTCTTAGAAATGAGGTCAAAATCCATGTAAAAGAAACCAAGTTGCAGTGTATAGAATACCAAGTCCATCTTTTGCCCAACTGCAACTGTTTTGCTTTCTGTTACCTTGAGTTGTTCCAATGCTTTCTCCTAGGTTCACAAGTGAAGAAGTCTGAATCAAATTGAGACATAACAGTAGAAAGGAAAAGTAGAAAGCAGAAATGACTAGTAGAACAAATAAGTTACAACTTATCTACCTTGTCACCAATACGAATGAAAAACAAGGACTTAGCCAGATGGGCTTCTCGAACCTCACTTTCGCCCAAGTTCTCTTCAGCATCAGCAATCCTAAAAAATCCAACCAGATAAGTCACGTCACTTGAAAGTAAAGGAAATTATTTTATCACAATGACTACAACAACGTTACTTATGACAATGATTTTCACAGTAGACAACTCAAGCACATTTTGTCATTCTACTTAATTCACTGTAAAACCCCCAATTTTCTACAAAGAACTCAACAGAGAACTCATGCTCTATTAGCATCCAATCTCACAAAACTATACCACCTGTGTAAAACTAATTCGACAAGTTGTCTACCTAATAGTGAAATCTCGTATTTACAAACACACAAGGCGGAGGGGGTGTAAGACTGAAGATTCTAAAGCACACATTTCAAACCCTAGCTTCTTTCCTCATAATTTTCAGTTAACTAAACAGAACCTGGATCAAAATCAGGAAAAATAAAACTAAATACGAACTCACTTTTCGTCCAGCTTCTTGAGCTCGTCCTGGATCTTCGCGAGCATCGAGTCCAAAACGCTCTGGTCCAACGGCAGCACCGATTCAGAGACTAGAGTTTCGTACAACGGTGCCATATCTACAAAAACACAAAACAGAACCCAATAATTGTTACGTAAAACCTAAATTGATACAACGAAAATGTAAAATTAGGTGGAAATTAGTGAAAATCTGCTATTTTACCGTCGGCTTTGACGGAAGCGAAAACCTCCTCTCTGAGTTGGACCTTCTCGATGTCTTGGACATCAGGGTGGGAGAGAAGGAAGAGCTTGTGAGCCAGCACGAGGTGCGGTTGCTGAGGTCCTTCTTGGCCTTCCATGGCGGATCGGTAACTGGTAGTCTGAGTTGGGCTTTTCTTTGTGCTTTTCTTGAAGGAGGAGGAAAGTGAACGACTGTATGCCTGCGTTGCGTTGTGTGTGCGTATTTGTTCTCTTCGTGGTAACCGGTAATTCTTTTTTTTTCTTTTTTTTCTTTTTGAGTGTGTGCTGTCAAGTGTATAACTGGTCTCAGACCAAAAATAATAATTCAAGTGTAACTTGTAATTTTTGGCCAAAAAAAAGAGAGTAATTGATAAGTTAATGCGAGAAAAAAAAGAAGAAAAAAAACTTGAACAAAAAAAAAGAAAGATATAATTTGATTATTAGCATGAGTGTCAAATTTAGTCTAACCCACTTTTGACAAACTCACTATCATGAACAACTGACCTAACTCATGTCTACACGTTCAAAGTCTAATTTTAAAAGCTAATCAAATCAAATTGCAATTATGGTTCGGCAGTTGGTTTGACATATTTGAAAACTATTTAAACCAAATCACCAGCAATGTGAAAAAGGATTTTGACTTGCAGTCACGAAGTCTCAGATTCGAACCCCATGACATTATTTGTGTGTATGAGAAATCTCTTTTCTCTTTAATTTAGATTATCGCTTATACTAAAAAAAATGCATATGAGTATGCCTGAAATGATCATTAATTGATTAACTTCGTCCGATTTGCCCCTAAATTAACCAAACTAAATCGATCATTAACTTATTTAAATTTTAATGTGCGAATCTCAACAGCATGTTTACAATCTAAAGAGGGATAATGTCGACTTGTGATCAAAAGATATTGAAAGATAGAGAGTTTCAAACTTGAAACCTCATATTTTAAGTAAATATGATTATTCTACCCAAAAAAAGTGAATAATGTCAATGAATGGTATTATAATTTCAACTAAACCTTTTAAATTGGTCATGATCACTTGGTTCGGTTACAAAAAATTATTGATCATGATCATTCTATTAAGCAGTTGCATAATGCAATGGACAACCAATCTAGTATTGAAATTCTTCCATGATAAGAATAGGCATGTAAATTTAATAAGCTTCAACTAAAACACTTGGATTAGATCAAAGAAAAAAAAACACAAAAGACGAATGCAACTACCCTCTGCTCTTATTTTTCTCATTCAGTTTGTTCTACGTAAAGCGTACACACTACTTACACATAAATCTAATCAAATGAGCCCTTAATGTGCTAAAAACCTCTCTATTCTCTTTAATATAAGTACAACAAATCAACGGTCCATATTCCCGCAATCAGTACTACACCAAATCTCTCTAACACTCCGAATTCCAACCCTCCCTCCAGACTCCACAAGAAGAAGAAGAAGAGGGAAAGAGAGCTCTTTCCAAGCTCTGTGCTTGTTGTCTCAAATGTCAAAGAGAAAGCCAAACAAAAACAAAGGACCCGCTATCATCGACCTCGACCTCGACTCTTCCGACCTCGACTCTCCAATTTCAGGTAAGTGTTTCCCCACAAAGCCCGTCTTTGTCTTAACCCTTGTGCTGTTGCCAATTTTATCTCCTTCACTATTTCTTTTGATTTCCTGCTATTTCCTACTCAACATGCAAATGATCATTGTTTAAAGTTTCAAAGTTTCAATCTTTTACTTTTCTTCTTTGGAATTTTCAAGAATGAGGTGAAGTTTTTGTTTTTGATTAAAGAGGCAAATGGTAAATATGGGGGAGAGAGAGAGAGGGAGAGAGGGGAGAGTGGAGATCACAGAGCTGAGAAATAGATAAGGGAAAATGGATGGAAATTAGATTAAAAATTAAATCTTTTTTTAAGATGTTAAGATAACAATATCCCACATTGACATTTTGGGCTAGTATATAAGCTCCTCCTTGCAAGCTGGTCTTTTGGTGGATTTTAGATTAAAGATTGAATCTTTTTCTTTTTGGTTGAAGTTTTGTTGTATGCTTCGTTTTTCTGCTACTTATTGCGTTCAATATTGGTGAACGCTTGATGGGTTATGGTGTTTGTACTCCAACAGAGCTTTTCAGATATGAGGTGTCAAAACATCGCTCATGTTGGAGGCACGTCTTCGCCTATTTGATAGTTCAAAAAAAGAAATTAGCTCTAAAAGATATTGAACTGATAAAGAAGCGATACCCGTGCCTTTTAGAATTCCCTTGCCACTTCCATCGTGGTGAGAGATTGAAGAGGAAAGGGAAAAGAGAAGAGATGAAAGAACTTGGACCACCCAAGGATGCCAAGCATGCAGTCTCAAGAAAAAAAGAAAAACTAGACTCTCAAGCATTTGAGTGTAAAGAAAAGCTAGGCTCTGAAGCATTTGATCGTTACTTTCAGTAAGTCCTAGTTTTGAGCAAGGCGCTGTGAAAAAGTAGCTGTAATTTTACAGTCGTATTGGATTTTGAAATTTGTTTGGAATGTATAGGAACTTATGGAAGAATTTATCAGAGGATAAGAGGACTTCTTTCACATACCTTGACTGTATGTGGTTTAGCTTGTACTTGCAACCATCCTCCAGAGACAAGGTGCTGACCTGGATTAAGAAGAAGCACATTTTCTCAAAGAAATATGTCATTGTTCCTATTGTTTGCTGGTAGCTTTCTACCGTTACCTTGAGCTAAAATCTTTCCATTTTCTCACTCAATGCTTAGAGTTCTAACATTTTCTCTTCCAAAATGTTGCCTTTTCAGGAGTCACTGGAACCTATTAATCTTTTGCCATTTTGGTGAGAGTGAGCAATCAGAAACCCATAAACCATGCATGTTGTTGCTTGATTCTCTTGAAAACGCAGATCCAAGGCGGTATGAACCAGATATAAGAAAGTATGATTTTCTGTAGCAAATTATGTATCCTGTTTGTTTTTTTTGGGCCACAGTCCTAATTGGCTGTTTGACATTTGTTTATCATTGTTTTCAGATTTGTACTAGACATTTATAAAGCAGAGGGCAGGTCTGAGACCAAAGATTTTATCTATCGAATTCCTTTCTTGGTTCCTAAGGTGACCTAAACAGTCTCTTTGTGACTCTCTATGTTCTTAACATTCTCTTTGTGACTTTCTACTTTCATATTAGAAAAAATTTACATGAAAAGGGAAATTTTCAGGTGCCACAGCAGAGAAATGATGTAGAATGCGGTAACTTTGTTCTCTACTACATCAATTTGTTCATTGAGGGTGCTCCTGAGAATTTCAGCATTGAGGGCGGCTACCCATACTTTGTAAGTTTTTCATCTTATCATATGTTTATTCTAAGATGCAGCTTTCATATATTATATGTTACAAGCTCTACCTTTCTGTGGGAATTGCAGATGAAAAAAAATTGGTTTACCCCTGAAGGCTTGGAGTGTTTCTGCCAGCAACTATATTCCTCTTCAGAGTGATGTGCATATACTTAACAGTGAAAGGAAAGTCCATAGGTTTTTGTTGACTTTATGTAAATGTTCTTGTAGATTGGATCAGCCGATCATAGTGCCTAAGTGAATGAGATATATATCAAGGTAATGTAGGTGTAATGTTGGTTTCCTAGGATGATTAAGTGCCACAGTTCGAAGCATATATTGAGAAACCTTTTGGTTAGTGAGAAAGAAAAGCCTCAAAATTATTGATGCTGGCTCCTTTTTGACTGGCCTGTATTTTGCTTAGAGATTTGATGTAGCTAATTGCGACTGCAACTTAGAGCTGTCAGTAAAATGTTAGTTTACTCTTGATTTCCCTCAACTTGTTGCTAATTACAATTTAGCCTTGATAATCGAACAAGAAGACGTTTTTTTCTTTCCTTTTTTGGATACGCAAAAGAAGTTACTTTAAGTATTATTGTGCACAGATTTGAACCCATCTACAGGGCATGGTAGATTGTGATGATTCTCGTCAAGAGGTTTGAGGTAAAAGCAATCTCTTATAAAAGCCACATTCTGAATTTTGATTTCATTGTCTATCCTCCTATGCTCAAGTTGGGTATCTATGATTCATATCGCCAAAGAAGAGTTTGAACATAAATCAAACCCTCTAAATATATTGAGGGTGCAGGCATTTGATCTCCAATAACAATGGATGTCAAAGGTCCTTACATATCAATGATATGGAAGTTCTACATCGTAGTCCCAGTTATCGTCTTCCTTGTCGTCGTTTATCCTCGCTTCCGGTTTATCCTGCCTTGGATCTTTTGACCGTGGATACCTGAAAATGAGTAAAGCATATAGAAGTGAGATGATCATTGTCAAGAGATCCCCATGAATCAGGTTTTCTCAAAACACAAAGTAGGCAAAAATTTCACAATACAGGAGACACAGATAGAAAAGAAGCAAAACTCAATGACACCCTCAATCTCCAAAAAGGCTTAACATATAGAGAGAGGCCGCCAAGATAAGTTGTTCCAAGCAAAAAACAAGGGCAAATGAAAAGAAATCTTTGCAAAACGCATGACAATAAACACAACATCCCATCTAGGGGTGGGCATCTTAAACCGAAATACCGAAACCGTACCCTAACCGCACCGTACCATACCGATTTCATACCGTTTCATTTGGTATGGGGAGATATTCGGTACCGTACCGTACCGTACCAATAAAATATAATATGATAGCGGTATCAAGATTTTGGTACCGGTCAATACCGTACCGTACCAAATAGTATAACTTTATGTTTTTGTCATTTATGTTTGGATTGTGTTTGTATTTTTGTAAGCCATAAGGCATAATTTTAACTATTTTGGTTTGTAAGTCATAAGGCATGAGTTTTAACCATTTGGGTTTGATGAATTTGTTGATGGATAAATATTGATTTGGTTGATTTGGATATTGAATATGTTGATTAGGATTTGGATATTGAATATGTTGATTAGGATTTGTATATTGAATATGTTGAATCTTTGAATTTGTAACTTAGGCATCACTTATTTTGGTATTGAATATTGAATTGGTTCCTTTTTTAGTTGTATCATTTTGGTACCGAAATGATATCGATACCGTATCGATACCAATTTGGCACGGTACGAGTTTTGGTAAACCATAATCCCATACCGTACCATACCAATTTAAATTTCCGGTATCGGTAGCGGTACGGGCTGAATACCGTACCATACCGTACCATGCCCACCCCTAATCCCATCTATCCTAAAATCTCACTTATTTCCTGTCGGCAACCAAACAGGCCCGAAAGCAGTAGTTACCAAATAGAAAAAAAAGAAAAGAAGAGAGGCAAAAAGTGAAAACCTTTTGCGGTTCTTTCTGGCAGCCTGTCTAGTCTTTCTCTGCTTCTTCTCCCGTTTGTTCTCGAAGAACCTCCTGGTCTTGCACTCTTGCAACACACCAGCCCTCAGAACCTCCTTTCTGAACCTCCCAACAAGCTTTTCCTCGGAATCGTTGTCTTGCACTACGATCTGAACGTTGTACGCTGATTTGAAGAAGAGGGTGTTTGAGTGTGCGAGTGAGGGCCACAATATACTGGCTAAACATGAGGAAGAAGGAGTTGATGATGGGGTCCAGGTGGCCACCAGTAGGGCCCTCCAAGATGGGGTTTTGGGAAGAGAGACACGTGGTGGCAGAGGAAGGTTTGATGATGATGGTGATGGCTGTGGTGGTGATGATTTTGAGGGAAGGATGGAAGAGAGGAGCTTGGAGACAGCGGCCATGGCGATGGTGAGGGTGGCGTGGCGGGGGGCTCAGTCCAATGGGTTGATTGAATCTAATTTCGTCCCATTATGTCTTGATGAGTCAGCTACTGGGCCATAAGTTTGTGGGCCACATTTGACGTGGCAGCAACTGGTGGGTTCTTTTTATAAATAAAATAAAAAATAAAAAATAAAAAAAAGTTTAGAATTTGATAAAAGTGGTAAATTCAATAATTTATTTAGTCATTTAAAAGTAATTTTGTAGCCATTAGCTCAATTGGTGATGGTGGATGGAAAGTTGAGATTTCTTTCATTGTGACAAAACCGAAGTAATTTTGTAGGTTCCATAGAATGACCATATACTCAATCTCAAGTTACATGGATTGAAAAAATAATCAACAAACAATGTAGGAAACCAGCATTTACAAAATAGCGATATCAATTAGTGGCATGACCTGTACAAAACAGGTTACAAAAAGGCTGACTTAATTTAAAATTTTCTTTTCGGTGAACAAAATCAATAAACTATTGGTATTTCACACTGGATTGTGGGATTATAATTGTCCCTTTGGACAGACTGGAAGGAAGCCCGACATTCTTCGAAATGGATGTAGCTTCTGGTGAATATAGTGCTCGAGAAGCTTGGAGGGCCATCTCAGCATGGAGTTGTAGGCATGCCATAGCCATCTACGACACAAAGGATATATGTCAACAACCGGTCATGGTGGCATAGGTAAAAATTAAATCAACGTTGCAGCAATTAAAAACAATCAAACAAAGAAGAAAGTGATATGGCATTGAATGGAGAAAGGTTTCAGAGGGGCGGGGCGGGGTGGGGAGTATAGGTGTCCCTTATGGAGCTTTAGGATTAGTTGTTTACCGTATAGCACTCTCTATCATTGTCTGATTCAGCTACCTGAAGCGCCCACGTGCGCACCCATTCAAGCCCGTTCGAAATTTCGACGTTTCCTTCAACTAAGGAGGTTGCTACATAAGAGGGATGAAGAGATAGCAATACGCATGAAGCTGCAAAAAGAACAGCTCTTCTAACATAAGCTTCCTTGTGAAGACATACCTCCCTGCATGAAGGTTAAAACCACAGGGTTTAGTAAAATAAATACAGTTTAATGTATATATGCAATGGGGAAGCTGCAATTAGAATATCATAACCTAATCATCATTTCATTCTCACAGAGGTTTTGCAGTCAGTACCTGGATCTTAGCATATCTAGAAGGGGGGCAGCCAGGGCAGAGGCTTCTGGATGCATGGCTGTACATTTCATACAAACACCAAGCATATAGATGAGTTTTCCCAGGACGATAAAATCTCTATCAAGCAAGTCAACACCCTGCCTTTTCTTATCAAAGCCCTGCATGGCAGGGAGCATAAATGCTGCTGCATACACCGGAAACTTATTATGGGACCATTCTAATTGGGCTTCTTGTTTATTTGCTGATCTTAGGCTCCACTGTCGCGTTTTGCCTCTCTTAATCTGACCAGGTTTTGAAGGAAGTTCCCTCTCATAACGATTCGTCCAATTCAGTAAAGATCTTGATTCTGAAATCTCTTTCCAGGGACCAGATCCAGGGGGCCCTATGTCGCTTGGCAAGAACCAAGCTTGGGTCTCTGACGTGGTTGCTATGAGGGCCCTAGCCTGTTTAGGCTTTATAATTTTAGTATGAGCAAGCTCCTGAGCAGCCTCAGTCATGACATCAAGTATCATTATGCGTTGACTGACATCCACATTAGGTGAATATAGTAGTTTGTTTAAAGTCTCAAGAGACTCCAAAGGACACGTGACAAGCAAAGCAACCAATGCTCTCTGTCTCTTGTCTTCAGCTGAATCTTCCTCACCTTCTACAGCCAAGTCAGAGCAACGAACCTGAACTAGAGTTCTGACAAGATCACTTGCTACATGCTTAAGCTCATCAGGCGACGCTCTGACAAGCTTTTCAGCAACAGCAAGAGCATTCTCCACCTGCAATATGAAAATAAATGTAACGATCCAGAAGAGAATTTGGTACACCAAATTTTCAAAGCTGACTGCCAGGGAATCACTGCACTCTGGCAATCCAACCATTGTTTCATACCCACTCCCTAATTATTTAGTTGTATATTTACACGAGCCAAGGACAATATTCATCCAGCTTGTCTAATGTTTCACCTATAGATCTCATAAGCTGCACCAAAAGCTCGATCTCATCTACAGCACAAACTTAGTTTACTAGTGATTATTGTAAGAAAAACATTTGACAAGAATTAAACTAATGTACTTAGTTTACTTACCCCATCAGCATCATCAGATTTCCGAAGTGCCCCAACCACATCAACCAACTGTGAAAATTTTCTTTTCAAATCTGTGTCATCATCTGCCAAATCATATGGCTGTAAAGATGAGTCACTCGAGACATCGGAATTCTCACTAGCATCATCGTTGTCATCTTCATCAGAGGCTGATTCGTAATTTAGTGTAACTGGATCAATGATCTCGTCTGGATCAACCAACTTAGGTTCAGTTATTTTTTTATTTTTACTCTTCCCATTGCTTGCTATCTCATCATTGCCTTTGTGGGTGAAGCCCTTTTCTAGAACTGAGGTAGTAGATGTTTCAGTTTTGTCAATACCCTGTTCAGGAGTCCCTTTCTCAGGGGTAGACAACCCAAATTCCCAGTCGATAGTATCCCCAGTGTGGCTATCGTCAAGGTATAGAGGATTTTTTGGGTCAATCACCTTGGAGAAAGCTAAAGCAACACTGCTGGCCATTTTCCGAATCAAATTATTAGGGCTTTCCAGCCTACCTGCCAGCAAAGAAGACAAGATATAACCAGAAGATACTGACCACCAACATTGCAAGACACTATACCGATAGAGATGGAGAAAAGAATTTACAGCTCACTCCTTTGAGAATTGAGTGCATCACATCCTTAGTCTCATCTAGTTCCTCTTTAGACATCTTCTCCAGGGAAAGGCCTACAGCTGCAGATACATCTGATATTACAAGATTAAGGAGCAACAAAATCCAAAAAGCAGCATAATGAAACAATGAAATTTTCGTTAATGCAACAGGATTTATTATAGAATAGCTACTTGTGATATATCAGGTATTTCATATTAATCTTTAGGCTTTTAGAGTCTACAAGGTCTCCCGTTGTAAAGGTCAGTCAAGAAGAATCATTAGGATTCATCACAGACTACTACCAGATGCTAGACAAACAAATGAAGAAGGATACAAATTTGCTGCTCAGTTGGGGCTGATTGCACAAACTCCTTATTAGACCATACTGCTACCAGATGCTGCAATGTGTCTAAGAAATTTCGGGTATTATGACCTTTAGCAAGTGAATTACTTTCAGGTGGGCATTCAAGAACAGCAAACTGAAGGATCCATCGCAGGCAACGAACAGGAAATACTTTCCAGAGTAAGAATTTGTCAGCAAACATTGCCCTAATAAAGAGGAAAGCTGAAAATTAAACACTTAACATAACAGCAAATCAATAATACTTTTAAAAGATCAACCCTGGAGCGACAAAAAAAATGTATTTTCCATAAACAATCAGTGTAATGTGTCAGAATTGGGAAAACTCTTTATATGCAACACATTGTTTGCAGGCCATGGGTAATGTAAAACAATTAATATCTGTTAAAAACAAAGATGAAACTGGTGGCACATCTAATTATCTCTGGGCCAGATTTCAGTATATCCAAACAATTTGCCACACCACAACATTCTGCAAAAACAATTTTGATTTCAAGTGCAAAGTTGAATGTTAAAAGTTAAAATGTGTCCACTTAATTTGAGAGAGAGAGAGAGAGAGAGAGAGAGAGAGAGAGAGTATTCACTGACCTCACTGATATCTGGTATTTAGAAACCCGATGAAATAATAGCCAAAGAATCCAGTAGGCTTCAACATCACTCAAACGTTCAGTTGCAAGCTGATGTAAAAGCTGCTCAGATATTCTTTCCACAGCATAAGAATCTTTCATAGCTTGTATCATATTCAACCAAAATTGGGAACCGGGGTATGATTCAAAAACATCCGAGACAAGTGGATCTATATTTAATGATAATAAGCTCCGTACATGACTAAGAACCCGTGGAATTATTTCGCTTAAAAGCACATCTGTGAAAAAGGAAAAACACTTCGGTTACATATCCAAAGGCATCCGACCAGAATACTCTTCTTGCATATCAATTGTCACGCTCAATTAACCAGATAATAGGGGTGGTTCCACTTTTGTTTGATGGAAATAAGTAACTACTCTGGAAGAGTAAGTTTTTCAAATTGGGGGGGAGGGGGGGGACATATAAGTGAAATCCTGTTCTTTTTGCATAAACACTTTTTAATTGCTGTGCTTAAAATTATAACAGTTACCTACAGATCCACGCCGACATACACGAGAAAATATCTCCCCAACAAATAGTAAGGTCCCATTCATGTCACTTTTAAGGCACGCTCCTTCTTCTAATAGATTCATATTCCTTTCTTCTGCTAGAGAAAGAAGTTGGATGGTAACTTGCTTGAAGAAAAAACTTTAGTACTTCAGTGAAGAAAAACAATAAAATGGCAGTAACAGAAAAGAAAACAATTTAACTGCAAATAAGTAGGCATATTATATTTTTAATGCCATTCTGATGTCAGATTACCAGAATGCTCGCATATATGTCCCTCATCATAGCATACATTTTTCCAAAGCCTAAACAAGTATATGACTCAATTATCCAGCACAAGACATAAAAGGATACTGTGATGAAAGCGAAGTTGGGGCTCTCAATTGTGCTTTGTCAGGTATAGATGCAACGATCTGGGCTACTCTAGATACAGCTGGCTTAAGATTTTCATTTATATAATCTTCAGAATGGGAAGAACCGCTGAATTCTCTAGCCATCTGGAGCACCCCGTTATTTTCAAGCAAGCAAAGTATGAGTAACCTGTTGTAATGGTAAAAAAAGTTCAACAGATTGACTATAGTCAGCATCGATATTTCAAATTGGACCTCTTATTGTTATAAATAACCACTGGACAGAAACCGGTCCTCAACCCATACCTTTCGGTATTAGAGTGTACAGCCTTAACATCAAGATCGTCACTTCCACTCTGATGTAGACAAGGGACCAAGGTCTGAACAACCTCAGTGGCAAGTCCATTAACAAAGAAAACATCATAGACATGTTGACGTGCTGAAAAGGGAAAGCAAGCTAGCCAGTCGGAAGCAATATCTGCATGCAACAACAAAACATAAAATATATAAAGACATGTACAACAAGCCGTCAATAGACAAAAAACATTTGCAACCAAAACCACTGAAAGAGATGACAAATTTTCCTCAAGCTAATCTTCAGGAAAATCAGCCATCAATTATAATCTTTAGGTTTCACAAACCTCCATCTGAATCAACACCCTTCTCTACAGGCCTAGAGTTAGTAGTTTGTCTGGTTTACATGGTATTTTTTTTTACCCAACTAATAAAGTATTCGAATTTCACAAGTGAAAGAATAAAGCTGGAGATACATGATTTCCAACAACAACAAAAATGGAGAAAGCAGCATAAACAGTAGAGAATAGAGCTAATAAAAGTACCAGTTAACAGAACCCGAGCAAATGTCGAGAATACAGCTCCTCCATAGAATACTTGCCACCACTCGCTCCTCTCATCAGCCGAAGGAGCCTTGGCACCAAGTACCTGCACAAAACACAATCATAAAGGCATAAAATTTCCAGAAAACTGGCTGCGATAAATAAATTTCGAGAAAATTTCGTGAAAATAAACGAGACACACCAGCTCTCTGCATCGCTCATCAATAGCACCTGAAATTCCACATTTCACATCAGTCAGTTTGCAATAAATCAATCTTTTAACCAAAACAAAACGACACAAGATGTCAAATTTGTTCAATGTTTTGGTTTCGGATTCTGTTTCCCACACTCTCTCGTCCAATTTTTCTCGGAAACCAAACAACCCGTTCACATGCTCAAAAATTCGAGAATGAAAGACAGTGGACGAAGGTGAAATGGAGATGTGAGAGGTTGGGAGAGTGACCTGAGAGAAGAGAGGCGTCGAGAGGGAAGAGAAGAATAGCGAGGGAGTGGAGCGCGCAAATCACTTGGTTTAAGTGCTTGGCCTTCTTTACGACTGAGATTACTTCTCCGACCTTGTCAAGCACTTTAGCTTCTACTTCGCTTCGTTCCTTGGGACTGTTCTCCATGCTTGTTGCTCTGCAACAATCTACTTCTCGCACCAGAATTTTGTTTTCAGGCGGCAGAAAATTTAGGAGTTGTGGGAAGAACACCGATTAAGTCTTCAACGCTGCGTTTTATTTTCTAATTTCTAAATGTAAAAAATTTATTACATTAAGCTATAAAAACATATTGGCAGAAAAAAAAAACAAAAAGTTAGGAAAACATTAGAAAATTGTTGTGCTTATGTATACTAGCTAGCTTAATGTAATTTGATGGGAAATAAATGCAAAACGTAATTTTTGTTCTTGTAGTTTTTTCGTTTTATCATTTAGTTTTCGTAGTTTTAATTTTATTAATTTTATTCTTGTTTTAAATCTGAATGATTCAAGCATATCTTACAAATTATGTCATAATTAATTCGATTTCGTTATAAATTCGGTTAAATCCTATGCTCAAAACGTAATGAAATTTGAAGAAATTTAATATAATTTATAACGTAATCTTGAATTGTTGTAATATAAAACTACACAAATAAAATTAATTAAAAAATTGAAACTACAGAAAGCAAAGTGATGAAACTGGCAAACAGGTGACTTTTTACCAGAGACAACAATAGAAAAGTATTTTCTGAAAAAGTAAATTATGTAATTAATTAGTTTTTTTCACATGAAAATAATTAGATTTCATAAAAATAAAATAAAATAAAAGCTTTTAGTTAAACCTTAACAAACTCGAGCTGAAGCATAAGAAACGGCGGTTCCAGTTAACCTTCTTTCCTCACCTCTCTCTTTTTCTCTCCCATGGCGACTGAAGTGTTAGCCGTATCCGAGCCCACCAGAAAGCAACCCCGACCGGGTCGGGGAGGGTTCGAAGCCCATGGACTATCCGAAGAAGAGGCCCGGGTCCGAGCAATTGCCGAAATTGTGAGCGCCATGGTCGACCTCTCCCGGAAAGGCCAAAACGTCGACCTAAACGCGCTGAAGACTACGGCCTGCCGGAAGTACGGCCTCTCACGTGCGCCGAAGCTGGTCGAAATGATCGCGGCTCTGCCCGAGTCGGACCGGGAGGCTCTTCTCCCGAAGCTCCGTGCCAAGCCGGTTCGAACCGCCTCGGGCATCGCCGTCGTGGCCGTGATGTCGAAACCTCACCGCTGCCCCCACATCGCCACCACCGGGAATATATGCGTGTATTGCCCAGGTGGGCCAGACTCGGACTTCGAGTACAGCACTCAGTCTTACACTGGCTACGAGCCCACTAGCATGCGCGCAATTCGGGCCAGGTATGGTTTGATGCATTTTATCGAACAGTTGATAGGTTAATTAGCGGTTATGTTGTTTATGACTAATGTTGAAGTTAAAAGTTCTGGCTCGATTGGTTTTATTCTATGAAAAGGAATGAGAATTTCAATACTGGATACGTGAAACTACAATCTGGGGAGTTTCTGTTTGGTTGCTAATACTTTGGTTCTGTGTTTGTAGATACAATCCATATGTCCAGGCTAGGGGCAGGATAGATCAACTAAAGCGACTGGGCCACAGTGTAGACAAGGTTTGGCCTGTTTCTCTATTTAGAGCTTAGAAAGTTTATTTTTGGCTGTGCAGATTGCCATGATGGAGTAAAATGCATACTTGGTACCTTCTTACTGGTAATGAATTATGCTTTCAGGTTGAGTTCATCCTAATGGGCGGTACGTTCATGTCGTTACCAGCAGATTACCGTGATTACTTTATTAGAAATCTGCATGACGCGTTATCAGGACACACTTCTGCCAATGTTGAAGAGGCAGTTGCCTACTCTGAGCATGGTGCTACTAAATGTATTGGAATGACCATTGAAACGTGAGTCTTTAGTTTAATTGTATTAGATGTTAACACCCTTCTTCTCATTCCTGTATTTAACTTGGTTTAGAGTAATTTTTTAATTTCCCATCTATTGACCAGTTGATATGGTTGGTCCAGAAAATTGCCTAAGGTGTGATTGTAACTTTTTTTCTGCAGGAGGCCAGATTATTGCCTTGGACCTCACTTGAGACAAATGCTTTCTTATGGTTGTACAAGACTGGAGATTGGAGTTCAAAGTACATATGAGGATGTGGCTCGTGACACCAATAGAGGTCATACAGTAGCTGCAGTGGCTGATTGTTTTTGCCTGGCAAAGGATGCTGGTTTCAAGGTCAGCCTAGTGCCCTATCATAAAACTTGTTCACCTTCACTGGTGGAAAAATGCATTTGGGCCTTTCTATATTCATTGGAGACTAATCTTTCCTTAATGCAATCAGCAACTAAAATTGTCAGCTTGAAAATAGTTTTTAAAATATGTTGTGCTTTCACTTAACTCCGCAAGAACATTTTATCAAACTGTAGTTGGTTTTGTTGTTACCATTCATTTTGTCCTAAGTTCAAAAAGAGGCACATGCTTGTATGACCATAATTCTTATGGAAAGCTGCTTTTTTTATACTACGTGTTTTCAAAGCCTTCAGGAGTATTTACAATATGCACCTTGCAGTGTATTCTAGTTGTTCACGTTGATTTACTTTTGTTTTTCACACTAATAATTTTTATGCATCTCTCTAGGTCGTCGCCCATATGATGCCTGATCTTCCAAATGTAGGGGTTGAGAGAGACATGGAGAGTTTTCGGGAGTTTTTTGAGAGCCCTTTGTTCAGAGCAGATGGGCTTAAAATTTATCCAACACTTGTGATCCGTGGAACTGGACTTTATGAGCTTTGGAAAACTGGCAGGTATGACTTATTATTTGATTTGTTACATAAATGAGAAGGAATACCCCCTTCCCTCCTTTTCAGTGATGCTGTGGGGATAATTCAGATATAGGGCAATATGATATTTATTTTGTGCCTTACTATGAGATCCAGTATTCATGCCCCAAAGCTGCAACACTTTTTCAAAAACTATGATTGCTCTTGCATTTGTCTTTGGGAAATAACTGTAGTTTCTTTTCTCTGTTTTCAGGTATAGAAATTACCCACCTGAGCAACTTGTGGACATTGTAGCAAGGATCCTAGCCATGGTTCCTCCTTGGACACGCGTGTATAGAGTTCAGCGAGACATTCCAATGCCTCTAGTTACTTCCGGGGTTGAGAAAGGAAATCTTCGGGAGTTGGCTTTAGCTCGGATGGAAGACTTGGGCTTGAAGTGCCGTGATGTTCGAACACGAGAGGCTGGAATTCAGGTACGCAGATAGCCATGCTTGTTTGAACATGATTTATGCTACTGAGACTACAAATGCGACCTCCCGCCCCCCTTCCATATAATGGAACTTTACTAAAAATGCTTGATGATTTTAGGACATACATCACAAAATTAAGCCAGACCAAGTGGAGCTTGTTCGTCGTGATTATATGGCAAATGAAGGATGGGAAACATTTCTTTCATATGAAGATACTCGCCAGGTATTCCATCTATTTGTTTGAGAGAGTGCTTCACATGAAATGATCATTCTATTCTTGTCATGTGCAACTGTGTTGAGCTGATGCAAGATGAATACTTAAAGTGATCATAGCTTTAATGTTTGAGTAGAATATCTAATTTTAGTTTTGCTTCAGCATATATAGATGAACTGAGGATCTCCCTGTTCCAAAACTCGTTGTTTCTCTGATTTGTGTAGTAATTTGTTGACAAAATTTTATGCATTGAGTTTTTCATGGTGAGCAGATTGTGCATTCTGACGCTTAACATTCTTTTGTTTGTATTCTTTTTGTAAACAGGATATTCTGGTTGGGTTGCTGCGACTGAGAAAGTGTGGCCGGAATACGTCTTGTCCCGAACTCATGGGGAAGTGCTCTATTGTTCGTGAACTACATGTTTATGGAATTGCTGTCCCAGTTCATGGGCGGGATGCTGACAAGCTGCAACATCAGGTAATGTAGCTTGTATACATCAACGGTTTCATGCCATTCCAAGTGTTGTTCTCTCTAACATGTTTATGGTCTAAATGATTCAAACAGGGCTATGGGACACTTTTGATGGAGGAGGCCGAGCGGATCGCGAGCAGGGAGCATAGATCCACAAAGATCGCTGTTATTTCAGGCGTAGGAACTCGTCATTACTATAGGAAATTAGGCTATGAGCTTGAAGGGCCTTATATGGTGAAACACCTTGTATGAGAAGATCATGACCAGTGTAAAACAATTTTGTAACATTAATTTTAAGAGTTTATAACTCCCAATACGTAATCAGTTTGTATGGTTTGACCCAATACACAATATGCCCTTACTCTCATTGGGTTCAATTTTTTATTTTTAAAATCCATTATTTTCAGAAAGCGGAATATCCAAATCTTAATATTGAATATATATCACTAATAAATTATTGTTTTCAATGGTATAAATATTGAAATTCAGAAAACGGCGTCGTCCTTCCTTTTCCTGTAAACTGGCCGTTGCCACCTTCTCTCACTCTTATAGCAAGCGGAAGCTATCGCGCTGCTCGTTTTATCTCCACTCTAAACAATGCTTAAATCAAGCTTCACTCCGATTTTCTCAACCTTTCCCGCCAAACCGTTATCGCCAAAACCACTGCCTAACGCTATCTTTAGCTGCTTCACACACACTGCGCCAACTGTTCGTCAAAATGCCTCACCCAACACCCCCACCACCATTCTTCCACCTCCTACTTCCGCTTACATCCACCTCCCTTTCTGCCGAAAGCGCTGTCACTACTGTGACTTCACAATCGTCGCTCTGGGCTCTTCTTCCAACCAAACCGAGGACGACCCGCGAATGATCAACTACGTTCAATTACTTTGCCGAGAAATCAATGCAATGAAAGCTGAAAATAAGGCCAACCCGCCTCTGGAAACGGTCTTTTTCGGGGGCGGCACGCCTTCTCTTGTGCCACCCAAGCTTGTTTCTTCCATTTTGGATACGTTGAGGTTGAAATTTGGGTTGAGTTCGGATTCTGAGATATCTATGGAAATGGACACTGGGACTTTTGATGCTAAGAAAATGAAGGACATGATGGAGTTGGGTGTGAACAGGGTGTCATTGGGAGTTCAGGCATTTCAAGAAGAGTTGTTGAAAGCTTGTGGTAGAGCACATGGTCTTAGGGAGGTTTATGAGGCCATTGAGATTGTTGGGTCATGTGGGGTTGAGAATTGGAGCATGGATCTTATCTCTTCTCTGCCTCACCAGACCCCAGAAATGTGGGAAGAGAGTTTGAGGCTAACTGTTGAAGCTTGTCCTAGCCATGTGTCTGTATATGATTTGCAAGTGGAACAAGGCACAAAATTTGGATTGTTGTGAGTAAATAGATTCAGTGATGAAATCTGTAGTTTAGCTTTTCTAATGAATTTGATTCTGAATAAGTAGTTTTTTTGTAGGTACACACCAGGGGAGTTCCCATTGCCGTCGGAAACACGGTCATCTGAGTTCTATAGGATGGCATCAAGGACGCTTTCTGATGCGGGTTATAACCACTATGAAATAAGCAGTTACTGCAAGAGTGGATATCATTGCAAACACAATCTTACTTATTGGAAGAACAAACCTTTCTATGCTTTTGGCCTTGGCTCTGCTAGCTATGTTGATGGTGTGAGGTTTTCAAGGCCAAAAAGGATGAAAGAGTACATGGGTTATGTGGAGAATTTGGAAAATGGGTTGGTGGATAGCTGTGAGAGTAATCGTTCGGCTCAGGACATGGCCACGGATGTTCTCATGCTCTCTCTTAGAACTTCAAGAGGTCTGGATTTGAAGTCGTTTGGAGAAGAATATGGAAGCTTTCTTGTTCTAGCTCTCTGCAAGGCCTATGAACCTTATGTTGAAAGTGGGCATGTGGTTTTCTTGGATGAGCAGCGAAGGGCCATGGCTACAGATGAACTCAATGCCTTGCTAGTAAACGAGGACAAGATTGAAAGAAGTCCTGCCTACATTCGTCTTAGTGATCCGGATGGTTTTCTTTTATCGAATGAATTGATATCGCTTGCATTTGCGGTTGTAGCTCCATAAGCTAAGTGGAAGCCCATGTACCTTCCGCATCTGGTGGTGGAGTGGAACAAGCACTCAAATAGTATTTTTATAGCATCATTCAAGGTGATATGTTGAAGGCTTTCCTATATGAGAGAATTCAACTCTTCCATCTATCAGTATTCGGCAGCGAAGAAAATGGCGCAGCAGAGAATCCTGGAGATAAGCGACCAGCTTAGCTTATCCATCCTCATACCAATTGTTTTCAGCTGATGAGAGAAGAAACTAAGCATAAACAATTTGCCTGCATCGGGAAGGCATTGTGGAGCAAAGTATGATGAAGTTGACTGAAACATCGAGTAGTAAAAGCCCATCGCTCATCAAAGAGATGATGATTCTATATACCAGATAATTTTAGAGCTAATGGCTACAGAAATTAGTCTTTGCAATTAAATATTATATTTGGACTTACATGTTGTTTATGGTTCTCCTTGTGACATTCTATAATAAAGCAGATAATTTCAGTGTTTTATTTTTCTTCTTTTATTTGGTAAAGTTAAAAAATTGAACCAGGGAATTCATAAATATACAGGCATTAGTATGAAATTTGCCAGCCAAAACCTCCTATTAGTTGTAACATATCTTCATCTGTTAGAAAATGAATGCACTCACAATAAGACTCTTAACACAGATATACCTTCATTCGAAGGCACATGAGGCAGACTGACTAGTTTTGAGGATGAATTGCAATAAACTTAAAATGATAAATCATAAATTTATCGAAGAATTAAATTGTTTACACCTAATTCTGTTTCATTAGAGCCTTTATTAGGGGAATTAAATGTCACAGCCGGAGCAGCTTTTAAGATGGTGATCTAGAATTTGGCTTTGTTGAAGCATTCTGGTGCAGCATAGTCCTCTTTGTGTGTCGTATGACATGCATATTTACAAGGAAATATGTTGAACGGCAAGTTCATCAGTCCTTGATCTGTTCATTTAAACAATGATTTCAAGTGCCTGATTTCAAACACAAGACAAACATAAGAGTTAGAATTCTAGTCACAACTTACACCTTGTGATGTACTTGCACATCCTGTAGTGGTGTGATGATAAACTAATTCAATAGAATACATATTGGAAGGATACCCAATGAATGATATCTATATAAATTATCACATCTTTCATTAGATGCAATAAGTACTAATTATTTTGTAATAAATGATAATAAAGAGTCCTCTGAATCATTTAACTAAAAACTTTAGCACCCACTGTTATAACACCAAGAGGCATATGTTTTTCTTTTTTACTTTGGGATAAGTATCAAAGGAAATATCACAGACCTTGTCTCAACTACAAAGCACACTATGCATGACATTATGAACGGTATATATTTGAACTTGTATATAGATTACCAACTACTATGAGGGTTTCGTCTTCTGCCCAACTTTTGAGATGCGCCTAAGATCTTGGGTTCCCGTTCTCATCTCTCTGCAAAATACATACAATTTAGGAAATTCTTGCAACGAATCTAGATGGGAATTCTGAATTTCCACAAGAGTGATACCTTTGGTGCAAATAAACTATCAGATAGAAAATAGGGAGCAGCATCAAAGTCAGTATGGAAATAGCCAGATAGAATACACTTAATAGCAAAAAAAAAAAAAAAAAAAAAAAAAAAAAAAAAAAAAGATTTGGACTATATTTTTCTGCAAAGCAAAATCTTCAAAAGAAAAAGGAATCTTGGTAATCACAGACAACGATTGCGAAATACTGAAATATAAAATAAGCTAGAAGATACTGAAACTATGCCACATAAAGACTAATGGTAGCCAGAGATATTTGACCTTAGAAGTCTGTGTTCGCCATCAAAAGGAACAAGCCAGTAGAAAGACAATGTGAGTGTAAACCAGGTAAAAGATTTTAACATGAGTAGATCATCTATGCAATCTGGGAAATGAAATTTTCCATATTTTGTTTTAAGCACATTTCATTTTTTATTGCAAAATATATTGCACCAGGAGACTGAAACCTTACCTTTCCTCCTCTAGGAAAATGTTTATGTTTCCTCAAGCAAGTGTGAGCGTGACAAAATTGGTGCAAGAACAATTCTACCAATACATCAAATTGTAAGCATAAGTATAATAAACTATTAAGTATCTGAAATAGTAATAAGACAACCACAAGAAAAGAGATAACTATAAGGCAGCCAAATAACGTCAGAATTGAAATGGTAGAGTTTCTGTTGATAACAAAGAAAAATACCATTAAGGCGGCGTGCTGAGGGACCTTGATTAATAGGAAAACAGCTATCAGCAAGACCCTACAATATGGAGTAAAATAAAAAAGATTCAGACAAGGTAATGTATAAGAATTGACAATACAAAAAATTATAGTGCCGTAAAGCAACCTCACATAGATGGTGATTCCTTGCAGCAGCTGCAGGATTGCATTTGGTCTTGCTTGACTTGGTATCCATTACAACATCACAATGCAAAGCTCCGCATAAATCAGCTAAGCACTTGCTGCCACTCTGCATTCATAAAAAATAAAAATTCATGCGGACAAAACAAACCATATAATGGAAACAAGAACCATAAATTCCAGATTAGAGATATAACTAACAGAAAAGACAGAGGTCAAATAAATTTATAATCATGTCTTGATATATCATGCAAGTGTACAGAAATTATTCATTTAAGCCATGTAATTAGTCTTCACTTTTTACTTTTCTTCAGAAATTATTTTCTGATCTAATTATTGCATCATGCTACAGCTAAACTGATACTTTATAAATAAATAAAACATAATCTGTAAAGTGGGTTTAAGAAACCCGAAGGCAACCAGAACTGATAAACATGGACTAGATACAAATGCTTCTTAAAAAATAGGTCTTCAATTTGCAGATAAGTTGATGTAAAATGAAATAAGAACAAAATTACAAATATAATAGAGGGAAACAAATACGTACAGGATCAGCTGAAAATGAAATTAGATGTTTTACATAGACCGATTACTGAGTGACCTGATGCAGCATGCCATTGTGCAACCAAAAAGAAGAATGTGATGACAAATTTGATATTGCATCTTGCACTTATTGAACAAGTGCTCCTAACATATTAAAGCAAGGAAATACAGTCCACATACTACATTCAGAAGATTGTAGTGTCTGTTGTCAAAATGCTGATCAAGAAACTTTCCAGCACGGAAGCTTTTCTTACAGTATCCACACTGCCATTCGTTTATATCCAGATGAATCTTGTGCTGTTCCTGATCCCTAAATAGGTCATTGTCAGGATGAAGTCGACACTTACTTGACATCTCATAGTGCTCTTGTTCCAGAAACGGCATCAGGTACTACATTACACAAATCAGAGATGCCCTTCAGCACACCAATAGGCATGGTATGATATTGTAAAACCACTCAATGTTTGTCCATACCTCCTCGATAATTTTCCATGCTGCCCTACTTCTTTCTCTGGAACAATGTACTTCATGAGCATGCTCGTGCTCTTGTTCAAGGGTTCTAAAATAAGAAAATTAGAAGAAAAGAACATGTACTGAAAATATGTCCAACCCAGAAATATAAAATCCCAATTACAAATTTCATCATACATGTTTGAGCTAAAAACGAATATAGCCAATGAAAGGTTGTCAAATGAATCTAAAGAGTGAATATATTACCTTGAAGATGCAGATTTTTCAAACTCCTGGGTTAAAAAAAAAGCAGAAAATTACGTTACTTTGGAAGGTCCATAGAGCAAAAATATATAATTATGTTCACAAAATGCTCATATGCATGAAATAACTACAAATTGTGACTATTGTAATAACCATACTGAGACAAGGCATTTTAGCATTTGAGTAAAATGTAATTCAAGCTAGGGTGAAGTTCTGACACATCTTTCCCTTTTGATCAAAACCTTTCCTTTGCTCTGTTTAACGGGTTCAAACTCTGGAAAATCCAAACGTAAATAAAAACGCAATCCATATTTTTGTACTCTGTGTAAAGTTCTCTCAATTAGAACCAAAAGTTGATTAGATAAAAATCTTTACTTTACAAAACCCATAATCCAATACACAAAATTGAAGCTACCAAGCACAATTCAACATCTAAATAAGTAAAGAACAATATCATACGTATAGGCACTCACACACGCATAAAGAAGTACCTGGTTTCTCTGTGTAAAGGAGGAGACTTGGACTGTTTGTTGAAGGGAAAACGATAACAAGAAAAGAATTGGAATAAAAAGGCTGGTGTTCTTCATCTCTTTCAAAAATGAGAGAGTTTGAGCTTTTCTGAGCAAAACCAGAACCTGGGAAAGCTTCGGAGCACTCCGAATGCCAATATGGGTCTGTTTGTCTTCTTAGAGCTCGAAGCTCCAAACGGAGAGAGAGTTTTGCTTATACCGGTCTAGAATAGCCTGGTATCCGAGTATTCGGTATGTCATTAACAACTTAATATTTTAGTTCCTTTTAATTGTTTTTTCTATAGAAGAAAGTATTTTAGTTCAAGGAAAAAAAGAAAGATGAAGTTGGGAAAGTGGAAAAATTATGTAATATAGTTTTCATACTACAGAAGGGAAGGGAAAGAAAATAGGATTTTGATTTTAATTGCTTTTTTTCTTTCTTTCACTTCTGTTTCTGAGTTGGAATTGGGTTACCCACTTTCATTTTTTTCACTTATTTATGAGTTCGATTGGCAGTCTTTCCCATGTTTGGTAAGTCAGGGCATGAGAAATCGTTGCCTGTGCCATGGGAAAGTAGGGGGAGAGTGAAGTCATCCTCTCAATTTGGGTTTTGTTTTCCCTCATCATGGGAAAGTTTAGGAAAATGAGCCAATATTATATAAACATTTTGTCCCCATTAATATGGGTATAATTGAAAATTTATACAAACTTTGTTTTCCATTCCTACTCAAAACAAACATGGAAAAGAAAATAAAGTGATATCTCCCGATTACTTTCCCAACATTACCAAATGTGCAAAAAGAACCTTCCATTTTCCATCCCTTGAAAAATGATATGGGAAATGATTTCTCCTCAAATTCGTTCCGTGAACCAAACGGGGCCAAAAGGCACGCAAATGTGAAGCAAAGTCGTTTAAAAAAAGTCAGCAGAGAAATGGTTCGCTAATGTCTAATGCAGTTGTTTGTTGCTTTGCTTGTAAGTTTCCTTTTTCTTAATTTTTGGTCGGATTTCCTTTTAATTTTCTTGCTGTGATGCTTTACGCGTGTTTGTGATTGGCTGTTGTTGCCATATACCTCTAGTTTAACATTTGAGTAACCATGAAAGGTTTGTGTGAGTAATTGTTTTAGCTTCTGGTGTTGTCGATTCGAGAGCATTTTGAACATTGTATGAAGAATATGAAGAATATTGAGAATGATTTTTTTTTTTTTTTTTTTTTATTTTTACATAGGAAAAGCAAAATGAACTAATGAGGGAAACCACGAACTTGCAAAAAATTTATGTCACAAACAGGTCATTGTCATAATTTTTGTCGAAATCATGTTCTACAATTATCTTAAAACATACTCAATATGGCAGCAGCAATATGCGTATGCGCACATTCATATGTTGAACAGCCAGGTTGGGAACCAGGGGGCGGCTGGCCTGTGCTGCAGCCCACCCCAAAAATCAACATCCCTTGAGAAACCTCTAGGTAGAAGCCACCCCAATTTTTCGGCTGGTTCCGTCACTGTGAACTGGTTATCGTTTCTTCTTGCCTCTCTTTTTCGTGCTAGTTTCAGCTGAAGCTTCTGCCTCTTCAGCCTTCTGCTCTGCCTCTAAAATGGCCAACTGCAGCATACACAGAAGCATTAAAGTCAATTTTTTATCTTCGTTAAATTCTCAGGAATAAAACCTATATAAACTTTGAGACACAAACCAAACAAGTTACCTCATCAAGAATTGGTTTAAGCTCTCTGTATCGAGCTTCAGCAAGATCAAAACCATCCTTACGGAGCTCCTGTGATGCCAAGGCCACACCATGTCACATCACATGCACAAGAAAACAAATATGAAAACAGCTTGAATAGGAAGCTACTTCTCCTCCATATGCAGCCTATTATTTGTTTCTTCATTCATTTTTATCCTTGATAAATCTGTTGAAACTAAGGGTTTTCTTTATTGAGGAAAAGGAGAAACAGACCTTTCCAGTGTGTTGAGTATGTTCATGCGCTGCCATTTGCCAGTACATATTTGTACGTTTGTAGAATTCTCTCAAAGATTCACCAGGCTTCACATAAGACATACAGCAATATTAGCTAAAAGTTATGTAATGAAGAAAATGCACAACTAAAGACGTAGGCTTACAGGTACAATGTGAAAGCAAAACAACTACAAGTTCAACCCATAAATTATACTCATTTATTCACACTTGCAATACAGTTTAAAATTTAAATAGAAATAAAATATTAAAAAGCAGCACCGTTGGGGTTCTTTGTGAATCTGAAAGGCCAAGACTGGCTCTGATCTGCTCTATTCTGGCCCGTTTCTCTTTCCTCCGTAGAGCCCTTCCCTCGCCCTTGATTAAAGCAACAGCATCTCCCATTTGAAGGGATCCATCTTTCCCACCCTGTGCACGCATAAAAAGTGAAGACAACAGACAGCTCAATATTTTACTTTTTCAAAAAGTCAGTCTAATGATTTTCATCTAATTGTAATACAGGCATGGCCAAATACGAGAGATCAAATAATATACAAAGAATCAAAATAGCTAATACAAGGATGTATGCAACATTAAATTTAAAATCCTTTGTTCCAAAATTGAGTTAGCTATAGAGAGGAGGAAAAAAGGGCAGACAGAATGCCAAAGGAAGAAATAATTCAAAACTTCAAATAAAAGGTCATTAAAGTGTATCTTAACCACAAAATCTCGATTCCCTTAACTGTTGAAAAAAGGAAAAACACATGTACATTATAGAGTAAATAAAAAACCTCTTCATCATTATCATCATCAGTCTCATCACTGTTGCTGTCTTCATTGCATTCATCTTCACTATCATCATCTTCATCTCCATCCTCATCTTCATCCTCAGAGACCTCAACCCATTCAGATCCTGATGCCTAGGTAAAGGGAAAAGCAAACTCAGGCTTAAAATAATGAAATTCAACAAAAGCAAAGCAGTTGTCTCAGTTTATTCACAATAAAGTCTGCAATAGTAACAGTTATGTCTAGTGATCAATCAAGGCAATACAACATTTGAAAAATATCAAGATGGTATGAACATCTATACACAGAGAACAATCTGTTACAAACCGGTATGATGCACTTCCACTCGTCAAGTTTGCTAAGATTAAGAGAATACAAATCATCGAGTGTAATTTCTTGGTCTTTAACCTCCATCATTCCCCCATAAACATATAAGGTATCTCTTCCCACAACCATGCAAGAATTGATACGTCCACAGGGCTTCACTATCTGACACAATAGCCAAATTCATAAATCAAATGGATGCATTTTACTGTTTGAGGAAAGATACGTAAATAGATAAATTCAGCATTAAAAAAACCTCTGGTATATCAGAAATTTGCGAATCCAAATTAGAACTAGATTCCTGTGGCTTTCCTTCAGATTTGACAGCTAAGTCACCATTACCACCAGTCATGGTTGTAGCCATTTGATTCGATATACCATCAATTTTGCTTTCCAAGTCATCCGCTTCTTCATCATTCTCTGAATTATCATCTTTGTCATTTGCCACAGACTCCTCTGGTTCAGTTGAAGTTATCTTATCATCACTGTTGCGTTTTCGTCCAGAACTCCTTTTTACCTGCAAAAGTGAAAGATCAATGACTTTTATAAAACACTGAAATCAGTACACATTCATGCTATAAATCTATACACTGCCAAACCTTATCTTTTGTTGATTTCCCCTTCCGTAGCTCCAATGGGTACCTGTACCAGAAACAAAATTGTGATTCACATATAGGCAGGAACTATTGCACTTTAGACTTCATTGCCTAAAACACAATTAAACTTCATAAATCACTGGAAGAAAAAAAAAGAAAAAAAAACTGAAAAAGAGCGAGAAGTTGGGTTTGGAGGAGAATATTATCACTGGAACAAATCATGATGCGTAAACTGCAAAACACTAATTGCTCTTTCAAGAAAACCAAATTAGATTGCAGCTGATTTTACAGGTAACCAGAACTTAGTTACAACCTTCTGAAAGAGAAAAATTAAGGTCATAGAAAATGGGCAGACTAAGGGACATGGACAATGATTACAACAGTCTCAAACTGCTAGTAAATAAATAAATAAACCTCAGATGGGGCTTACCAGCGATGGTTGTCTAATTGGAAACCATAAAGTTCATCCAAGAACAAGCTCATCATTACATCACCTGCATGCATCCAGGAACAAAAGGAAAATAAATCCACCTACCCTACAAGGTCAGTCCTAGCTTCAAGCCAGGACTGCATTGCCTAGCGAAAATAGAAAGGTACAATTGAAAGAACAAACCTCCAACTTCCATGTCCACCACACCCCCAAAGAACAAAGCTCGCTTCTTATGAACACACATAGAAAACCCAGCTCGAGGTCCAGGAGGCATCCCGCTTTTTTTTACCTTTAATATGCATTGATAAATACACAGAAACAAAACGGTCGCCAAAGAAAACAGTGGTTTGAAGTAAAAACCTTGTTCCATTCCCAAGTCCTAGGATCAAGAGACCACAAGTCTGAATGAACAACTCCTTTCTCAGAGCCAGTTTTATCTGATGAAACTTCTTTGGAATAGCCACCATATAAGAAAATCTGTCATGTCAAAAAGAGACCACAAGGTCAAGGCTGTTAATGATGTCAAGATTTGACAGACACTATGAAGTTATTCTGAATCACTCACCTCATCTTGGTACACAAAAAACTGAAAACCGCTTCGGGCACTTGGCCACATGGAACCCGGCCTAGGAGTTATTTCTTGCCACTGGAATGCAATGTCGTAAAAGTATTAATTAAACATATATGTGTGTGTGTGTGTGTGTGTGTGTGTGTGTGTGTATACATGCACACAGATATTTAATAGATTAACACGACACAGCGAAGATATCTTTACCTTGAACTGATCAAGGTCAAATACATAGAGATCATTATGGTACCTGCACAACACTTTATTATGGTCAACCCCAACTTCAACTGTCATGCAACAATACACAATGAAAACCAGTTTAGTTAATAAAAAAGATTTGCTTGAAAGCCCATAACACAATCTCTGTGAAATCTTCTTAAAAAATCAGCCCGCCATAAAAGAGAAAATGTATTTTAAAGGACAGTAAATATGTCCAGAAATTTTTGGAAAGAACAGAGATACAATAAAACCAACTTTGCAGCTAAATTTCACATGGTGCTTTGGATCTGAGCATCAAGCCAACATAAAAAATCAACACCAAATCATGAGATAAATAATTATGAAACCTTCAAAATGTTAATAAAAATCCATCAACAACCTCACTTCTCTAAGAGTGTCATAGAAGCCTCCAAAAACAATAATCTTGTGCTTGTACATTACCTGTAACATAACCAAAAACATAGATGTTTTTAGAAATCTCTGTTTACAATTTTTTTTATAACAAATATAGGTATGTAAGATGAAGATTAGACTAATGTTGTCATGTCAGTCTCAACACACACACATACACACACACAGGTACACAGAAAGAGAGAGAGAGAGAGAGAGAGAGAGAGAGAGAGGTATATGGAAATTAGAGAACTCAACTCCATAGTCCATACTAATTAGGTAATGCACACGTCAATCTAAAGCAACCTGAATTTACCATTCGATGACCTGAGCGTGGACTTGGACTCCCTTTTAAATTTAGTTGTTCCCATTGATTCGTTTTGAGGTCCAACATCCAAAAGTCCTATAACAGGAAGACATAAAGGTAACATTGTAATAACACAAACTATGATGATATGTAGGTTAAAAAGTCAAACCCCAGTCTGCAACAAACAATAGTTCAAAGGTTTTACCTTGTAGTGATGGAACCTCTCTTGGTTTGGGGAAGTAAACTCACCACCTAATGACAAACAAATGCAATCATGTCCATGATGCAAAAGAATTAAAAGTGCATGTGGTGCACATGTAATTGTAAATATAAATGAAATTTTGTCAGTATACCAAAGATGTAAAGATAGTTCTTCCACGTCACGGCCTGGTGTGCACTACGAGGAGGTGGACTATTGGGGCTCGAAATTAACTTCCATTCCTGCTTTTCAACATCGTAGCGGTAAAGATCACCATACACAAACGTCTGCAGCAACAAAAATTATCAGAACTCAAGGTGAACATTAGGGAAACAAAAAATTTCCAATTAATTCATATAAAGCAAATAAAGCATATAGATTCTAAAAGAATATGAAGACCTAACCTTATTACCATTGTAGAATTCACCCCCGTAAAGGATTAACTCTGTCTCTTTCAAGGGATTTATGTTCAGCTACACAATTAACAAGCACAAAATATGAGATTTACAAGGGGTAATGCACCCATACATTCACAAACAAAACTAAGACTAAACCACTAAATGAAAATTGCTAAAAAAATTCAAGTGTGTCATTACCGTGCAATTTGATCGCGGAGACGGAGCTGGGACATTGTCCTCAACATGGACTTCCTTCTTCTTGGCTTCTTCTTTTTGTATATTCAACTGTGGAAAAAGCAAATGCATAGCAAATTATTCAAAAACCGAATAACACCTCCATTTCCATTTCATCTTGCTACCAATTCAAAGGTAACCATTGAGATCAGAAAATAAAACTGAGTTCACAAACATCTCTGTATGAACTTCAAAAACAAACAATCGCTCTTAATACACAACATTTCTAGGATAGCAGGGCACCCTTTTGTTTCTGCACTAAAACACTCCCTAAATTGCTGAACTGATGTCCCATAAATATCATCTTACATTTTCACTTATGCAACGCTTTTCCAGAAAAACCAAATTCATGAACTTTAACTACGAATATCTCAAATTCAACAACGAACAATTAAACCCAAAAGGAATTTGTTTAAAACTCCCACAGACTATTTCAGGTTCTCAAATGATCCATAACTCTAAATAACAAGCACACAATGACACACACTCATATATGCATAGGTCGAGTATGAAATTACCAAAATGGCATCGATGTCATCCTCGGGCGAGAGCTTCTTGGTCTCTCTGCGAGCTCTCTTTTCATCAGCTTTCGCTGTTTTCTTCTCTGTTTTCTCTTTGCCTTTTCCTGGCTTCTTCGTCTTCTTCCCCATTTCTCGAAACACAGCCAAAGAGGCTCAAAGCAGCTCTAAGTCTTTCACACTATTCAATTCAGAGCAGACTCGGCGCGAGGAAGAAGAGAGAGCCATCTGGACGACACTATATAAATGACTGTTGTTTTCGGCGAGATGTCCGTTGCTTGGGGTAGTAATCCGCGGGCAGCTGGGTCACTCGTCACGACCTCACGTTGTCGTTTTCTAAAGATGAGGCCAAAACCGGACACAACTTAAGGCCCAGCGTTTAATCGGAACGGACTCGTCTGGAACAAACATAATACGGGTATAACTCAACTGTGTCTATTATTGAAAATTTGGTATAAAGAAAATGTGATTCAAAATATAAAAAAATTAGTATATATGTGTATAAAACGTATATAGTATGTTTGTTTTTTTAAATGTGTATCTTATTGAGTCTTTAAGATGTGTACGGAAAATGAAAATATTATTCAAAAATACATACATATGTGTATAATACAAGTATTAAACGAGAAAATGATAACTATGGAAAGGTAAAAAATAAAAAAGGGACAATAGAGACTCGGGTAATGGCCTAATAGTAATGAATAATGCTCTAAACTACTCTTATCAAAGTACAAAAATCAGGGAAAAATAATATTTTTTTTAAAGGACAACAATATATTTAAAGAGCATAGTTGTGCAACTATAATATTTATTTTTAAAAAAATTTATAAAAAAAAAAATAGGACCCCAGTATAGCCATGTGGAACAATGAGGAACAATGGATAATGCTATCAATAATAGTAATCGATAATGCGATAAACTACTCCTATCTATATAAAAGAAAATTGGGGGAATTTTTTTTTTTTTTTTTTTAATTTTCCTTTTGGTTTTTTACTTTTCTAGAGTTATTACTCATATAAAAAATTTAGCACTTTCCCATTTAATACTCGTATTATACACATACATATGTATTTTTCAATAATACTGTTTGTACCATATCTGACCGCCCATTCACGTCGTGACACGTGGAACACCCTCAAAGCCGAGACCAGCTCAACCGGGCCATACCGAATGGTCGTTCGGCACGCTGTACCGATTCAAGGGGTCGATTATGCACCATCAGTCCCTTCGCTAACCTTCGGCATGGTCTGCCGAGCAACCAACCATCACGTCAATCTATTTCTATCAGATTACCTCAAAACTTCTACTAGAACCTGTCAGAGCACGTGTCGATCTCCGAAGACACTCCCGCGAGTCCCACATCGAAACTAAGTGCTAAGAATATCACAAATGCTCTCTATAAATAGAGCCCCTTGGCCCAACCAAGTGGTAAGACTTTCTGACTTGACTAGTGCTTCCACTGTCAATAGAATCGCTCTTAGTTATTAACTTTGGCATCGGAGTGCCTTCGGCAAGTACCACACCGATATCCTCTCATCAGTTCGGATCCAGCCCCCGCTCGAACCTTCAGACATCACGGAAGAAGGTCACTTTAATCCTCAACCATCAGCACACTTGTAAGTTAGCCTAAACTCTTATCTATTCAGATTTAGCACGAACAAATACTTCTTTTTTTCTATATGTCTTAAATACTCGGTATAATAAAAGCAAACGTTTATGCACGTATTGATATTAATGATTATTTAATATCAAAAAACAAAAAACAAAGTCCACAAAATAATTAATTACTATTTACCTAGCCATTTGCAAAATCAATAAAATATTTAAATATTCACTAAAGAAATAATAATTAAAACATAATTATTAATTAAAGTAATTAAAAAAAGGCTAAGGTATTACTTAATTGCATGTATTAAATTAAAGAAGTTGGGCGAAAAAACAAAAGTAAAGAAACTAATTTTCTATTTTAAAATTTTAAAATTTTTAAAAATAAAAAGCAAGACTACCTCTCCCGACGAAATTTCATCGAGGCAAGTCCACAAATCTCTCCTTACAAACTTACCTCTGCCGACAAAATTTCGTCGGAGGAAACCTAATCCGGCAAATCTTTACCAGCATAGACCTGTGTCGACAAAATTTCATCAGGAGAGGGTTTTTAAAAAAATAAATGTAAACTTTGTATCTTTAGGTCAATACTTTTTTTTTCCTTTCTAAAATTTATTTTCTGCAATTAAATAATGTCTTAGCCTGATTTAATTACTTTTATTAGTAATTATGTTCTAACTATTATTTCTCTAGTGAATAATTAATATTAAATATTTTAATTAGCATTATAAATGATATTATTTAATAAATAGTATTTAGTTGTTAAAAGTTTGAATTTAATAAAATTCTAAAATACTAATTATTCACTAAGTAAACAATAATTAAAGTAATTAAAAAATTGAAATTTATATTATGGTATTTAAGAGTATAGCTGCCTGGCTTTGCTTTTTAAATATTTCTATTTGTATAGTATAGCCGCGCAGCTATACTCTATTATAAATAAATAAACAAATAAATTGGGCCGCCTAGGTGCTATGTGGTTCCTTTTAAATAAAATAAATAATATGGCCATGCGCCTATACTCTTTAAATATCTAATGGGTGCCTTTTTGTTTTTAAACTTTTGTCTCTTTTCGATTTTTTACTTTTCCAGAGTTATTACCCGTATAAAGAATTAAGCATTTTCCCATTTAATACTTGTATTATACACGTACGTAGTATTTTCAATAATACTTCCATTTTTCCTATATTTCTTAAAGACTCGGTATAATGAAAGCAAACGTATAATACACGTATTGATATTAACGATTATTTTATATCAAAGAACCAAAAAAAAGGTTCAAAATATAATTAATTACTATTTACCAAGTAATTTACGAAATCCATAAAATATTTAAATATTCACTAAAGAAATAATAATTAAAACATAATTACTAATTAAAGTAATTAAAAAAAGGCTAAGGTATTACTTAATTGCATGTATTAAATTAAAGAAGTTGGGCAAAAAACAAAAGTAAAGAAACTAATTTTCTATTTTAAAATTTTAAAAATTAAAAAGAAAAAAGCAAGACAACCTCTCCAGACGAAATTTCGTCAAGGTAAACCTAATCTGGCAAATTTTGCCTACAGAGACCTGTGCCGATGAAATTTCGTTGGGAGAGGGTTTTAAAAAAATAAATATAAACTTAATATCTTTAGGTCAATAAATTTTTTTTTCTTTCTAAAATTTCTTTTCTACAATTAAATAATGTCCTAGTCTGATTTGATTACTTTCATTAGTAATTATGTTCTAACTATTATTTCTCAAGTGAATAATTAGTATTAAATATTTTAATTAACATTATAAATGATATTATAGAATAAATAGTATTTAGTTGTTAAATTTTTGAATTTAATAAAATTCTTAAATACTAATTATTCACTAAGTAAACAATAATTAAAGTAATTAAAGAAGAGAATTTCATATTATGGTATTTAATAGTATAGCCGCTCGGCTGTACTTTTAAAATTAAATAAACAAATAAATTGGGCGGCCTAGGCTATGCATTTTATATTAAATATTAAATATTATTTATATAATATATAACATTCAATGCCCAAATTGATTTTGAAGCCCACTTGGCTTCCACTTGGCCCAACTTCCATTTTCCAAGTGTGGGACTTCCACACTTATGAAGAGCTCACTCTTTCTTTCTTTTTTACAAATTTGGAACAAATGTCCTTGAATTTCATTCAAACTTCCAATAATAAGTTATATAACATGTGTGTTATGTTTAAAATTCATTATTTGCAGTTTTTAGGATTTATATGCATGTTATAATTTGAGTGAATTCGTAACACCGCACCATCTTAACTCTCGTTTAAAATGCATAAAAATGACTAGTCTTTAGAGAACGACTGAACATTTGAGTGTGGTTGCCTCTTCCTTTTGTTCACACCTTTTCTTAAGTAATGCCAAACACTAACACTAAATTTGCAGTCTTTTTCATTTAAAAACTGTCTTAAATTCTTCACTTTCTCTCCTCTCTTGTCTCTCAAAAGGAGAACCCACTGGTGTTTCAAGTTTCAACATATGCTTTCCAAAATTTCTGTTTCTGCGCATGCGATTGGTAAAACTGTTTTCATGGTTTTCAAGTTACATGGCTACAAACTTTTTAGGCAAAGTTTGAACCTTTTGAGGCCGGCCTTGTGGATTCTTTTAACTAGTGGACAACAAGTGACAATTGGCTTGGTACCTTTTAATATATATATATATTTTCCGTTTCTTTAATTGCATGCGATAAACACATCTTTTAATGTATTTATACTTTATCTTTTTTTATTCTTATTTGATTTTTACTTCAAATTTTGCTCACAAAATTGATTGGTGCCTTTGGCTACAATTTAAGGTCACACAACCCCAACATTAAGTACAAAAATGGTAGTATAATAAACATTTTGAGATCCTTTGAAGATTTGGAATTTGGAATTTTTGAAGCTACTTGTCACCAAACCACAGTTTTAATGACAAACTATATAAAATCTATAAATAAGGAAACCGACTATATGGCACCTTCAGAACCCCAAAATCTTTGAGGACGAAATCAGATTTAGAGGAGAGATTTCATGACATTTTATTTTATCGGTGGATAAGATTTTCATAAGAATCAAATTTAGTGATGCATCTCCTGCATGGTTGCATGCCATGTGCAATATTATTATTAATTAGGGTTCTATTAACGTTACTAGCATAAGATACTAAGTCACTATAATTAGGTGGGCATGATTAGGCGACATGATTAAGAGATTAATTTTTCGTGGTTATCCAAGTTACAAATCTTATGCTATACTTGCCATTTTTATATTCACCTAGTTTTCCGAATTTCTGATATTGAACCTGCAAAAGAGTATTTGTACGCTTTTGCAATAGTGCTTAAAGATTTTGAACCTCTACACTAATTACCAATTAATTTCAAGTTGGATGCACACACTCTAACACGGCATAATTGAGCAATTTTCACTTCAAAATGTTTAGGAAATTATACATGATTTTATTTGTTTAACTTATCGAATATCTGTATTCAATTTGTTCATATCAGAATGTAAGTT